AAAATGGACAATTCATAGTGTAATCATTCAAGAGCATTTGTTGTAGTTTCATATTTGGCATAGAATGGAAATCGCCTTATATGTCAAATCTATAGTATAGATATATATTACTTTTAAAGTTTTATTCTGTCGATGACGATTAATTTGCCTGTGATATTTTTGAATATAATAATTGACATAGACAACGTAAAGTTTGATACTTGAGTCTGTCTTCGTTCACAAACTTCTATTGAATAAAACAAATAGCTGAGTCGCTTCATATCGTGATATGAAGATGGGTGGCTACTGTAAAATAAATTCCCTTTAAACAATATTCAAATACGCTGCACGCACAAGTTGATTTATCATATGATTTCGTGGTGTGGCTTATGCAGTCGTGTCCCAAAATTATGCCAATCGACTCTAGAGTGCTAATTTGGAGCCATTCCTCCGAGTAGCCTATATCAATTAAAGAAATGTAAACTTTTTGGTAGACTCGACATCGTTCCATTGCCAGTCAAGTTATGCTCGATGTCATCTACTTTTGAACTTGCATTAAAAAAATTCACTTGTTGCAGCAATATTACGTGATAAACAGCGATGATACCAAAATGGACTGGTCAGTGGCGTAGCGACGCAATATACCCCCTTTGGAAATGCCGCGCTCTTAACACCGTCGTAAAATCTGATTCACATAGGAACGGTAAAGACCTTCATCTTACCACATGAAGATGGACGAATCGTCTATCTACCACAAACAAGTGGTAAGGGTGGCAGTTGACTCGATGACTTCACAGTCCCTTCCTGTCTCCCTGCGAAAGTGAAATAAACTGAAAACTAATCAAAACTTAACTACTAAAGCCAAATTGACCGAACAATGCAACAGCTTACAGTTGTATTCCTTCAGAACTGAAATATTTTGTTGGTAAGAAGACAAATCGCTGAAGTTTGATTCTTTTCAATAAAGAAATAAAAACGCTGTCATTCATCTAAAAAACGTCTGTTTTCAGTGCCTAGTTTTCGTTTTGTGACATCTTTAAGCTTTCTTAATATACGGCTTAAACTGTGATAATGATGTAACAATAGACGGTATCTAAAACTCAAAAGGTACTACATGAAGGCTTAGCTCGTTAAACTATTTCACTCAAGTTCGGCGGGCCATTTTAAATCGTCACGCCGGCCGTAATTGGCCCGCAGACTGCGGTTTAGAACCCCTCATCTACACTGATAAATATGCCATAGTCGTTATATTTGAATACAATTATACTTGAGTTAGGAAATAAAATGTGGAATCGCACCTCAAAATTAGGGGGGGTGTTTGAAATTTTAGGGGGGGGGGGGGGGGGGGGGGGTGTTCACCCCCTATAGGGAGGGTGTAGGGAAATCACTGGATATCACTATACTGTACATAAAATGGTTGTTGAATGGCCTGATTTGCGGATTATGACTCCAGCATTGACTGACAATAGTTTTGTCCCAAGTCAACCTGACGATGAACACCGGCAGTTGTCGACGCCCACGTGGTGTGATTTGATTCCTGCGAAAGTCTTTGTTTGAATTTTGAGAAAAATTAACATTGGTTTTATATTTTTAATAGTAAATGGGGGTAAAACCCCGAAATTATGGTAAACTCATAAGGGGTGTTGCTTTAATGTAATTTTTTGGCTTTACTTAAATCACTGTCAACCTACGTCGTGTTAATAATGTCTTGGTTATATGTTAAGTTCTACCGTGAATATATACCACTACACCCAAGCTATTATAGAATAAGGGTTCAACTGCATACGCTTACACTTCTTTATTGCACCAGCATAACACACAACATAAGATGCTTACAGCAACAGAACATACTAGCGAGTGACGCAACTGCGACACGTTAGCACTAGACAGATAGCACAATCAATTATTAGGGACGTTACTCGACAATGCATTATTAGCCATCACCAACAGGTCGTTTAAGTATCTCTGAGAGAATAAATTAATATGACTGTCTTTGTTCGTTTAAAACGTTTTGCCGCTTCGTTTAAAACGTTTTGCCATATTTTGCCGCCCCCATGAAGCAACGCGCCGCCCCTGGATTATCTACAAGATCAAGTGGGTAGCTACGCCACTGGGACTAGTCACCGGACGAGGGGTTTGGTTCGCCACATGATTGGCTGTCTTAACGACTTCTTCATCCCCATGGGATAGATATGAAAATCCTATTCTAGCATGATACCATCTAAGTGCCACTACTTGTATTTTTTTTTTCAATTGTAATGCCGATGTTCCTTTCTCTGGAGTAGGGAACTGGGACTGGGAGTTATGTGGGCAAATCAATCAATTTTAATTTGTTTACTCTGACAACAAACGGACAAACAAAGCGAAGCGGTTCTGGAAGACGAGCATAACTTAAGCACAAAGTTTTAAAAAAAACGTACGCACCCGTTCACCAACAGTCAACAACAGTCAAAGAACAAAATAAAATAGAAACACACGATACAAAATAGTGAAATACCTTTTAAATGCAAAATAATGAACACTTCAGCAAACTGTGCGGGTCGAAACCATACACTGGTCCGCTCCATGTGCAGTAAAATAAAAAACAATGAATCTTTTCATTTTCTCATATCCACTAGGTGACACTGCTTCGATTGTTTATAATTGCTATGCCGATGGGATGGCTCCATTCTTGGAAGTGGAGTAGCCTACAGCTGGGAGTCGGGGCCTTGTTATATAACATTATAATACTGTAATATTAGATAATGTTACCGGTAACTGGGTAACATTACAGCAGTCATGTACTACTACAGTACGGCACACTTTATCGAACTAGGACATTGCTTCGTTTTAACCTTTTGATGTAACAAGATGTAAACAAGTAAAAATTTGTTCGAGACATGACTGCATGAACTTGCCAAAAACCAACGGACCACCACACAAAAGGATTGAGTTCTAAGAAGTTAAACAATAAAACGACATATGTAGAAATTCTTTGTTTACACTCGAGTTGTTAATCATAAATGAGAACAATAGAGTCTGGCATAAAATGCGGGTCAATTTCGTAGGTGGATAGGGATAGGATAGGATTTACATATTTATCCCGGGGGGAGGAAAGCCGATAAGACGGCTTTCCATATGGCGAACCACGGGCCTTCTCGTCGGTTACCATTCCAAGTCGGGGTATGGGATAGTTTTACTGTATTTGTTTGTTTTCGGAAGCATGGACTTGGTGGTGGAGGAAGCCGTAACCGACCAGCGGTTACGTGAACCACCCAACGACGGCGAGGAGTCCAGCAATCCTCTCGCACATAACCATCCCTGCATGGGATTCGAACCTGCGAACCTGCTATACAGTATTATGTGGAATTTATTGTCGCCACGTCTCAGCATGATAAATTTAAATTTGTATAAGATGATCTCTTCATTAGAGATGATCCAACGAAGTAACTGTACAAAGCTAATAAACCATAAAAATATGCAGGAACTAGAGACAAAAGATCTCAGTGGGTTGCCCGAGACTTGTTTCCTGAGCAATGCTGCAATGAGAGTTGGTTGCATCCACGATGTTATGTTAGTCAAACGGAGATTTTTTCACCAATCATCAAAAGGCCCAGAAAACGAATTTGGTTTACTCTTTGGATGCACTTGGACTGCAGAATTAGCTCATCGTTGAGGATGGGTAGTTTTTGTCTAGGTGCACTGAAAATCATGTACTTGGTCTTTTCCGCATTTACTGTTAGTCTGTTTGCAGGTTAGCCAAGATTGAATGTTAGTAGGGTCAGCATTAGCTTTTTCAATAAGGTCTGGTAAATATTTCCCTTGTAGGAAGGGGGTGGTGTTGTCAGCAAATAGGATAGCATCGGAGTTTTTGAGTGATTTAGGGAAGTCATCAATCATAATTAAGAAATATATAGGCCCCATAAGCGACTCTTGAGGGACTCTTGAGGCCTCTAACACCTATGTGGTAGAGTTTGGAAAGCAAGATATGATGGTCAATGCAATCAAAAGCTTTCGATAGGTCAAGAAATAGTCCGAGAGTATAATGGCCTTTTTCCAATCTACCCAGTATTTTACTTTACCTGCGAAGTGGTATGTCCCTTGCGAAAACCAAATTGTTGCAGAAAAAACTATTTTGTTCTAAAAAGTTAACTAATCTATTGTACATTACTTTTTCTAAAGTTTTTGAAAAAGACGGCAGTAAGCTAGTCTGTCTATAGTTTTTGACATTTTTCATGTCTCCCCCTTTGTGAAGCGGTACAACTTTAGCGATTTTAAATTCATCAATAAATTGTCTCGATTGCAAAGAAAGATTAAAAACATGAGCTAGAGAGAGCATGCAGTTCCACGGCATTGCTCTGATAACCTTACTAATAGGGATTCCATCAAGCCCACAGCTGGTTTTAGGTCTAAAAGCTCGAATAATAGCTTGTATTTATGTGGCTGTTACGGGTGATGAAAACATCGAAGAGTTACTTCATTCGCCCATGTATTTCATGAAGTTACCGTCATTATCATTAGTGAATTTATCAGACATTCGCTTTCCTATCGTAGAAAAATGTTCATTGAGAAGAAGATCGGCTATCAATACAGGATCACACGTTTCCTTATTTCCCACAACAAATACTTTTGACAGTTTAGATTTGCATTGACCTAGCAGGGTATTCATTGTTTGCCACGATTTTTTCAGATCATTTTCAGTTTTACTCAAGAGCGATCTGTAGTAAGAATGCTTTTTGGTCAATATCATTTTTTCATAAGTTTCTTAATTTCCAAGTATTCCTAGAATATTGCGATTTATTGATGAGGACTTTTTGTAATGTTTCTGTTTTTCGTGTGAAGTTTTGATAATTCTCTATCAAACCACTTTTTGTTAGTTTTTTGATCAAAATTTGAGAAAAAACTGGCATAACATGGCAAGAATAATTTCTAAAGGCATCGCTGGGGTCTGACTCTTCATATACTACAGAGAAATCAATACATTCTAATGACGTCCTAAAATTAGTCATATTGGTCGGATTAAATGATCTAGAAAATTCGTTTTTAAGTGTTTTTTGTTCTATCGGCATGCACAGCATTACAGGTAGATGATCAGAGATTGCATCGGCTAGAATAGCGCTGACAGGTTTTCGATCGTATATGTTTGTCCATATATGATCGAGAATTGCCGCGCTGTTTTCACTTATTCTGGCCGGTTTGGTTACAGTGGGATAAAAAGAATATTGGTTCATCAACTCAGTCAATTCGTTGACAAAACGGTGCGAGGTGTCCACCAGGTCGTAATTAAGATCACCCATTAGTTTACTTTGTCTTTATAGTGTGCATTCATTTATTGAAGTTCCAGAATGTAGCCACAAATCCAGAATCAGAGTGGTGTGGCGTACTGCTGTACTGTCTGACTGTGCTACTTTGCAACCCCACTGAGTTTGATGTTCAACTTATATATTATGTAAAATCAGATGTTGGCCTATTTGTCATTATCATCGTCTGCTTTTAATTTAACGAAGTGTATATTAATTTAATTCCATGGAATTTGACTTCAACATAAACCTCATCTTCTATGATGTGATATCAGTTGTTTCAGGAGACATTGTGTTTTCTAATCGACATGATAAGCTGCAGATTCAACGTGATTTGGAAGTAAGTGAAAATGTTAATTTGTTTAAGGGAGGTTAATTTTAAAATGCGAAATAAAACAATAGATGTTGTTTTGGAAGAATATCATACTCTTTCGGAACCAATCTTGCCTGGATGACATTGAGGACCTGTACTGACACTGGAGGCAAATTTATTACTTTATCATTGTTGCATCACAAAAGGCTGATGACCAGTTTTTACTTGGAATTCTATCCTTGCGTTTTGTGAGATAAGGATACTAAAAGAGGTTTAAAAATAGATGGAGTTTTGTTCACAGGCTCCCAGTAGGTTTTTGCACATTTTTGTAAGGTATTTGCACTTTTTAGCATGGTTTGGTACATATCTATTATTGTTTTTAGAATGTGATAGATGAAATAGGACGGAAATCTGCTCAAGCACAACATCTATCTGCGCCGATAACGACATGGTCAAAATTAAGAATAAATCGTCATAAGGTTTATCTGCTAAAAGATCCTGATGTCAACAAGTAACTAATATTATTGAATGTTTATCAAGTGTCAGCATTTGTTGTGGTTTTGCATGGCATGATATATGTAAATTGTCAAACCATTCCTAGCATTGGATATTAACCATCCTATAGTCCCGATTTCGGTCATGTTCAGTTTTTGTTCACTTGATGCTATTGGCTTTAATTCAAATTGGTTGATTTATTTAGTTGCCATATCTAGCTAATGCCATGAATATCCCATAACCATGTTTTATGAACTGAACCTGATTGATTTTGATGGAGCACATTGTTTAGCTTATTATTAGTGTGAATTATTAATGAAGTGGGTTTGTTTAATATTGCATGTAAGCCATTACAGCCACATAGCTAAAGAATATCATATGACCAAAACATGAGCATGATTACTCAATATATGAATTGTGTATTGAGACTTGAGAGTATGAATTTATGGTTTAGTATGGCAAAACCTTTAAAACTTTTGCCATGACCCTTATTGAAAGTATTTGGTGTCTATCTGCTGTATGTTTATTTTATTCGTATCTATATATATAAAAAAAACGATGTCTGATTAAGATGTATTGTATTTACGTTGTACATGAGCTACCAAATTGAGAGGCTGAATTACTGTGAACTTAGAATTTAGATCAGGCAAAGGATTTCAAGCGTCGATAGTTTATATGCAGCAAATATAAGTTCCGTGCCAAGTAAATCATAATTATCAATTTTTTTGTTTTGCCAATAATTTCTCTCTTTAAATATTTTTTCCTCTTTTCCTTTTGAATAATGAATTATTGAGTTGATGAATTATTGAGTTAGAAAGGACAGTTGTAACTTTTTTCTAGACACACTTGAGGCTATCTATTTGTTATTTTTGACGAGCCAAAAGGCACGTTTGCCTTTTCGGAGTATATAGACGCACATTTATCTGTCATTCCTTGTGAGTCAAAAAATATATTCGCATTGCTATCTATAATTAAACAATTCAGTGATATCGTATTTAATGTTTAATATTGAATCAATCATCATTTAAATGCTTTGCTTCCATTATAGTCAATTATAATAATGAATTTATGTCCCAAATAAAGTAGGAAATCCTTGTATGATTATTTATCTGTCACTGTATGGCATTAATATGAAGGAAAGAATATAAATTCACCATGGTAAGAAAATTGGTATGTAATACACAAGATGAATTATACACATAGAGAGGAGTTTCCAAAGAATCCTTATATAGCTCTATCAGACAGTGCATCAGTGATTACACCTCTGATTTGTTACCATTCTATCCAGTTTTACATAAAGGCTGGCCGACTGATTTAATTAAAAGCAAAATTAGATGGAATTTCTTCCCTAAAGGTATTAGCCCATTAATTATCGATTTATGTGTCTCTAACCTTGCTACTGTTATATATCCAGATTCTTTTTTTTTAATTTTTTTTTTTTTTTTGAATAATTTCCATATTTCCCTTTTTAGTGGTAAAGGGAAAGTCGTCGGTTTTATCAAAATTGGAAAAAAACAACTTTTTGTTTTGGTATCGAGATGGGAAGCACAATGAATTCCACCCACTATGTGTTCTTGATTTTTATGTTCATGAATCTCAACAAAGAAAGGGACATGGGTTAAAGTTATTCAAATATATGTTACAGGTATTAAAGTATTGATGGTAAACACAAAACATTTTACGCCACACTTACATGGCCCGCCAGTGAAACGCTTTGTTGCAATTCATAATATGATGTATGTATGACAAAAGCTACCATAATCTAATTCCTCAATTTTAGGAATATTTTGAAATTTTTCATACCAAACATTTCTGTATGTAGTATGTTCATTGTGAAGTTAAGTAATGCCTCGATCAACTTCTACTACTCTTACAAAATAATTCAATAAAAACTCCGTAATCCATAAAAACTGAGATATCTGAACGTTTTGCACAGAATCATTTAATCTTTATAATTATATCGTTTTACTGTTATTAATATATATTGCTTTCGTTGAATATCGTTGTTGTTCAAAAACGTTTAGTCAGCATGTGGCCAAGGACACACTCAGCTGTTTTATAATTAGATTGATATAAGAAATGCAAATTGGTTTCAAAGGTTTAGGTTTGTACTCAATGATAGATTTTTATCAAAATGTCAATATTTGTTATTTCAGACTGAGAGTGTTGAACCATCCCATCTTGCTATTGATAAACCTTCAACAAAGTTCATATCATTTCTTCGCAAACATTTCAATTTATGGGTCAACGTATTCCACAGGTTTGCTACAAAATTATAATTGCTCACTGCAAAATATACCGTAATTGTGTCGCAATCACAACTTATACATTAATTTTGGACAACTCATTGCCACATTTTCAGAAGTTCTGCCTATGTGCTATCCAATGCAGGTCTTTTTTGAATGAGAAGTTCAATTTTTTTCTGCCCTCAGATAGACTCAAAACCTGTATAAAACAAAACTCACATAGTTTCAATGCTCCATAATTTTTGTGACTAGCAAGTTTCTAGCATCTTAATATTTCACTGCAACTTCAGCTCAATTAGAGATTAAGATATTACTTTCTTGCAACTCTTCATATTGTATAAAGACAAAATGGCATTGTTGGCGTGATTTTATTTTGTGTGTGATTGTTTTTACCAGTTGGAAAAATAAACCTGGCTGACGGGTTGCGTTGGAACTTTTTGAGATGTACAGAACGACGTGAGATAGGATATTAAATTTCAAAGAGTGTGAATTCCTTGAGTTGAACTATTATATTTTCACAATTCTCAGTTCAGATTAAATTTGTTTTGCAGGTTAATAACTTTGTAGTGTTTGATGGATTTTTCAAAAATCGAAAAGATAAACGGAGGAATGGAAGAAAAAGTTTCCAATCATCATCAAGAATTTGAAGACAGTTTTAGACCTTATCAAGAGCTTTCAGTGAGGATGTCATAAAACGTAACAGGTAAAAGACTAATGTGGAATGAATTACTTGAATAAACAATGTACAGAATAAATTTTGGCGCTGTGTGCCAATATGGAGGTGACTAATTTTGTCCACCTATTTTACATCAAGTTGTGTAAAGGGACTAAAATCTATAGGCAGGGGGATATTCACTTGTAGCTAACACAGTCAGTCCTCGAACTCTAATAGAACTAAAATAAGAAAAATTGGAATAAAGTTATGACTTAACCCCAACCTGGTACACTTACTACGGGAGTACCTAAATTTTAACATTCACTATACCATGTTCAAACTTGCTGTTTCTATGGGCAAGGTTTGAAGAAGGCTAGCTGTTATAGTTTCATTAAACTGATTCAAAATTGGCACCCCCTATTTTTACAGATCATGGAAAATAAGAATATCTGTTTTGCATCTTAAATTATCATATTCTCATTTGACCCTTATTCATGTCTTTCACTTCGAATAAGGCCCTGTAAAAGTATCCGATAATATGTGAGTAGATACTATTTTTGAATAGACCAGAATCTTTTTAGTTCTGCGTCGTCTACCCAATATATTACACTCCCTTATGAGATTTGAATCTGGGATGTGTAACCTGTGATGCCATGCAGTTATAATTCTAACGCCAGTGCAAACATGAAAGATGCTGAGGTAATAAGAGAGATTATGATTACAATCATGCAATGGCTTGGTGTTAAGTACGGTACATAAATATCCGTTATTAATCATTACAGGAGAAATTATTCATGTAATGATAGCTTGAATGGCATTCGTCCCATGTCTGGATCAACACTCAATGGATCTGGAGGTATGATATTATTTTATCTGGTGTTAACATGTATGTGTTTTGTTATCTTCCTTTGATGCAAATTTTACATTCTAGATCGCCCAAACTTTCAAAACTCTGGTCAAGGTGCAAGAGCGAATATGTTCAGCAGGTGAGTCTTATTCACTTCTTTGTGAAGATGCAGAAATCATTACCAACATAATATTTAAAGACTGCTCACTGCTGTAGAGTTCATATTATTATTAAACTGTGTGTTTGTTTTTCCATCAAAATTTCATTCCTTGACTTTTTTATGATTGCATCATTTGAAAGGTGTATGACGATACTGCTGGGTCTAAAAGTGAACGTAAAATGCTAAAACAACGTTTTAAATACTTGAAAGTTTAAAAAACAACAAACAAATGATCAAATTATATATGTATGGAAATTTATTTAGGCACATTTTTATCTTGATAGGTTTTTCTCTTAGAGTGGGTCCTCTCAATGATGATAAAGCATTCAACTCCATAAAATAAGGACTTTCTTTTGATTCTGTCACTGTTTACTGTAAAACTGCATAGCAAAATCATATTGAGTGTTATTTGTCATCTTCAATAGCAAAAACAAAGTTTAAATCAGTGGTTCCCAAACTTTTTTGACCATCGCCCCCCTAAAGTAGTTTATACAACTTCATCGCCCCCCTCCACTACCAAAATAATATAAAGTCAGAAACGAATATATTACATACCAAATAAGAAGACAAATCATAGTTTATAGTGTTTTTTAATGAGATAGATGAGCTTGGTGTTCTTCAGCGAGTTTTTTATTATATCTAAAATTACCCCGTTTACTGATGGAAAGGTGATTTCGTTGTTTTAATAGCAATAGTAGCACGGCTGAAAACACCGTATAATAGGTCGGAAATGAAAGAATCCAGGGTTCTACCTCCTCAAAAACCGCCGTGTACTCTTGCCTTATAGCATTTCACTTCCTAAATTCACCCCATTCCACATTAAAAAAAGAAAAAAAGTTAATTTTCCCAAAGTTATAATAATTCGTACATCTCATTCATTCGTACAGCCTGATGACCTGCACCAAAATACTTCGGAAAAGTTCATCCCCGATTCCTCATCCTATCACGGCTTCCAGTCCGATCACCAGTCCATAATTAACCAGCCATTTGCTTTTGGATCCATGGACTCGGATGGGGAAGAAGCCGTGAATGACTATCGGCTAGGGCCAAGGGGTCGGCAAATTTTATGTCGCTCGCAGGACAAAATTTAGGGTTGCTAGTCTTTTGCGGGTCGCATATATTTTTTGAAAGTTAAAAACGGAACAGCGTGCGAAAACTGCGACAATTCGTGAACTTAACTTAGTCGTCTTATTGAAAAAATATCACAATGACATTTAATGTGACACTGTCTTGTTGCTGCATCACACTGGATAGCTTTACGACGCCAAGATTGAAACATTTTCTAAATGGGCATCACCAAACCCACTTCTTTGCTTGTTCTTTGTAATGTTCATTTTCAAAAATAATGGTTTGCACAAATATGTACTTCCAAACATCGAAGTGAATATTTTCGCATGATTTGTGAAATTTTGATAAATATTTTCTTTAAGACGATACATTCTTACAAAAATTAAGCAGTGATGAATCTCCCGAATAGAATATGAATTTTATTTCCTTAGTGCTTTGCAATATATTCGAATATTTACTGCGCTATTGAACCCCTGCACTCAGCATCAACTTTTCTGCGTGTTTCCATTTGTCTAATTACAATTAAATTGTAGGCTCGTTAAACGAGTCGCTGTTCACTAAATTGTTGTGATATAGTATAATTAAGGCTAGACGTGTCTCACGATAAATTCTGTTACGTAAAAAAATGTAATTTACTCCTCGAGCGTAGATTATAAATAAAAAAATTTCATCGTCGAAACCGCCGTTTGAATATTTCCCTGGGCATAGACTTCCATGTTTACTTCGTGACATTGGCCAATCAGCAAGAAGCAAAAAACGTAACAATTCCCCCTTTCGCATCCGCTCAGACACTCTCACTCAGACAGATTTTTAGATGTGGTCGTGAACATTACCTCATTTTTGCGTTTTGAATTATATTCGTTAGTTTTTAGTTGTTTTTCGGAAATTTAAATATAAATCAAATAGGCCAATGATTACTTTGTCTTTCTATGAGTTTCAGTTTAAATACAGCAATCAAAAATTAGTGTAAAAATAGCTGTGATAGACTAGGCTAAAATTCTTTATCGGTACTTTTAAAAAACAAATTGTTAAATGGTGTGTATTAGAATGATAGTTTGAAACAAATACCCCATTTTACAGGCAACAACTCGCAAAACCACTCTTAAAATAAGCACCGAAAATTTTAAAATGGTAAAGTATGGGAAAAATTTTCCGCGGCCAAAGGTCGGGGAAAGGTCCATTCAGTGAATCGTCCCGGGCCAGATTATTTTACTCCGGCCGTATTTTGCCGACCACTGGAATACGCAAACTACCGTACCTTTCTGCGAAGACGAGACCAGAAATCCTTTCGCGTGTGAATATCACCCACATGATTCAAGCCTGCGAATGCACACAGAGTACAGAATTAAATGCGCCGAACATAAAACAGGTTTCGCGAAATCGCCCCCCTATCGCCCCCTTAGACTTTTTCGCCCCCCTCTGTATCGTTTTCGCCCACTGGGGGGCGATATCGCCCACTTTGGGAATCACTGGTTTAAATCATCCATTTTTGATCATTCCCCTGATTTTAAATTACAGTTATGTCTAAAAATAGTTTTGTCAGCCACTACTGTTGTGAATTTCAGATTTGCAATGGATGAGAATTCATATGTTCCATCTCCTCCTCAGAACAGAAGAAGAAGTCTAAGATCACAACAGAATGATGAAATCATTACCAATCCATATAGACGGATTACGAATACTGCTTGTAAGTTCGTTATTCTCGGATTTGTTAGTTTTGTTTGTCAATTGAATTAGATAATATACATTGGTTCTTTTTGTTTGGATTTATTTATCTCAGAAGCTTTATTCAGAAAGGTGTTATTGTTTGTTTGTAATATATTTAAGACCTATTTTTATGTGTTTGTTACAAAATTTCATCTTTTTGTCCTGCACAAAGGGTTTGCGTAATGAGGCATATACAACTTATATTGTTTATGTGGTGACTTCACACAATATAAGTCACAGACCATGGTTTCCCAAGCTTTCTACAACCACTGCCCCCTGAACAACTCATAGACCAACAAACCTTAAAAACATGAATATCCTGTCCCAGTCAGCTAGCAGGGGTAGGCTGTAATTTATGACATCTCATCTGATCATATCATTTGTTTATGAAACTTCTTCATATAATATGAAGCTGTCTAAAGGAAAGTAATAGATTGGTAGCTGAGGGTAACTTCGAAAAGCCCAAATTTTGATCACAAAAAGTTTGGTATATGCAAGCCTTCTTTAATTGTCTGTTGAGATTGCCTGGTGGACTTGATTGATGCTCTCTGAGTGTTTCGAAGATTTTTCTTGAATTCCTGCAATTTTTTCTGAAAATTACCAGTTTATACAATCTAAGGTACCAGGTCTATAGAATCCAGAAGACTGAGACTAACCAGCCAGTGCTGTCTGTTGGGTACTCCCGAAGTATTCGTACCAGGTTGGGGTTAGGCGATAATTTTATTCCGATTTTCCTTGTTTTAGTTCTATTACGAGCTAGGGGACTGTCAGTGAATATCCCCCTGTCCATAGGCTTCAGTCCCTTTACACAAATTGATGCAAAATAGGCGAACAAAATTAGTTATTGGTACCCATACTTCAGGAGCGTCGTCTGTTGTAGGCTACTTTCTATGTTGTATTACAGCCATTGGTGAAGATTGATTCAAATTATGATTGTTTTTTCAAATTAAGTAAAATAAGTAAAACATCTGTCTTATACATTGTATATACATATAGCCAGGAATCGGGAATTGATAAATGAAGAACCAATGAAATCAAAAGAACATGTTACTGAAACCTCACCATTTCAAGAGTTGCAAAATGGCACAAAATCAGAAATCAAAGTGAGTCACAATAATTTGAATTATTTTTATGTACTATGGCCTCAGTGAAGTTAGCATTGAGAGTGGTATTCCCTGAGTTTGAGCTCTGAAGAAAATCTATCATGTCACCAATCTTGTCTTTCTAGATTTGGCTGTAACAGCCTTCGCTGGGTGGTTTCGGTGAGCACTTTTTTAAGAAAATTTGCTCAAAGCAAGGTCACAAACATTCACTCAGAGGTACAGGAGACTGACCTGGACGAAATTCATCCGGGATTTCTGCCAGCATTATAATTCAGCCTGTGTCGGGGATAATCTTTTTTTATATGGCGCTTAGTCACGCCTTTCGCTCAAAACAATATACTATTTGAGCAGCCACTGATATCCAATGAATATGTAGGAGCTAGCATTTTTTGGAAGGGCCAGAATATTTCTGATTCACATTGACTACCCAATTTATTATACCTTGGGTGAGGTGATGGACATAGGATTGACCTATAAGACTAAGGTTTTTTATGAGTTCAATGAGACCTGTCGTTTATCATCTCAAAAATGGTTTCGTGTTCCTTCTCCACACTGCATTGAGAATGATTGATTTGTTTTCTCCTACTCTGCCCTACTGAACTGCTAAGAGACAATAGTCCTTCATTTGATTGAAATCTGTTGCATCTGTTTACACAGAGATAGTTGTGATAATCTTGCCCTAGAGTCAAGTACGGGCGAAGGCATGAAGCCAAATCATTTCACTGGACAATTTTATGAAACTGTTGATTAGTCTTCTTTTCTGGTTCTGCTTTTGCATCAACGGTCTTTATAATTTAATCTATTTAGAACCAGATCTCAGTAGAACCTGACAAGCAGCAGGAGATATCACAAGTTTGCAACAAGGATGAAAAAACTCAAAGCAACATAACCTCAATGAGGAAAGATTTGTTTCAAGCAAAATCAGGCTACAATTCTTTGAGGAATCCTCTGTATAGCAAGCCTTCTGATATGATTCTTGAACTGAAACGCAAGGATAAACAAGATTCACAAAATAACTCAAACAGAGCGGTGCAAGATCAACGATCGTCATTGTTCGGAAGTTCTTGGAATGTTTTCGGTGTTCCTACACCGCTTAGACAGAAATGGAATAACCAGCACCAGTAGCCCTCAACCCAATCTTTTAATGCCTGAAATTTTTTCCAATGCAGCAAAGTAACAGAATTGTGACTGAAAGGGTCCTAATATTATTCTTTTGGAAATCTTTACTTCAAGCAATAAACTAGCTTACTCTTAATTTTCGTAGAGTCACACCAGATGGTACTTTATCACTTTTTCTTCAAATGGACATTTTTTTTTATTTTCATTACCTCCCGAAAATGCTGTGAATTTTCAGGTGATCCCAAGTTTAACAAGTAAACCTAAATTTGTATACAACTGTCAGGTACTGTGGCATCATTTACTGTGAACTTTCTAGTAAAAATATTTATATCGTACTTGAAATGATTCTCATTTTACTTTTCACCATAGAAACTTAGCTTAGTTATTATTACTTTAAGGCGACTAGTGACTTTTGCAAACTTTTTTATGAAAGAAATGTTAATATATAATGCAATAATACACGTTTATATTTTGTTGAATAGTAATGTTTTTTTTTGTAATTGGATATCTTAACTTCGAAGAGCAGGGGTCGTTCGGTCGGAAGCTTTTGGCCCACATATTACATCCATGGCGTGGAGTATAACCAGTGGTGGGGTGGGATTCAGCCGGTTCGCACTGGTTCTATAGAACCGTCTCACGGATTTTTATGAGATCAGCGAACCGGTAAGCATTACTGGTTACTGTCAATGGATTTTTGCATCTTATCTGACACACCGATTCTTGAGATCAAGTAGCTCACATGTTTTTTTTTTCAAAATGTGAAATGATCAAGTTTGCATGTAACAGTTATACATTGTGTTAAGTGGAGTATACACCTTCAGGTTTTTAAGTTGATTATCTACACTATATAATATATACAGCAATATAGACAATACACAACATCATCAAAATCTTTGATGTTAATTTTGACATAATGATGCTTACTTAACGATGATTTCGAAATGTTAATTAGGAGGTAATTGAAAATAATCAGTTTATCTTCTAAAAAATATGACGTTTTGTAACAGAACCAGCTGAAAAAGATGACTTTTGTGATGGTACCGGCTTACAAAAAAATTTGAATCCGACCACTGATAATAACGCTTTTGGTTGACGCGGCATCGAGATTTCGTGGTAATTCTTCGGCAGTGTAAATTAGTTCAATTCGAGTTATATCGTTTGTATACTTAACCTCCTCACTTGTCGAGTCCACTAAAATAGCATGCGGCATAGACTCGTAGCCGATAACGTTGTTTTCAAAAATCGGTTGGTTAATATTACACAGAACGTGCGTGAAACATCTTTGCAGCGTTGGATATCATAATTGCTGATTGTAATAGCACATCTCTACAGATAAGGTAATGTCTACATTCAAATATTTTGGATATGCCAGTAACTTGGCAGATTACAAAGTAGGATTGGAATGTAAATCTTGTCGATTAGAAAGCATAGCGCGACTTGATGGCTTTACGTTGAGTTTTGGCGAGTATTGTCCGGATTGGTGTGGTGGTTCTGCCACATTAAGAAAGGAGGCAGGATCTGAGGTTTGGGGAGCAGTCTGGGTTATTGACAACTCGGAGATGGATATTTTGGATGAGCAAGAACATGTTACCAGTGGCCAATACAAAGCGGTAATCATCGAAGTTGTCGGCAAGGATGATCGAATTATACAATGTCGGGCATACGAACAGATAGACAAGCAGGGCGAACCAAGTAAACCGTCTCCGCAGTATTTAGCCGTGATTTTGGATGGAGCGAGAAAATGTGGATTGCCAAATGGATATATTGCTAAACTTGAAGCTGTTGAAACAAATGGTAACAGCGAAATAACGGAACTCATGGTTGCAATCAGCGAACGACGCAAAGCATTTGGCCTTCTCAGTCCATTATTTTAAAAACAAATGAAAGATATAATAACGTTTTTTTCTTTGAATCCACTCAAGATATATACTGTACATTTTAAACTCTTACTCTTTAAAGTCTGTGCATGATTTGAAAATGGATGGTTACTGTAGTTCGGCAGAATCGGGCCTTAAACATTGTTTTGGGACATTAAGTTTTTTTTATTGTTTAGATACAATGTCGATGACATAAATAATGATACCCAGGTGGGTGTGGAGTATATAATGTTGAGCAATTTTTTTTAAATGGATTTCAAGTATTCGTACCAAGATGACGCACAACCTGAATCCTAAACTGGTACACATGCAATGTTCAGGTTGTGCGCCATCTTGGTATGAATACTTCGAGAGCACCTTTTCGTTAAAAACAATTATTTCATAACTACATGGGTTAGTTTTGAATACATAGTAACATTGCATCTCCTTACAATGTCAGAAATTCGATTTTAGTAGAATAAATGGTAGCTTATTTCACTAATATAAGCTAAGATCCATCGACAGCATCTAGCCACTTTCTTTTGCGCTCGTCAAACTACATTTGTGTTGCTGCGGGCATTTCGTTTTCCTGCTTAAAGCTTAGGGACTTGGGAAATATTTTATTAGTTGAAATGGATTGGAATATTCGACCTCGTCTTTCACTCCGAACAAGGCCATGTAAAACCATCCACTGGTATCTAACGATGTGTAACGTGTTTTCTTTTGGAGGAACCGGAACCTTTCAGGTGTGTAGCATTGACTTTGGCCAAATTAATATATCCTTGTGGAGATAAAAGGTATGCGTATGCGAAACCGGGATGTGCACCTGTTACGCCAACATAGTTGAGTCAAACATTTTGATCACTAGTACATCACACCCATTTTCCTGCGTGCTTTGGTTGTACGTAGTAACGCGCACATTTTTGCGAGCGTGCATCAAATTCCACTTGTTTATTGAGCTATAGGTTTTTGACGAGCTTTTGTGTATGATTTCGTTCAATAGAATTTGTATGCTGTTTTAAAGAATACTGGTTTCAGCTTTTTTATTCATTCAAACCGCCTGTTGGAAGTAAGTTTTGTAATACTGCGTGTTGGTTTTCAAATGCTTTATTTATATCCATCAATTGACATCCTTAAATCGGTGATGCCAGTAAATCTTTAATACAAAAAAAAACAGTATCATATGATAGCTGGGGGATGGATACTCATATTATCTGCTCCATCGCGTGCCTCTTACCAGTTTACATGAGTGCCAATTGGTATTGGATTGGCAATTGGTAGTTTTTCAAGTGTGTAGATAGGTATAATCTTTTCCACGCTGTTGAGATGGGAATGCGCGAATATATCTGAAAATCGCTAATATTGGTTTGCAATGCGATGGAATCCCATCTTGGCATTTCTGCCTCTCGCAATTGCTGCTTATATTTATCGGAGAAGTTCTGTGGCGTGGTTATCAAATGAAGAACACATGGGAGTATTTTTTCCACTTCTCTGCTACTCTCAAACCTTGACATTTTGTCAAACCTTTTTTCCATTCAATCTTTTTTTTGAAACATCCTCACCAACCACAATTAGTTCTGTCGTTAAACTTCCGAAACAAACAGATAAAATCATCAACAGATGCATATCACCAAGTCCTAAGTAGATATTGCTAAATTGATCTTTATGTTACCATTTTTCATGTAATGCTTTTTGGTAAACCTGTTATCTATCGTAAATACAGCACATTTGGCTATGTTGTAGTGTAACTTTTTTGGCCTCACATCTTTGATATTTGTATTCAGATCTCTTGGCCTTGGGGCTTTGTCAAACAAAGTTACATATATATAAAATATTGGTTGTAAGTTGCAAAACATGATCATGCTGTTGGAATAACTCGCATTTTATCACCTGTATGTATATCATTCATTGTCGAGAATCATAACGAAATCATAAAATCTAAAACCCGTTTTCGTGAATTTTTTGTTGTAGCTGAATTCGAGGGACAGCATGACAACAGGCACGAGAAGCACGGTAGCCTCTTATAGTTTATGACAGGGTTTCCTAAAAGGGGACCCCGGCCTCCTTGGAGGCCACTGATCGGTTATCTGGGAGCACGAACAAACAGATGGAAATGCGAATATATAATTACAATGTATTTTTATTGAAAAGAAGAAGCAAAAGTGTTGAAAGTCTTCGGTAGTTTGAAAAGCATTGGCATTGAACATAAGAATGAACTACATACTTTCCCAGGGATATACTATAAAATGTAGCAATTTCTCATTCTTGTTCTCGTGATAGCATTATCTTTCACTGCATCGTCGTGATCATCCCGCTGCATAACAATCCTTGCTAGCAAATAATTGACTCTTCTCCACCGGGTGTATATCCACTTGAACCACTGCCGACTGCATTATCAGGCTTGTATTGTTAATTGAAACAAAAAGCGGGTATTTTGAAATAGTACTCTTTATTTTACGCGTACGTTTCAACAGTATTTTTCTCTATATGGGTCGCGACCCAAAGCTGGGTTCAACAAATACCTAAAAGGTATTGATTTTTATTTCCTAGTAAATTTGGTGCTCCCGTAGTTTGTGCACCAAGATGGCACAACCTGAACATAGTACTGTAACAGGTTAGGTTTCAAGTTGTGCGCCATTGTTGCCAAATTGCTCAAGGCTGCAAACTCCACACCCATGTAAAATGATGGGCAATAACCCCAAGATGAATAATCACAAATAACAAAAAACTTTATGTCTGAAAACAAGGTTGGGCCCAAAAAGGCCCCTTATCTGCCGGACTATTGTGGATATCTTCGAAAAATTCAATGCTAATAGTATGAGCTAAATGAGTCACTCGAAACGAGGTCATATTGAAGACTCGTGGCCACCACGCCCAAAAGTTGGTCAGCATTATATGTATGTATCGAAGGCTATAATTGAATTCTCATTTTTATCTGTACCTGTTTTTATTTCAATTCGATACAAGCTTTGTAATATATGGACATTCGGCTGCCTAATGCTGAGTGATGATTATCTACCGCTGACGAGGTAGATTGGACCAATCCATATAAGAAAGCCAAATAGTATAGAATAGGGGGGGGGGGGGGGGGGGAGAAATGCGCAAAAGTTAGAGGCAGATACCCACAGACCTTAATACCACAAAACAAAATACTTGGCCGTATGAAGATTTAAATTTATTTTGTTTATTGCCTCAATTAGTAAATTAAAGTACAAGCAGTTCATTCCTAGGAAATGAATATTTCATCTTTTGTTTACGAAACTATTCTATCCAACATCCTCATGACTGCTTTGATCTGCTCGCCATTGGCTGTTGCTGTAAATGAAAATATAGCAGTGCTTGAACACTGGTACATAAGAAAGGACACAATATTGATTTAGACTATTTCGCGAACACTGAAATGTTTCTTGAATATATTTAATGTATATATATAAGATACGAAATTGGAACAAAAACTTACCATAATACTCGCTGGTGAATCCCCACCTGCGCAAAAAATACCATGAATTATTTTGTTGTGTGGGTATCAGGCGTGAAGAAACCCACAAACTATCTGAGCCAATTTTTAAGTTTTAAAAACACTCTACAGTCATAGTGCCACAAAAATGTCGTGTACAGAAAAATTGTGTTGTTATAGTGCAACGGTGGGCAAACCGCGACTCGCCGGAGTTTTATACAGCTCTTCTCGCTAGCAATAATTATATATTATCCAAATTTAACTAAGAGAAACTGTATCGTAACAGTTTTAATTCATTAAGCGGTTGAAGAAGCGTTCAACAATGATTAAGAAAAAATATGTTTTAGTATGAAAAGCGTAGAGTGGAATTTAATTTAAATCAGTCAAACGACTAATCTTACATCCCAGCGATCAAATGTTTGTTGCTGCGTTGGCGGTTTGTTGTAGCTTTTTTGCGGTTAGTCTCCGCACTGCATTGTCTACATATCACCAAGACTTACAAACTTCCAGATAAGATGGAAACACACCAGTCAACTACTTCTGATATGTCCTCGCAATATATACTTTACAATATTGTTATCATATTATTATTAGTTTGAAAAATTATGCGGCTCTTATACTAAAAAAAATTGCGTACCCCTGTTATAGTGCTTCGTTAAAATATTTTTTGGGGTCATTTCGTTGGTTGTATTGAAAATACAGGTAGATGATCGAAAAGGCAAATTTTGTAACTATAAATAAGTTGATCACTTTTTATATAAATGAAATTAAATAAAATTCTGCCACATTTTTTAAATAAAGTTTCAATTCATCTTAGCAGTTATTAATATGCTTCTAAAACCAATTTGCATAAACCAAATACAATAGCATACCAGTCCCAGCAACCCTGAGGATTTGTAATAAGATTCACTGATGTTCTCGGATAGAGTATGATAATGTTATTCAGAGCTGCAACTTCGTTATAACCCGCATCGTTAGCAAATGCTTCGGCTACGCTGTCGCTTGTCTTACATCCATGGAAAGCTACGTGCACGCGGCAACCTACAACATATTTAAGAGATCACATTAGAGCGTTTTCAGATCATGTTATATTGTATTTTTTGAACTTTTTGTTATTTTACTTTGTACTCCACGAAGGAACTTCTGTTAGTTTTATTGTAACTAGTATCATACGCTAAATATACTACTACTACGTCCCCTCAAAACAGCATGGGCATTGATGTGACTTTCTGGAAGCGCCAGAGGGACATAGCTAATAAAAATATAATAGCCTTTATTTATAAACGTAGTCTTTCCTGAGGCATATAGAATTTTTGTATGGTTAAATAGTTTTATAAGAAACATGATATATTCAAGAGAGACATGGCATATTGAGGGCGCTATAATATAAGATGACCGCTCACTTGTGGTTCCACTACTGCAGGACGTTGGCACAAATACCAGCCCGGTCTCATCCATAACAATATCTTTCGGATTTGATGAATCCACAAAATCAGCTTGACTAAATTCTAGCAACTGTCCCTTCGGCAAATCATTGCTCTCATAATCCGGCATCTATAAGTCAATAACTATACATATATATTAGCATATTAAAATTATATCCATAAACAATTAGGTAAATCCCTACTGCCCGGGTGTCGACGAAGCCCCGCGGATTTTCTATCTTTGTTGACTTGCTCGATATCTTGTGGCACATAGGTACATAAGGAGCTTAATATTGCAAAGTAAAATTATAACAGTTTTAACAATTACGATCTAACATAATAACATTACGAACATTTTTAACTAATTTTTTTTTTCCGAATCATGATAACAAATTAATGGACGTGAAATGCGGTTTTATTATCTGTGTCGTTAATTTGCCTTACTCAAAGTCAACCTGGCAAAATATAACTATTACCTGCAAGTTTCCGCCATAAATATGATTGAGAATATGATATGCCGCTGCAAATCCGCAATTATTTATATCATTGGTGTTTCTGAAGCCACAGAGTCCTCCTTTGTTCATTGTCGGCTTAACATAATTTATTGTGCAATAAGAAAATTATTTTGGTTGTCATTCTGTCATTCGGATATTGGCTCGATGGTGTGACGCATCGTGCTAAGCGAAAGGAATACGCTGGTCACCGCACCGCCGTAGGGTGGTTCCGTAAGCCCTGATTGGTTGGGACTTCCTCCACCAATCCAGTCCATGTATCTGGAAACAAATGACTGGATAACTAATCCCATACCATACCCGACATGGACTGGTAACCGGGCGAGAGGCCGTGGTTCACCATATATGATCAAGTCGTCTTATTAGATTTCCTTACCCATAGAGATAAATGTGTCAATCCCACCCTATCTCAAGAAGCATTGTACAGGCTGTAGAGCAGCAAAACGACAAATATATGCGGCTTTTGAAAATATACTCAATTCGACAAAATACCCTACCTCTATTCATTTTAAAACAAAATGCAACAAAATAGTTTTATAAGACGTAAATTGTCATTTCTGTAGCTGATAAGTCAATTATTTTGTTCCTTTTCGGAAAACAAAAACACGAGTTTCAAACTGAATCCGACCGGTAGAGTAGGCTTGAATAAACATAAATTGCATTAATTTCAGGTTTGTAAACAGTTGAATAAAAATAGTATATACTCACAAATCCGTTCTGTGATGCAACATCGTATTCTGTTTTAATATTTGAAGGATTCACATAACTGAGATAAAATTCTTCTGCTTTTTCAACCACCCCTCAAGAAAAATAAAAGCTTGTAAGGCAATATTCATGGACTAAGTTTACCACAAGTTGTTTTATTCCTAAATATGTGAATCGAGGGTCTCAACAATGCGTCATGGAATGCAAGGTGGGGCAAAAGTAGACTAATAGTTATTAATCAATATAAATATATATATATATATATTTAAATTCTATGATATTATACTAACAATTAAAAACTTGGAATGCTTTACATTTGTCAAACCATATTTTATTTGATTCGCGCTAACGCTCAGGTTAGATACTACTTGTGTGTATGATTGCCTACCTTTTAAAACTGTTGTGTCTTCTGTGCCGCTGTAAAGGTATACTTTGTCGTTATTTAAGTTGGATAAATCTGGAACCGCACCACTTATGACGTAGTCCTGTGCATCAGATTTCAAAGTCTCCACATTTATACCCATCGGTATCGTCATGCAATAGGTTGTCGCCAATGTTAGACTGTTTCTCGCACAATAATAAGGACCTAGAATATGAGAGTCATAGTTCCATTTCCAATCATCATTTTTGAGTAAAAAAGATCAAAAAGAAGTAAGCGGTAGACAGAATATATATAGTGAAAAATATATATATATGAAAAAAAAAATGTTTGGTTATCAATGGTTAGAACGACTGACTACAGCCCCACTCATCAAAGTAAACTCATTTTTTTGTTCAGTACTGAGATGGGTGTTTCGCAGTCAGCATATTTTTCAATTAGCGATGGGTTTTGTGAAGCTCTGTGTTAGATATAAGAGACGAATTATATATAATATATATATGAAATTCGAACCACCACACGCAACGAAACAATTGAGCTCGTATACCTCCTGCTATTGCCCCGGCTCCCATTATTGTATCGGATTCAGCAACATGCATTTGAATTGCCATATATCCACCCGAAGACAATCCACTTACTGAAATCGCATTTTTATCCGCTTTGTATGATCCTTAAAATATAGCAATGTTTGGTTATATCACGTGGATGGTTGGGCCCCGTTTGACGTTACTTAGTGAATTCAGCTCCCTACTAGATAAAAGCCTGAATCAGTAAAACGTCCGCATTTAACAAAATAGCCCACAAAAAATCGTGTAAAATTTATTTAAGTTTGATGTCGTTCAAAAATAAGTCTGTTTAAATGTATCACGCCTGTTCATTCGGAGGTCAGAACTTAAAATTAGAACTGAAATTACAGTGTATCCTGCTGATGTATAGTTTTGGTTTGACTAACCATTTTTTTTTGTTTCTTTGGTATGTATGGTAAACAAAATTAAACCATTTTACCCAAAACTCCATCCTCAATCGAAGACCCTGGCTTTGTTGTTGTTTTCGGTTCAGTAACTAAAAATAAATGAAAAAATATGTTTAATATTTATAATCAACAAGAACATCGAAACCAACCTTCTAAATCTAGCCCATATTTACAAACCAATATTTGAAACTAGCTTTTTTAGTTATCATACTGAAACGTTCGCTATGATAAAATAAGCCGGAGACTAACTTTTTATAGTTGATGCGTCTGTTGGTACTACGTCAGGAGTTGTTGTAATCATTGTAGGTGCTGACGATGACGTCATAGCTGTTGAACCCGATGTCAGTCTTTTTACCATGTTCATTATTGCTACTACTTGTTTGCCATTGTGGTACGCTGCAAAATTATGAAGTTGAAAAAAAGGTATAAAAACCAGGGATGGGGTTTTACTACTACACTTAGGTATATATATATAAATATATAATAGGTTGAACTTTGAATTTTAAACGGCATTTCAACAAAACTGAATTCAATTTATTCAAAATACTGAGACAATTCATCATTGTTTTTAAACATAGTTTAGTCAGAGCTTCGAGGTATTACTAACAGTTGGAACTATAAAATCGCATCACATGATCCATCTAGCAACCTACCGTAGTTTGAGTCGGTGTATCCCCAACTGCAATGAAAAAAAAAACACATGACAAAAAGATATGAATAGCTCATGTTTACATAATATATTACGTGCAGATATGCTACCTTTTTAAATGATTGATCCTATATGTAACGGAATTATCAGATCGAAAAAGCTCATTAAATTACTATTTTGTGTATTTTTTAAAGAATTATGGAAAAATAATTTAGATTTGACTAGATTTAAAATTGAAACATCACGAGTTTTAATTAAACATTATTGGATACGTTTCAACTATCTTTGATATTGTACGATATGGCACGTTTCAGGCGACAATCAAATTCAGTAAATCTGGAATGATGCAAGACCAAAAAAGTGAAATTGGAATTGCAGACCGTATAATTATTCAGTTATACTTGAAGAAAATTATTCTTAAACGCTTGTTAAACTTTAATTCAACAATATGTATCAATATACATGCGTGATAAAACATAAGAAAAATCGATAGGTTTGTGTTTTAACTTACAAGTCCCAACACCCATTGGGGTTGGAGATGGGAATGACTGACGCTTGAGGATATATAACAATAATATTATTCAATGCCGAAACCTCATTATAACCAGTCTGCATAACATAAGAATCTCCGATGAAGCTATCCCCTTGTTTACATCCATGTATAGAAACATGTAGACGGCATGCTGGAAAATTCAGAACGTTCAAAATAACCTATATATATATATATCACCCATTAGCCTACATCACTCAACAACTCAAGCTTTTAATACAAAGGAAGTTAGGTTCCATTTAAATGACGGTGACAATTTTGGTATTACATACTATTGAACTGTTAAGGTCGAATTTTCAGTATTCTCATAGTTAACGTTATAGGCAATAATAAACAAACATGAGATTTCTAGACACCTAGACAACGTGCTGATATAGTCGATACCATATTGCCTTGGTATCGAAGAACGCAGTTTCAATCTTGTTACAGCTGTACAGTTGGAAAATTTGCCTTGCATTATAATTAGATAACAAAATTACAATACATTCTGTTGCTCCAGCGCAGGAATCTGGCACAAAAATATATCCTTTGGAAGCCATTCCAATCGATGACGGATTTAGAGTATCTATGAATTCAGATTGGTCAAATGCCAAAACCGTGCCTCGCGGAGCAGGAGCTGTCAACGAATAACTGGGAACCTAAATAATAAAGTCTATTTGTAATACTTCATTTCAAATAGTTGTTTATTGGCTACTGAAATGAGCTCTTGTGAACATTACTCAATACTACGTTCCTAGATTGGCTGATAGAGTAATCTAATCATTTCTCGAGTTATATGACTGCTGATCAATTACTATAACCCTGTTTTGCTATCTTGTCCTTCTTGATGTTGCCCACGTGTGTGAGTGTTGGAAGACAAAAAGAATCATTGGCTACATTTAGTTCAAACTGATTATGAGGTCGGAGAATTTGTGATTGGATCCCGATTTGTCTAATTGTAACGTATTTCTATGATTCAGGTACCTCGAGGTTTCCGCCGTATATGTGATTAAGAAGATGATAAGCAGAATCGTAATCACAGTCATTTATGTAAGTTGGTGTGTATATTCTGTTACACGCTCCACCATTGTCCATTGTGACCTGGGATTTGGAAAAAAGAATTTAGAATCGAAGAAAGTTTTAATACTACTGGAATACTGCAATCGAATACAAATATTGTCACATAAAAGACTATTATCTCACAAATCCATGCTCTGCAACAATGTCATACTGTGTCAAAATGTTGGCGGGATTAACAAACTCTTCGTAGAACTCCTGAGCTTTCGTCATCACACCTGAGAATAAAATGTTCTATTATGTTATGTTCTTTCAAAAGCTGTCTTTTATGACTGGAAACTTTACCCACCTGGCTTGACGATCGAATCCTCTTTTCCACTAAATAGATAGAGTTTTGAATTGTACAGATGATCTAGCGAGCTTATTCGACCCAAGTCAGCTTGTGCTTTTGCGTTTTCTATCAAACTTTTTACTTGTATCATATAAGGTGATGACATGCATGCTGTCAAAGCAGTTGATAGAGAATCCTGTGCGCAGTTGTATGGGCCTGTAATACGGGGGAAAAGGTTTATATAATGACACAGATTGTAAAATCTATTTCATCACAATGTACTCTATACGTAATACGCTAGGTAATGTTTTGTAAATTAAACGAAACTAGAAACGGCAGATCTATTCGAAGGTTTGACAAAATCTCCATTCACTTGGTATAATGGGTTTCTTCTATGTGTAGTTACAATTAAAACAAGATACGATCGCATGCACTACGGAAATGGTTGAGTGTGCTGAAAATGACGTCAGCATTTGGCCTATCGATTTTCTGAACCGATAAAGCTATATGATGTGCGCTACCCTTACCTCCAGCTACAACTCCAGCACCCATGAAAGTATCAGATTCAATGATATGCATTTGTACTGCCATAAATCCTCCCGACGATAATCCACTAACAGAAATTGCAGTAGTATCAATGTTATAGGATCCTCATCGAATAAAAAAAAAAATTGTTCAACAAATAGCCAATTTAGAATACTTAATTCATATATTGCATTTCATCACTTTTCATATTGCTAAATCGAGTCGACTCCACTACTAACACATCTGATTTCCCATTATTCATTACACAAATTGAAAATTTTCTGCTTTATCTTGGTTTCTAATGTTAAATATTTACTTATCACAATTAAAGAGTTTGCTGGCAGAAAATTGCCCTTCAAAATTTTTGAAAATTAAGCCATTATGGAATATTCTAACTCTGTGGTTTCGAACCTTTTTTGTGGAACGAAACACCAATGAAACATTCCCGAGGCTCGAATCACCATACAGTTCATTTAATTGTCTTTTATTGATTGTCGAAGTATATAAAACATAAATGTATAAATAGAGGAATCCTCCTAATACTAACAGAATGAACTTATAATATTAGTAAATTCAATACACATTTAATTATATAAATTTAAGCAATAAACATAATATAGTAATATAGACTCTGGACTGGACCCCTGTACTGTACTGGCGGAACGCTAGGATGCAGCGGAACCTTGGTTGAAAACCACATTTCTAGACGTGTGCGTTTTAAGAACTCAAAACTATTGTTATCAAATTGCAATTTAATAATTAAACATGACAATGTCAGTCAGCCTTTGAATCTGCTTCAATTTTGTGCCCTAAACTTAGTTAGGCCTACATCAAAACTTACCAAGCTTTCCTTCGTTTGAAGCAGCGAAACTTGAATAACAGTAGAGACAAAATATGCAATATACAAGTTGCCATATTCGTATGGAATTCATCATTCGGTGTTTGCAAGATACCACACTAATTTCGTTAAAAAGAAAATTTGCAAAATAGATGTACGTTATTTCGCAAGTGTATTTAGGCTGTTCAATTCTGATCATCCAGGTAGGACGTACTGTATATCAAAAATTTACTCTTGAATAATGTGTAATCAGACATATTACAATATTACCCTGGTTTACTCTTCACAATAAACAGGAAAATTTGCGTGAAACACGAATAACGGTAAAACTTCATTGATCCCAAGAATTCTGTACGCTACCGGATGTTCGCCATAGCAACCTCAACAATTAAAAAAAAGGCAACAACCGACAAAGTAACTGACAACAACTGAAAATTAATCCTTGGCTACCATGGCGTATCCGTGAGACTTTTTCTTTGAGTTACACATGTTTGAATGGCAGATGATGACGCAGATAGTCTAAAAACTCGATCCAAATTTAGAATTTCAGAGACCGTCAATAAACAAAACGATGGGGATTTCCCATTTGCTGATGTTTATTATGGTATATACACTATATACTATAGTATATACCAGGAGTGGCCAACCGTTCGACTAAAATCTTCGAAATAGCTCGCGACTGATCGGTAATAAGGTCATACAATAAAATGGCTGCTGAATATGCAGATAATTGTAAGTATCCATATTATCTAATCAGAGAAAAACTTCGATACTTCGATACTTATTTTACAATTTCCTCGAAGTGCAATCGTCGCTCGCTTGGAATAAAAAAAATTGGACATTGTGAATTATGATGCCACTGCTACTGTTGAGAATACAATTTATCACTCTATACAAAACGATAAAATTTATTTCGGCAATCTGAAAACACGAAAGGAACAAAACACATAACAGAAATACCCGGAAAACGAGCAAGACTTATGAATAAAGTTTATAACGCACAATGTACGTGATCGTTTACCAAAAGTAACACAACTACACGTTTCATGTGAAAAAAGTGAGTCACACATTCAGGTTGAAAAAAAATGATAATAAAGTTGATAGCGTGTCGGACACAAACACGTTTCGGCCAAATAAACGCAGTTGGGCAATAATCACATGTGATAAAAGAGAATGCAAACTAAACAAAATAAAACAAATAAACTCTAGAACACGCATATATACAGATACCAAAATTGATTGATTAAGGGCAGTACGATTGTTGCACATAAAAACTAACAATAAAAGTTTCCATGGATTTCGGATGAATTAAAGTCATTCTTTACATTAAATAGTATGTTATGTTGGTTTGCTACTGTTACAGGGTTCTTCATTGTTCTGATCATTTGTTTGTATTTTGTAGTACTTTCACGCCGATCCGATGGTTCAACATTCTTATTTCTGTCCAGGATTGCAACAACTCTTTTCGGCTCCACCCGGTTATCAGTACAGTTCTGAAATCAGATTCACAGAGAGAATTATTTTTGTCCGGGTTTCCAAGTTTTAGTCCAAAAGATCTCTTATTCTAGTTTTACATCGCCCAATATCGGTACCACGTCCGCACCCGACGGCGGTCTGATCAGAAATTCTATTCTTTGAGTGAGACAATAACTTTTGCGTACTGCAGAAGTCATTGCAGGATCATTTCTACGTCAAGACACACGGTATTCACGGCTAAACTTTCATTTGTTAGATATTAAATAGAATCCATTTGGCTCGCCGAGACTCAAATATTGTAGGCCTATGGATATATCGTATTTTACACATGTCCCACACACATTTTTGGGTATGCTATTAAATTCACTCAACTTCAGACGCGACGTTGCAATGGTACATTTAATAGGAAATGAAAATATGAAAAAGTGCGGTAAAACATTAAACTATTTTACCCAAAACTCCATCTTCAATAGAAGATTCTGGCTTTGTTGTTGTCTTCGGTTCAACAGCTGAAAATAAATGAAAAAATCACGTTTTAATAATCAACAAGAACATCGAAACCAACCTTCTAGCTAGCCTATATTTACAAACCAATATTTGAAACTTGTTTTTTTAGTTACGTTATGCTGTGATAAAATACGCTTAAGACTAACTTTTTATAGATGATGCTTCTGTTGGTACTACCGTAGGAGATGTTGTAATAACTGTAGGTGCGGGCGATGATGTCATAGTCGTCGAATCAGATGTCATTCTTTTAACCATGTTCATTATTGCTACTACTTGTTTGCCATTGTGGTACGCTACGAAATTATAGTGTGGAAAAAAAACTTGTTATAAATATCAGGGCTGAAGTTTGACTATTAAACTATTAAAAAGTATATATAAAATAAGTTGAACTTTGAATTTTAAACAGCATTTCAACAAAACGGAAATCAATTTAATCAACATATTGAAACAAAGCATATCTGTTTTTAAACATAGATTAGAGATTATAATTTTTCCTAACAGTTAGAACTATAAAATCGCATCGCTTGATTCAATCTAGCAACCTACCGTAGTTTGAGTCGGTGTATCCCCAACTGCAATCGAAAAAACAAAACAAATGACAATAGATATGAATAGTACATGTTTACCTATACTACGTGCAAATCTGCTACATTTTTAAACGATTGATCACGTATGCGGCAGAAATATCAGAAACATCTTATTAATTGCTATTTCGTGTACTTTTTAAAGAATTATGGAAAATAAATTAGGATATGTCTACATTGAAAACTGAAACATCACGAGTTTTAATTTAACAAGATCGGATACGTTTCAACTATCTTTGATACTGTTCGATATTGCACGTTTCATGGACAATTAAATTCAGTAAATCTGGAATGATGCAAGACCAAAAAAGTGGAAAATTTGAATTGCATATCGTAGAATTATTCAATTATACTTGAAAAAAATTATTTATTCCAAACGTTTGTTGAACTCTTATTTAACAATATGCATACGTGATAAAACATAAACATGTTGATAGGATTGTGTTCCAACTTACAAGTCCCAACATCCATCGGGGTTGGAGATGGGAATCACTGACGCTTGAGGATATATGACAATAATATTATTCAATGCCGCAACCTCATTATAACCAGTCTCCATAACATACGAATCTCCGATGAAGCTATCACCTTGTTCACATCCATGAATAGAAACATGTAGACGGCATGCTGAAAAATTCAAAACTTTCAAAATAACCTATATATATATATCACCCATTAGCCTACATCACTCAACAACTCAGGCTTTTAATACAAAGGAAATTAGATTCCAAGAAAATGACGGTGGCCGTTTTGGCTACTACTATTAAACTGCTATAGTCAAATTTTCAGTACTCTCATAGTTAACGTTATAGGTAAAAATAAACGAAACATACTATTTTTAGACACCCAGACAAAATGCTGATACAGTCGATACTATATTGCCTCGGTATCGAAGAACGCGGTTTCAATCTTGTTACAGTTGTAAAGCTAGGAAATTCGCATTGTATTATGAATAGCTAATGAAATTACAATACTTTCTGTTGCTCCAGTGCAGGAATCTGGCACAAAAATATACCCTTTGGAATCCATTCCAATTGATGACGGGTTCAGAGAATTAATGAATTCAGATTGGTCATATGTAAAAACCGTGCCTCGCGGAGCAGGAGCTGTCGACGAATAACTTGGAACCTGAATATTAAAGTATCTCCGTAAAACTCAATTGCAAATAGTTGATTATTGCTTACTGAAGTGTAAACTCTTGTGAACATTACTTAATATTACGTAATAGGATGGCTGATAGAATAGTGTTTTCGTTTTACGAGCTATGTGATTGCAGACTATCGATTACACTCTTTCGCTATATCTTTTCCTCCTTGAATCATGTGTGTCAGTGCTTGAAGACAAAAAGAATCATTCGCTACATTTTATTCAAACCTGTTTTAAGATCACAGGATTTGTAATGGGATCCTGATTCTTGTAGCACATATATATCTGTGATTTTCGTACCTCGAGGTTTCCGCCGTATATGTGATTAAGAAGATGATAAGCAGAATCGTAATTACAGTCATTTATGTAAGTTCTGTATATTCTGTTACACGCTCCACCATTGTTCATTGTGACCTGAAATTTGAAATAAGGAATTTAGAATCGAAGAAAGTTTTAATACTACCGGAATACTATACTGCAATCGAATACTAATATTGTCACATAAAAGCTATTATCTCACAAATCCATGCTCTGCAACAATGTCATACTGTGTCAAAATGTTGGCGGGATTAACAAACTCTTCGTAGAATTCCTGAGCTTTCGTCATCACACCTGGGAATAAAATGTTCTATTATGTTGTGTTCTTTCAAAGGCTGTCTTTTAGGATTGGATACTCTACTCACCTGGCTTGACGATCGAATCCTCTTTTCCACTAAAAAGATAGAGTCTAGAATTGTACAGATTATTGAGCGAGCTTATTCGACCCAAGTCAGCTTGTGCTTTTGCGTTTTCTATTAAACTTTTTGCTTGTATCATATATGGTGAAGACATGCATGCTGTCAAAGAATTTGATAGAGAATCATGTGCGCAGTCGTATGGACCTGTAACACAGGAGGAAAAGGTTTATATAATGACACAGAAATTCTATTTCATCACAATGTTTTAACTGACTATTCAATGTTTCGTATTAAACTGAGACAAGAAACAACAGATCTATACGAAGGTTTGAAATAATGCGCATTCACTGTGTGTGTAGTTACAATTAAAACAATATAGGATGGCATGCACTATGGAAATTGTTGAGTGTGATGATAAATGAGGCCAACATTTGGCCTATCGATTTTCTGTACCGTTAAAGCTATTTGATGTGCGCTACCCTTACCTCCAGCTACAACTCCAGCACCCATGAAAGTATCAGATTCAATGACATGCAGCTGTACTGCCATAAATCCTCCCGACGAGAATCCACTAACAGAAATTGCAGCAGTATCAATATTGTAGGATCCTCATCAAAAAAAAAAATCAGTCAACAAATAGCTGTTTCAGAATACTTAATTCATTATTCATATATTATGTTTCATCACATTTCATATATATTGCTAAATTGAATGGTTTCATTACATTTGAACCCACAACAATTGCACCTATGAAATTTTTTTTTTTCGGATATTTGAACACATACTAACCCTAACCCATGGATTTAGCACCCGCAAATAGATTGAACCCGTGAAAATTAACCTATTGTGGATTATTCTAGACAGGTGGTTTAGAACCTTTTTCGTGAAAGAAAACTCCAATGAAACATTCCAGAGCCTCCATAAAATTCATTTAATGGTCTCTTATTGCAAAAACAAATATATATGTATATATAGAGCAATCCTCCTAATACAGACAAAATGATTCTATAATACTAGCAAACACAATACACATTTATTCATATTTAAATATGAATAATATAGACTCTGGACTGTACTGGCGGAACACTAGGGTTCAGCGGAATATGGACGTGTTCGTTTACGAACTCAAAACTATTGTTATAAAATTGCAATTGAAGCCTCTGAATAATTAAACATAACAATGTCAGTCAGCCTCTGAATCCCTAAACTTAGTTACACCAACACTTACCAAGCTTTCCTTCGTTTGGAGCAGCGAAACTTGAATAACAGTAGAGACAAAATATGCAACATAAAAGTTGCCATATTCGTATGAAATTCATCATTCGGTGTTTGCAAGATACCTCACTAAATCCGTTTAATGAAAATTTGCAAAATAGATGTACGTTATTTCAAGATGTGTTTGGGCTGTTCAATTCTGATTATCTAGATAAGAAGTACGATATATATATACATCAAAATATTTACACTCGGATATGTGTAATCAGATATATAACAATATTACCCTGGTTTTGACCTCTCCGCAATAAACAGGAAAATTTGCGTGAAACCCGAATATTGGGAAAACTTCATTGGTCCTAGAAATTCTGTACGCTACCAGATATTTGCCATACCAACATCAACATTTAAAAAAAGGGCAACAGCCGATAAACCTGACTATTAATCATTGGATACCAGTTCGTATTATTTATTTGTTTGTGAGATATCCGTGAGACTTTTTCTTTGCGTTGCACATGTTTGAACGGGAGATGATGACGCAGAGAGTCTAAAAACTCAATCCAAATTTGAGATTTTAGAGACCATCGATAAATAAATACAGACAGCACAATGGGGATTTTTCATTCGCTGATGTTTATTATAGTGGCCAACCTGACTTCGACTAAAATCTTCAAAATAGCTCGACTGGTCGGTAAGGTCATAAACATAAAATGGATACTGAATATCGTCACGCCAATAACCGAATTGCGTAAGTCATTTTTGGCGATTTTGAGTTTTTTTTTTTATAAAATAGGTATTTAGGTAATGCTGCGCACCTGTCTGTTAACTCAGATTTTATTTTATAAATTCTGAAACCCATAAAGATGGAGATTTAGTATGACATGCACATTTGTGCAATTGTTTCGTCATAATGAATTATCAATGTTACCGCAGGACTATTGTGACGTCACAAAGGCAAAATAACCTCGGCGAAGTATTTTCGAGTTTTGCATCTCGTCATACAAATTAACTTAAATCCAGCTACGATCAAAAAATCGAACCATTGCAAATTATTGACTCCCAATGGCATAACAATATCATTAGGAAGTTCAAAACTCAAAACTGCTAAAAATGACTTACGCTATTCGGTTATTAGCGTGACGACATGCAGATAACTGCAAGTATCTATATACATATATTATCTAAACAGGGAAAAATGAAATTTCTCTAACCATAAATGTTACATGACTGCTCAAACTATAGTATCTAATTTAAAATTTCCTCAAGTCCGATTCGTCGTTCGCTTGGAATAAAAATTAATTAGGCATTCTGAATTTTAATGTCACTACCGTTGCGAATAAAATTTACCACTATACTCTTTGAGCAAGACTATAACTTTCGCATACTGCAGAAGTCATTGCAGGATCGTTTTTCAGTCAAAACGCACGCCATTTACGGCGAAACCTTCATTTGATACGTATTAATACGATCCATTTAGCTTGTCATACTCAAATACTGTATGTATATATCGTATTTGGCACATGTTCCACAAATTTTTGGGGTATGTTATTAAATTCACTCAACATCAGACGCGATCGACTACTCGAGACGTTGTAATGGTACATTTAATAGGAAATTGAAAACGTCGTTAAACAAATGCCCACAAATTCGTGAGAATTTTCACGCACTTCCTGTAAACACGTTGGAATACAGGACGCTGGCAGAAACGGGCCTGCTCGTCGGTGGCTATGGGATAGAAATGGAAGACGTTATAATGAAATAGGACTTAATTACTGATTATTAGAAATGATTATATGCGGTAAGGCATCCGTCCTTGCTGCCGAACTGAAGTTCGCGAGATGAAAATTCATTTGTGTTCGACATGCTTTTTTCTTCACATAGTACATGCAGAATCGAAAGAAGCATCTGGTATTACCTATTACAGACGGACCAAGCAATACTAAACTGCATAATATGAGCTTACATCACTATCTGTGGTTCATTAATAGCCAGGATATTGGGTAAAACAGCCATAATTTTCGACGACGTATGAAAGTTTCCAATTGCCGAGTATAAACATTTATATATATACTGGTATTTAGACAGCTAGTGTGATATCGTTGAATATGGGTGAAATATCAGATGTTTCCACAGATATCAATACGTCCTTCCAATTACATCTGTACTTAACATATCTCCCCCCATAAAAAATAAAACCCAAAACAAAAAAACTCCAACGCCCTGGCGATGCGATCACACAGTTATTATTAACTAAGATGAAGTTTAATTGATCCATAACAACATTTGGCAAAAAATACAAAGCTTAATCTCAATGGTTATGAAAAATTGGTACAAAACAGAATTAACACTCATTATAGCTAAAGAATATATAAAGATGAAAAACATAATTAGATCACAAAGAAGATACAACTTTCTCATTATCAGATACTTTCGTACCACTATGAGCATAGGCACCATTCACTTTCCCACCGTTTTCAGGAACTTTGGCTTTACTTTTCTCCACTGCTCTGCGACTTTTAATAAACCAAACTAACACAAGCAGTATTAGTATAGTACCCAAGCTTAAGCACACACTGAACATTACATATATAGCAGTGTCTGCCTCCACTGGAGTCAAATTTAGACCAAGTCCTTCTCCTATGGGTGGGACCACCAATTCTTCACAATTTTCTGGCGGTGGAGCTTCAGTTGGTGGTTTTTCTGTTGGTGGATTCATGGATTCGGTGGTGGCAGATGCAGTCGGAAGAGATGGCGAATCTGTTAAAATTAGAGGGATTCAAATAAAAGTGAAATAAAGACGAAAACAATAACTGTATGATCAAAATAGTTATGTACCCTGTGGAAACATAGGCACAACATCATTCCAAAGCGCGTTTTTTTCGGCATTCAAGTTCTTTTGTCTTCTCAAACTTCTCCCCAAGTCTAATTCGATATAATTTGTTGAGTCTGGCAAATAATGTCTCCATTTTGTGGTAGAGTAGGCTGTGTTTGGATCGCTAGAAGTTGTGAATGAATCAGGTAAAATTAAAACTTCAGTTTACTTTGGCAAAAGTAATATCGTAAGGTGCTGCCATGTGCGAATAATTTAGATTTGATCGAAAGTTATGCTGTGAGCAGCATAATATATCTGTACCAACCACTTATCTATTTTGCACCAGGAAATGCTACTACAGAGCAATTTTAGAATGATACATACATACAAACTTTTGCTGTCTACAATGCCAGATGTAAGCAGTTAGACTACAACTTAAAAATAAACAATCTGCATAATGGCAAAGTTGACTAACCTACAACTTACAATATATAATAGTACTCATACACATGGTAAAAATAATCTTTACCCAGACCACGCAAAATTTGTCCATCGTGATATAATAGCTTGGCTAAATTTTCTGTCTTCGTCTGAATAAATATCTGGTGATGTGATCGGAATTCCAAATTCATAAATTACATCATCACCATGGCAGCCACCAATCCAAGATGTTTCCATTTTCAAGTTTCTTGTCAAAAGGTATTGATATACCTTTTTGCTTGTTGTCCTGTGTGTTTGAAAACAAGGCAATGATTGGAGCCTTGGGAGATTAAACCGGGTTGGAATATAGACAGAATTTGAATTTTATGCACTTCGTAAAAGTGATTCGTCATCTTTTATACATTTCTACTTCTCCGTATAGTATTCACTTTACGTAAATGTTTTAAACTTGTACAGTGTTATTGTGAATGAATGTTTGCCAATTTTCTTTATATTGCTGAACTGCAAGTCATAAATCTTGCATTACTTCTTCACAATATTACCTTTATATCGTTTCAAGTAAGCAATTTTAATTATAAAAATGGTGTTTTCACGAGTGTTTTCTCATGATGTAGAACTTAGTTACATGTAATATCTTGCCTTGCTATTTCAGCAATTGCTTTTGAAGATGAGACTTTAAACATAAAATCGCTGTAATATTCCACAGCAGATTGTTGCAACAGTTCTTCATTATTTGGGTCTTGCCATGGTGTATAAGAATGCAAAAGAGTTGCATAAGTTTCTTGCGACCATACATCAAAAGAATTTCCATATAAAAATCTGTGCGTATCTGAAACTGCAGTGCCAAGAACACCATCATTTTGCTGCACTATAGATATATTGGGATATGCAGCCTGAAAAATATGGTGACATTGTCAATTAGCATAACAGTAATTATAAAAATGTGAACTTTTATGGGCGCAAGTTCTACCATGCAATCCATTCAAATCCAAAAATCGGCATGAATTGTAACATAAATTATAATTTCTGCAGACATGATTACGGTATGTAAAAAGCAATACCCAAACGAACATTCGAACATATTTTTTATGATAATAACAATTTGTCAACATTGATTACCACATAATTTGAAGCATCATAATCTCACCTTCAAATAATAATAAAACTCATGACTTGTTGTCCCAGCCAGATAGTCAAAGTCAGAGCTGTTAGCAAACAACTGTTGTAAGTCCACTACAGGAATCAAATCATCATCTTTTCTCATTCTCCACATTCCCCACAAGTTGAAGTCGTGATCACTGCTACCATCAATTTGAATCAAAGGTACTGCATTCATAATATTTACAGCATCTGTTGTTTGTAAACATTGGAGGATATCTTCACTCAAATCAACGTTTCCACATCCAACGGATGCTGCTACGTCAATGGTAGTTTGGCCACATGAATTGCTATGGTCACAAAATGCCCAAGGTGAAAATGCAGATCCACTTTGACTTATAACTCTTTTCACATATGATGAAGTAGATGGAAGAGATCCCTGTTAAATAGTAACTGGAATAAAGTTAAAGCTGATACAAGAATAATTGGGTCTGATATTTCAAACAAGAAACGCTGCTGAAATTGAGTAAAAACCTACAGATCACACCAGAATTTTGAAAATGGCTTGCAAACGATTAAGGCTACATGCGTATGCAAGTAATTATTTTTGAAAACATATAAATAGTTGAAAATTTTTTTAAGAAAATTTAGGGATAAGACCAAGTATCCTTTACTATGTCACAATTTATCATGTTTCAAATCTTTCGAGGGTTCCGTTTTCATCTAATCCTGACTAAAGTAGCGGATGCCATTATAATGATGTCAATATAACAGCCTTGGTGCATAGTGCATATATGCATATGATGGTATTATTGTCAATTTATGTAAATTACTAGTGTACCACAGAAGATTATTATTTTCTGTTTCGTTCATTTCAGTATTTTGTTGGGAGGTCATTTTATGTGATGTTACCAGTCCGCCAGGTCATAACGGTTGGAAACCAGTGCACCAGTTCAGTGTTCCCCAACCCATGCGACAGCAAGCTGAGTCGTCAGATAATCTTTTTGGATCACTTGTTTTTTCAACAAAAACTTGAAAGTTATTTAATTTTTTTGGTTAATTTTCCATTTTGGTATTGAAATGTTGCTCAACAGTATTGTATAGTGGGAAGTACCACAGGGTATAAACATGGCAACATGTATTTTGCTTAAGTAAAGCCAAGCCACAATTTCAAAAACTCGCTCATGTCAAACAAGTGCAGCTTTTTCACTCTGCAGTAATGTATGATGAAATAAATGTTATGTAAAGATGATTGTTTTAGATTTGTAAATTGATTTTGTAGCCACATACATTTAGCATTCGAGTGTACCCCTGGGTCACAAGATTTTACTAAATTTATTCTCGAAAAAATTTGGGTCAGGAACAAATATCAATGGTTTTTGAAAATTGTTATGCAAAGGAGCCCACCAATATCTCTGCTGCTGCAGCACCAGACCCCTGTCCAAACAATGTCAATTTGTTTGGATCAGCTCCAAAATTATGAGCATTGTCGAATGTCCATTCTATAACAGTTTTAAGATCCCACAATCCATAATTTCCTTTCATGACATCATCTTCAGTTGAAAGGAATCCCATCACACCAAGGCGGTAGTTGGGTCGTATAATGACAACATTCCCAAAAGATACCAAATATGATGGATCAATTGCATTTTCTCTGGTTCCAGGACTACCACCACCAGACCAAAAACTTCCTCCTGCCTTTCCTGGCTTTGCATCTGCATCTCCATGTATCCATACCATAATTGGCATTGAATGGGAATTGGCTATAAGTAAAAGAAACTCATTTGCATTTTAACATATTGACAAGCCTTCCTTAATAAACTTGCATTACTCCAGATGTATTGACTTACAGACTTGGTGAAGTTGAATGAAATGCAGGATTCATTGCATAACATATTAGAATACTATAAACAAATATTATAATGTGTTATATACAATAATATGGTCAATAACAACTGAAATTAATGAATTACCATACAGAATTTCTATGGCATAATAAAGGTGACATTACTATCAAAGCTGTTAATTAAGTAACATCACTGTAAAAGGGTTAAGGTAAATTTTGAAAACTGAGGTTCAACATAATATGCTAAATTCATCAACAATATAAAGTACTGACTCCCAATAATTCCAGATGGCATGTATACATCGAGATATAAACAATCTTCTGATCCAATGATATTGTTTTTGTCATTAAACTGAAGACATGGAAGCTTGGGATTTGTAGCATCTAGTGTTGTTGCCCATTCTATTGCAAAACACACAATTTATAATTTATACAAGTCAGATACCATAAGATGGATCGAAAGAATTCTCTGAAATTGAAATTTTGACTTCTGGCTTGATGGATGGCTTTCTGTACTAAGTTTACTGTCAATGGAGAATGAAAGAATGGTTGTGCGTATCTGCTTGTCGTTTACTCCTTCCTGCACCTACTACATTCATGAAATGAAATTAACTGAAATCGGACTCCATACTTGTAACCAGATAAGTCTGGGCCATGGTTCACCATATGGTTTTCTGCCTATGATGAAGTAGCTGGTATTTTATTCAATTCAACTAGTCTCAATAACTCTTATTGTTTGTTAGTAGTCTTTGGAGTACAGAAAGTCAGTTACAGTTATGTGAATTATCCAATTTCAATTTATTGATAAATATGTCACCTGTTGGTTTTTCTGTTTTTGCAAATCTTAACTCCTCTAATGGTGGTTTAGCATATGGAATACCAAGGAATTGATGGACATCAAAATGCTCATTTATCATACGCCTCCCCCTAATATGACCCAAACTTGTAACGACCTCAGGTTCAGTGGGGTTGGTAATAGGTGGTGGTAAAGTTGTTGTAACCTAACAAATACAGAGACGAAGAAAGATCATCAAATTATTTTTCTAGTATTAAATACGAATTGTAAATAAAGGATAACTGAAAATTGAAATTAGAGAAAAGGTAGCAAATAATTTTGCAGATGAAATAAGTCCACAACAGTATTGACAATATGTTATAGGTATATTTTAATTCTCCATTTATGTTTTAAAAATTCATAGTCAAGGTCGAAAACCATTCTACAGAATTTCTATTATATTTTTCTTCTTCCTATTTCTTAAAAAAACAGATGAAATTTGTAAATTCCTTTTTTTTAAATCTTATCATCAGGAATATGATTATTTAACAATGTCTTCAATCTAAAATACTTGTCTTTGGTATTTGCTAACAATTTTACATTAATAAATTGTGTTTCGATTTATAAAGTTAATATATTTATTTCTTACTAAATATGAAAAGTACAAGTGATACCACAAAGCCATTTTAACGCTGATCACCTGCACTGTATTGTCTTCACAATACACACTTTGTCTTGGCATATAATCATTCCAGAATGCATCCCATGTTGGCCGTAAATTATTGGCAGCATAAGTCAAATTTCCAATATCCAATCTCATGTAATTTCTATTTGTTGCAAGTTTTTTAAATTCTGTCCATTCAGGAAGGGTCACACCGGCATCATTTAGGTTTGGATCTCTTGAAGAATGATTGTTTTGTGTTAGTTTGCATGGACATTAATGTTAACAAGATTCAGTAAAAATTAATAATACTCCAATGCATTTTAATACTTCCAAAAGATTTTGATATGTTAACAGTTGTTAATCGAAAATTATCCAAGTTCATCCAAAGAAGCCTATCAAATTTAAGAATAAAAGTAGTAGTAAAAATTAGTATGAAAACTTTCAGCTTGATAAATTTTGTCTAGCATGAGCAGCCATGTTGATGAGCAGGCTATAAAGCATATATATTACATCACCACAATAAGTTCTAGAATCAATGGTTTTTATTCCTAGCATAATAAGTATATTTACCCAGTTTTTATAAAATTTGTCCAGTATCCAATCATATTTCTACTCAACTCTTTAACAGTTTCTTCTTCCGTATCATCATCTATCACTCGACCAAATACAAAATCGACTTCTGCACTGTGTGGTGCTCCAGCCCATGATGGAAGCGGACCCCTGTTTACATGAAAAGTTGCAATGTATAAAATATATTTGAAGAAGATTATAACTGACCATACTCTCAATTCTGATACATTCTATGATGATGCACAAACTCAAATCTTGGATCAAGCCCATAAAAAAACTTACACCGGATAATTTACATTTCTAAACATGTCCCAAGATTTACATACTTATTAAGATTAATGATGTGGCAAGTATTCCAAAGATTTAAATTTATCTTTGGGAAACAACCAGCCGGTAAGGACTATAACATAGTGATAATAAATAGAGTGAAATTAGCGCTTTACGACGTTATTTTCTACTTTTTAATTTATTGTAAATAAAACTTTCTATTTTAATAACAAACGAAAAAATTAATAGAAAACAAATTTTCTTACATTGAATGAGGATAAGTAAAATAGTAGAAATAAACATCGGCTCCAAACTCTGAGTAATCCAATGCATATTTATGTGTTGGAAAAATAAACATTTCATCAGCAAATAGTTGCAACAGACTTTTCTGAATTTTCTGCATATTGAAAATACAAAAGACATAGACAATGTTTGAAATTCAAAAACCATTCCACTACTAATTACCATACGTGGTACAGAAACTTTTGAGAACAGTGTAGGTCAGCATTTCTTAACCTGGGGTAAATTTACCCCTGGGGGTAAATTCCTTCATTCTAGGGGGTAAATTTTGTTATTGTGGAAAAATATATTGACTAAACAAAAATCACATATATTTGCTTGTTTTGTGTCAAGAAACGTTGTGGTATCGGTAAGTTTCGAGTTGTATTTGTCGCTAGTAGGCTATTATTTTTATATATTGTGATGTCATAAACATTTGCGCAATTTGTAGAGGTTCCGAAAACGCATATCAGCGGATCCTTTGTTTTAGATGGGAAATTTTTTATGACGACACTATACCAAGTTGCGGTACCTGATCTGGTAATCGGAAATGATTAGGATCAGTTCGCAATTCAAATTTCAATTTACGTTAAACTGAATTGTCAGAGGACCCGAAAAAGCTATTACAGTCCTTGTACCGGTACATAATATCAGGGCACTAGACTCCTGGTCTGGTAATACAGTAAGGATCCGAATCAGTTCTCAATTCATGATGAACTGAATTGTCTCAGGGTCTAGAAAAGTTATGACAGTCCTTGTACCGTTACCGCCGATATTTGAGTTATTTAACTCAAATCGAGTTATTTAACTCAAATCGTCCTTTTACCATGATAGTAGGCCTATACCGCATTTCAGCCAAAATTGAAAACCAAGCCGAGTTCTTTGTTATTTTAACTATTTACTTAGTCACAAAAGTTACACACTCAAATTTGTTTAAAAAGAATGTCACAAAAAAAGAGAAATTATCAGGACGTTTGTTTAGATTTTGGTTTTACGTATCTCATTCGGGATGGTCTTCATATCCCCCAGTGTGTTCTGTACATGAAAACTTTTTCAAACAGCACCATGAAACCCGCCCCACTAAAACAGCACCTAGTGAATGCTCATCCAAGCATGAAGAGAAAAAATCGGTCTTTTTTTGAGTCAAGATTGTCCTGTCTAAAAAGTCAAAAACTGGACAAATCCGGCTTTTTTGGCAGACTAACAATACTGCTGTACATGCATCTTTTGTCATTGCTCTGCATGTGGCAAAAGCTAAGAAAGCACATACAATCGGTGAAACCCTGTATATTGGAAAGTGTGAAGTTGATGCTTGGAGAGAAAGCTTCTCAAACAATGAAACAAATTTCGCTGTCGAACGACACAATAAAATCCAGAATCAATGAAATGTCTGACAATATTAAGAGCAAGGTAATATCGAAGATTGACTCCTCCCCTGTTTTTGCCCTTCAACTTGACGAAAGTACAGATGTTTTCAATCTATCACAACTGCTTGTGTATGCCAGATATGTTGATGGTGGAATGATTATTGAAGAATTTCTCTTCTGCCAACCTTTGGCAACAACATCAAAGGCAGCGGATGTTTTTCAAGTGTTGGATGATTTTTTTACCAATACTGGTTTAAGTTGGAGTAAGCTTGTTGGGGTATGTACTGATGGTGCTCCTGCCATGATTGGTGCAAAATCTGGATTAGTTTCCCTCATAGAGCAGAAAAATCCAGAAATTCAAGGAACTCATTGTATGATTCACAAAGTGGCCCTTGTCTCCAAAACTATTCCAACTATTCTGTCGTAATCAAGGTCGTTAATTATGTGAAAAGTTCAGCGCTCAGCACAAGACTCTTCCGCAAGCTTTGTAAAGATATGGATGCCGACCATACCACACTTTTATATCATACGCAAGTACGTTGGCTGTCAAAGGGAAACATGCTTTCCCGTGCTTTTGAATTAAAAGAAGAAGTAAAGTTGTTTTTGGTTGCGCAACAAAAAGATGATCTTTTGTTAGCATTTAGTAAAGACGGATTTGCTACATACTTAGCTTATCTTGCCGACATATTCGAAGCATTAAATCAGCTTAACAAGAAACTGCAAGTTCCAGAAAGTAACACGATCAAACATACTGATGCCATCAATGCATTTATGGCAAAGCTCAAACTTTGGAGCCAACGAGTAACAAACGATGACTTTACATCATTTCCCCGCTTGAATGACATAATTAGGGATGGTTTTTAACAACTTTTAAAGCAGGACATTATTTGCCACTTACAAAACCTGCAGAAGGAATTCGAACGATATTTTCCCGAGATCAACACTTCCAGCATTTTGTTGAGATTAGCAAGAAATCCTTTTATATGTGAAGTGGAGGATGTTCCTCAAGTAATTCAAGAAGAATTTATAGAGTTAAGAAACGATTCTTTTGCTGGAGATCAATTTCGCACCTGCAACCTAGAAGAGTTTTGGGTTAAAATGCAACGTTCCTATCCAAGACTGGGTAGTAATGCCCTGAAGATTATTGTTCCCTTTTCTAGTGTTTCTACTACCTACCTGTGCGAGTGCGGATTGTCTGCGTTGCTCACTATCAAATCTAAAGCACGGAACTGGCTCGATGTCGTCTCTCAGATATACGCTGCGCATTGTCTGCTATTTCACCAGACATTGAAAATCTGGTTGCCAACAAACAAGGGCAGCCATCGCATTAAATCTTCTTTTTTTTGTCTGAAAGTTCTGAAAGTGAACTGATGCAGCTTTCTACCCAAACCTTTCTGTTTAGTCCCGAGTTCTTCGGTTCGTCTTTGTTTGGCGATTTTTTTTAATAAATCATAACCTAAAGATGTTTTGGGGGTAAATTTTGTGATCTTGTTTGGTAAAGGGGTAAAATATGCAAAAAAGGTTAAGAACCTATGTGTAGGTTGTATATGGTTAAGTGAGAAATTAACAGTATGAAGAGTATATTTTGCTAGTTATGAGTAATATTATTGCATTATAGTTGCTTCCTTTATGTATGCATAATAATGACAATTTTCTGATTTGCAAGTAAAATGAATTTACACTTTAAAACTCAAACCTGATCATCATTAAAAAATTGCAAGTCTTCGTAATGTCCATATTGTTCACTGATAGAAGTTGTTCTCCAGCCATAAGTATCAAGAAATCTGTTGTTGATGAATTCGGTGTAACCAGCTTCATTATTGACATTTCTGATTGTCACCCAGCCTATGCTCCCATCGCCATCATTGGCACCTAAAATTTCAGATACAAGTTAGTTCAGCAAGTTCAGATAATAATATGGTTCAACATGAAAATTCTTCCCATGTTTCTTACTCAAAATATGTATTTGAATCTGTTTTAGCCTGGCTATTTTAACTTCTCAGGATACAGACAAAATAAATGAACTGGCTATGTGAGAAAAATTGAATTGAATAGGATAATGATGTTCACCCAGAAGATACTTGTACTGAATAACTCGACTTTCAACTGCAGCCTCCCTTGGGTGTACTGGCATGAAAATTTCATCCACTGTTGGAGTAAATGCAACTCCAGCCCTTTGTTGTGCTGCCATCAAGTCACTGACACTCAATTGTCTTAAACAATTTACTATTTCTTCATTCCCATTTGTTGTATCACATGATGCTTCCTCTGCCAGACTGAGCGTGAAATGATTAAAATATTCAATAGCAATTAAATTAGAGTTAAAAATTTTGAAAACACACAAGAGACAAATAGTTAATAACTTTCTATTCAGTTCAAAATAGCTTGTCAATTATCATAACTTTCAATAGACTACAAGATAGACTCTTATTATGGCATCAAAAAAGTCATTGATGCGATGGAGCAATTCAAAGGAGAAATTATTTATTATTTTTGGAAAGGAAATTTTACTCTGTCTTTCACATATCCAGAGTGCGAGACATATCAATATGTAAGAATCGATTAATAAAGATTGAACTACAAAATAATATGGAGTTTTTATGCAGAGATGGCACAAAAAAGCCATGAGTTTTCTACAAAATCTACATCAGGATTAATAAAAAATTTGTTTTTGATGTGTTCATTTTGGAGGAATAAGGACCTTGAAATTGGCAAAGAGAGGAATATATTAAAACTAATTGGGAATCACTGATTTAATGTACAACGTAGATTTGTATATCACAAAGCAGTAGTATGAACAAAGCATAAAAAGTGATTTTTTTTCTACTTAGGTATCAGTTTTCATGTACTATCCTTTTGTCTAACTGTACACTCTTTATCTAATAGTAATAGTTGTAAATAATGATATATTTTTAGCAATTTTACTACCTTAATGTTGATTGAAGTTGTAACATATCATCATAGGGTAATATCGCAGGACTTTCTAATATAGCTCCTTTGATACCTAGTTCATCATTCATTGGACTGAGAGTTTGCAGCAAAACATCTTGTCCACCAGTTGACTGACCAGCAATTGTTATTTGATCTAATAGAAAGTTTATGTGTGCATGACTGGATATTAGAGATAAACCAGCAAAATATTCTACATCATATGTAACCTACTTGGATCTCCTCCAAAATTTGCTATGTTGTGTTTGACCCATTTTATTGCAAATTGTTGATCTAAAAGTCCAAAATTTCCTCGAGCTGCGCTATCATCAGTAGATAAAAATCCCAGGGTCCCAAGTCTATAGTTGACTGTCACGACAATCACATTACCAAGTGCCGCAAGAATATCCCCTGAAAATATATTACAAGTAGAATAGTGTTGTCATATGTTTATGATAAATACAATATCACATTATTCAGTATTTAACAGTTTCTCAACAAATAATTTATAACTTCTTATTAGCTTGTCAATGGTATCTTGAAGTCTTACTTTTGCCATCTTGTTTCATAAATAAAGAAGAAATATTTTGGACAATAAGTTATTTCGTCATCAGGGTTTTAAAGTAAAACTTACATTTGCTAGGTTCATTGCAAATGTGGACTTATTGTCTGACTAAATGCTGACATACAAAAGTGAATCCACAAAGTATTTTTGAAAGATGAATAAACATTTTAATATGTTATATTATATTTAGTATAAACAGAAGAAACTGGATGGATTTTGATAAAAATGTGTTATTCAATTCTCACCTTGATATGATCCCATACCATCATTACTCTGATGTCCACCTCCATGTAACCATACCATGACAGAAAGAGAAGTCACAGATGAAGAATTTTGAGATGGAACATAAATTGATAGATATAAACAATCCTCATCCATTCTAGTATCATCAAAACTGATTCCTTGAGGGCAAATCTTACTGAAGTCCTTAACTGGCAATGTCTCACTCCATGAAGATTTATTAGCAGGATTCGAAAAACGAAGGCTACCTGAATTGAGAAATATTGGGTATAGTGGTTTTGTTCAAACAATTCTCACTGTATCAACTAGCAAAACGGAATTTTTAAACAAAAGGTGCTATAGCAGTGGTTCTCAACCTTTCTTCCATTGTGGCCCATCTCTGTTGCACAACAATTCTGTGACTCGTCAACTTTTTTATGTAAGGGAGCAACTTTAAGAAAAAAACAAAAGATTTTTGCAAAAATTTATTAACTGAACCATGGCCACTGGTTGAGAACTGGTGTGTTATAGCAGTGGTTCCCAACCTTTTTTCAAGCGATTCAAAACGCATTAAAAATTGTATACTATAGTCTCATATCCTCTCATCTGAAATATGGCATTATAAGTTGGGGAGGAACTAATAAAACTACGATAAAACCACTAGTAATTTTGCATAACAAAGCAATTCGCTGCATGCTATCTGCAGAATCACAGCATGTTCATAACTCACTCTTATACAAGCAGTGTGGAGTATTACAACTGAAAGATATCTATCTTTCTGAAATTGCCAAATTTATGTATCGCTTCGAAAATCATATGCTACCCCCTATATTTCATAACTTTTTTACAAAAATTTCAACCATCCATAGCCATGCCACAAGGAGTGTTACAAAAAGGACTTATTTCATGCCTCGATGTTCTTTTCCATTAACAAAAAAAAACGCTCAAAACAGAAGGCATTATAAATTGGGAAAAAAGTCCGTCTAATATTAAAGAAAACTCACTTGCAACATTCAGTAAGCGATTAAAAATTCATCTACTTGATGACTATGGATAGATGAAAAAAGACGACTATGTTTATTTCCTTACGTATTCAAGTCATATTATTATCGTATTGCTGCTATGTCCATGCTCTATAATTTTTGCCCAAATCTCAAATCACTTTGATAACAATTTCCCTCATATAATAACAAATTCTGCAACTAGTGCCTAATTAGAAAAACAGCCCTCTAACATTCAAATTGTAAAAAGAATCCCCCCCCCCCCTGTAAACAATATCTTAACGTATTTGTTTTTAGTGTTCACTTTATTTATTGCGTTTAGTGTTCACCTTATTTATTGTGTTTAGTGTTCACCTTATTTATTGTTCATCAAATATTAACAGTGGTACTTCGGGTGTCGCTGCTCGATAACCATTTTTGGTTCCCCACGACTTCCCTTTCCCAGTAAAACTGTGTACTATTTTCTTGTAATTTGTGCCTGTGCTATTTACTTATTTTTTACTGGTTGGAAAAAAATAAACTTGATGATGATGATCAAATATTTTAGAGAATTAATTTTATAAAATCTGGCGCCTGGGGATACGCTCAAATTCCATGCTCAAATGCTAACCCTTCCTTCAATGCTTTTGCCTAAAATGGTCACAAAGTTAACTGACTGACTAATAACAGCAGATGACAATTTTCTATGCTGGGATACTTCCTACATATACAATTATTATTGAGCAACACTTCAATACAAATATAAATAAACAATAAAATTTACTAGAAAATAAAAGCAATTACGACCCAAGAAATTTTTAGGCAACCCAATTTTAGATATCGACGCACAGGTTGGGAAACACTGTGCTATAGTATAGATCAGTGGTTCTTAAACTGGGGGGCGCGCCCCCCTAGGGGGGCGCGAGATGCTCACAGGGGGGGCGCAAGAGGTCACAAGATGGAATCGGAAATTGACATGTAACGGCTCCTGAAACGGTCTCCGCGTTCATTAAAAATACCGGCTTTTTCGTGGTATAATAATTTTTTCCGTCTCGTAATAACTAAAAAAATTCAAAATGTCTCTCTATTTTAATTCATTTGTGTTCAAGGAAACTTGCGGTTGCGGCGACTCATGTCAAAATAAACTCATTACCGATCTAAAATACCACGCCAATCCGCGGACATATCAAAGTGTGATCAACTGCCCGATTATATTTCGTTTTGATATATATTGCACTGATGCGAATTCGTTGACTTCATTAGAAAAATCTGGTATAATATCCCAGAAAGTATACTTAATTTAGTACAATTAAAATACATATTCATCGACTCGAAATCCCCGCGGTACGAATCCTGAGTCTGTCCTCGACATTACGCCAGTCCTTATAAGAGCCAACCCAACTTTGTCAACGGATATGTAATGTATATATAATATATATAATAATAATACTCCAAAATACCACGGTAATCCGCAACCATAAAAATGTGTGGCAAAGTGCCCGATTATATTTTGTTTTGATTTGTATTCTTGCCAATGTCACCATTATGAGGTGTCCCTGCAACTCTTACTCCGCTTTATCGCAATGCTCGATTAATTCCTTATTCTACGATAAAATCCCACGGAGTAAAATTTATTTCAAGTCGGTAGTTTTAGAACACTACTGGTGTGCCGCAGGCACAAGGAATTCACGAGATTTGCAATGTCTAAGAAAGTGTTTTCAATCTGTCGCGGTCCACCCCAAAACAAAACTCATGGTGTTTTCAGTTTTATTTTTAGTATTTTATAATCTCGCTTTTACAATAAAGAAATATTTGGTTGCAGATTCACTACTTTATTCTATCTTTAGCATCTCATCGCTGATGATTATATAATAAAAACTAACTCGTGTTCCTCAGAGATGTCATGGTTCTATTCGAAAATAAAAAAAGTAATTATAATCGTCTTCGCGACACAAGAATATGTCGAGGGAAATTTCTGATTTAGGGAGAAAAATCACCAAAATCAAGATTTTTACGGCATAGCGGGCCACGCTTACGAAAACAATCGAGATTTAAACAAAATGCAATCGCAAACCCCTTAGCGACTTTATTTTTCAGTGGTCAAGGGCCGAGGAAACGTCCACATTCATAATAACTATTAAAAAAAGAACTGCTTTTAAATTTACATAAATTCATTTGTACTTCTCCATTTTGTTTGAAACGTTAGGCAAGCCAAGAAGTCTGTAATTGTTGCTTATTTTTAACACACAGTAAATAATTTTGGCATCGCTCAATAGTGATGAAGTAAACAATTGATTGAAATTTTAAGTTCTTATGTAAATGTTTAAGCAGAAAATACATTAAAGCATAGGTTCATTGCGTGTTTAGTTTTACTTAAAAATTAGTTTGTCTTTACCAGGTAATACAAACTGAGGGGAAATACGAGAATGTATGATGACCAACCATTATTTGGCTTTATACATACGACAGTGAATGGCAAAGTTGTACTCCGAAGCGTTTTATGCCTAAACAATCTTAGCAATGACGATATGAGACCAACACTCTTATAGTGCCATCTTATTAAATAGCAACCTGCCCATCACAAAAGCATTTTTTCAAAGCAAAAATAGGGGGGGCGCGAAGTTTGTAAATATTTTCAAAGGGGGACGCGACTCAAAAAGTTTAAGAACCACTGGTATAGATAGTGGATACTATAGTGTAGATTGTATTGTAACTTACCAACAGGTGGTTCTGCATATGGCACACCAAGATATCTTTCAATGGCATGACCATTCCAATCTTGCTCATAACCTTCTACACACCCTGATGTTGTGCTTCGAATTAGCTGTTGATTTGGGCAACTGGTAGCCCTCACTTCTGGTATCTACAAAACAAAGGAAATAACAACCTCAAACAAAAAATGTGAATAATTATTCAATAAAATCTAGCTGGCTATATTTCTAAACAAATTAGAAACCTCTATTGCACTCGTAACTTTCTTCAGTTCTTCAATAGATTTTTTATCATCAGCAGTTAATAGTTTTGTTGGGCAAGTTGTTAGAGGCAAATATCTCATTTTGTATTGTATCTCCCTCCACATATGTAACACATCACCCCTGCAAAAATCATTGGTTGCTTTCAGAGATACTAATAATAGTGACCAATAGTTAATTGAAAATGCATGGTAAACCAAAACAGAATCCTTTTTACTGTTTGTTTACAATTACCCTTAGGCCTTACAGTGATTGAATTGCCTAATTTTAACATTGTTGTGGCAGTAGCATATCGAGTATAAAATAATACTGTAGTAGATCAAGTGTGTCAATCATCTCAAAATATGTGTCTATATATTTTGTCAAATTATATAAAACTTCAATTATTAAACTTGCCTGTAATTACTCAATAAATAAAGATTAGGATCTTGAAACATGCTTGTATTCAACCATATAGTATATTTACTGTCTAGTGTATATTCAGGCCATTCAATTGGAATATCTGCTTGATTTGGATAACTTGGATCTCTAAAATATAAAAAAAAACGACGAGATTGAAAATGTTTTAATATGATGATTTGAAGCATTGCCAATGGTTAAAATATGATGACTTGTTACACCAAATAATATCGACCAAAGAGTAATTTCAAAAATGCTTCTGTTGAATTTTATTAGACAAAATAAATTTGCAATTATATATCTTTAAATCCAATTTGGATTTAAGAACAAATCCACTCAGCAAATTCTACTCTTTGTTTAAGGTTGATAATAAATTAATTCATAATCGATCTTTGATAAACTAAAACACTTAATATATAAGTATGTTATATATTTATATTAGTATATAATACCTAGACTCACCCACTCCATGCAAAATTTGTCCAGTAAGTCATCATAGCCAGACTCAACTTCCTATCAGTATCATTAAATCGATCTGCCTAAAATAACGCAATTCATATCAATGCAGTAGTTTAATTATATGATTAAGCTACTAGTATTACCTATTTCACTGGATAATTTCTTCACATATGTGAAAATTAAATCAACATCTACTATGAATAATATTCATCTCTAAGAAAGTACGGTGGGACACAATAATATAAATGTGTAAATAGATATAATATTTTTAAAAAAGAGACTCATATTTCTGTATCATTGAAATTTATAGTACTAAACACAAAAAATGAAAGAGAAAAACATATTTACTTCAAAGGGATGACCAAATGTATAAAACATTTCTCTAAGATGATTTGATCCAACCCAGTATGGGAAGCGTCGAACTCTGCTCAACTCAGCAAATATATATCTGTATGACCTTCCAGTGCTAAAATTGAAACAATTTATTTGCAGCTTTGAATTAAATAAACACTGATTAGTTTTGAACAAATTTATATTCATAAGACATGAATAATGAAAGAAAATGGAAATATTCAAGAAACTTAATTCGGCCTCCCCGAAGTATCAAAAGTATGTATACCAGGTTAGGGTTCGGCCATAATTTGATTCCAATTTTCTCTAATTTAGTTTGTTTATGAGTTCAGGACTAGCAAAGTCACTCCCGTAGTATTTGTATCTGAAATTATGGCATAACCCTAACCTGGTACACATACTACATTCTGTTGGCCGCCATCTTGGTTCACATATTTCGAGAGTACCCTTAATTCCTTGAAGTTCACTGTCTTTGGACGTTTTTAATTACATCACCTTTATTCAATTTTCACTATGAGGTTGAATTCAAAATATTTGAAGTAATTCATTATCTCAGATTTGAACAATTATATTAGTTAAAAATAAATACATAGTACAAATATTGCTAAAACAAACCTATTAGTCTCTGCTCTCACATTAGCATTAATATAAGCACCAATAGAAACGAATGGATCTGTTCCCAAGTCGGTTATTGCAAGACGAGGCCAAAGATATGTCGATTCAGGCTCTTAAATTATGCAGTTGAAAATATAATTAGATCAATCAAACTTGTTTAGCAACTGTGAAATGTGTCTAAGAGTTAATATGTAATGGAAGTAAAAATGTGAAAGAGTAATTATTTTTAAATAATTATAATTGAACCAGCTTTTGAATTAATGGAAATTCCACTCAATTAACTACTAATTTGACTACTACTAATGTGACTTAGGTTAAAATTTTGGGCCATCCATGACATTCATGTATTTATCTGGCCTTCTGTAATTAGTTAATTTGAACACTTAGATTTTCCAATACATGTGCGTTATATACAAAGATACAAAACACACACAAGCAAGTTTAGAAATTCAAAGTTAAAGGTACATTATTCATGTAATGCCAAAATACACCATTCCGAGAGGTAAACATTCTTAGAACTAAATTGACCAAAATAAAGTTAGTAAACTTTATATTCTGAAATTATTTTATATATATGCATGTCAAGTTTATTGCTACCCTCCCAATCGATGAACTTGAAAGCCAGTGCCTCCATAACATGATTACTATTAGCGGAAGCCAGTCTTGCCGCCCTTCTGACATCATCCCTGTCCATGTCTGAATTTGGTCGATCTGCATTGTTTTGAAATATTTAAATATTAAAATCTGACAATTGCTCAAAATGATTGTGTATAACTTAAACATAATTTTTCCATTCTCTCAAGCTCACTTATCTATAAGTGAAGTCAACTGTAATAGTTTCACATATGTTTTCTAATGGGATTTTCCAATATCAAGTGAACAAAATCAGAATTTATAGTTTTTCACATTTTATCTAAGGCTATTGACCTACCTGGGGAGAAATTTAATCTTGGAAAAAGTCCAGACATTTGTCCATGTCCTTCCATGTTATTGTAACCCATCATATAATCTTTATCAGCTGACAAATGAAGGATTGTAGTTGGATCATCAGTCAAGAAATAATTGTCAACCACTGCACCCCATCCAATGCCAGTACTCTGTTCAATAAAATAATGTTAAGATATTTTTATTCATAATGTAGAAAAATTTTGAATATCAAATTATTTGAGAACTGTTCAAACATATGAGGATTCTACTTCTGTGGTATCACAAGTTTAGTATGAAATGTTTTTCAACATGTTTCAAACATTTTGTAAGTTTTTTCAGAATTCGTTTTGTGTGCTAATTTGTTTTTGATTATTATGCTCCTTCATTGAAACCGACTTAGAGAAATGTGAAAAATGGAATTATTAAATATAAGTAGTTTATGAAATATTACTAGAAGTGACTTACCGCAGTTACATTTACTACGGTATATGATAAAGCTTTTATCAATATGTTTCATTTCTAAATTCTCTTGTCATGTGTTTATTTGCAGAAATTTGCATTGCTGATCCAATATTGGTATTATAAAAGATTTGTATGAAGCAACTGGCATATTACATGTGACTAATACAGCATCTAAAGACTTTCTGAGGGCTGATACCTAAAATCCTACATTATTGCTTTGGGTCTTTTGAGTCATACTACTAATAAATTTATGTGTAATTCTTGACAACAGTTAATCATGAATGATTTTCTGAATCAGAGTATTTGTGACAATTGTTATAAGCATAATTACAATAGAAAATTAATTACCAATTACTCACATTTGAAACAAGGTATGGCAACGGTACGCTCCTCAAACATCCAACCAACAGTTTAGTGTTATCAGTCGGGCAACCAAGTCTCTGCGCAAGCCTTTCAGCTTGAGACAATGGATTCTTTCCAAATGACCAATCTGATGGTGCCTGTCCACTTTCTGATATGCCACGTAAAAATAGTGGTTTGCTTATGGGTGACAACATGTGAAGAGAAACTGCCACTCCTCCAGCTGACTCTCCTGGAATAAGGTTGAATAAATAATAAAATAGTCACATAAAAAAGAGTATTGTTTCATGAAGGTAATAAATGGCAGAATGTTCATTTTGACTTACCAAATATTGTGACTTTTTCTGGGTCTCCTCCAAAATTAGCAATGTTATCTTGTATCCACTGCAATGCCAAAGCTTGATCCAACAAACCATAATTACCAGGGGAATTTTCATCACCAGTGCTCATAAATCCTAGAAACATTTAAAACTCGGTTACAAAGCAGCAAAATATTGCAGGGATATAATTGCAAACAAGGTTTAAATATATATATTTACCTATTCAGGATCTTTCTAATGTAACCTTTTACTTATAAATAGTGTTTCCGCTATTGTCTGGGGCTGGGGTGTAAAAAATGGATTCCGTATATATAATAGAATTTTCTGCTTTTATATAATTCCTAATTGGACCTCATTTGGTTCTCATTGGCTTCATCAGTTTTACTTACTGTAATGTAACTCCAGCTACATAATATTCTAAGAATGTCTCACCTAAGGAAGTCAAGCGGTAGTTGAGAGTGACACCAATGATATTGCCTTGTGCTGCAAGTCTTTCCATGTCATAGAAAAATGTGAAACCAATGCTTGTTCCAATCTGGAAGCCACCACCATAGATCCATGCCATAACAGGTAATTTTCTACCTTTTGCAGCTAGAACAAAAATTTATTCCAATTTAAATTAAAGAATTGAAAATAAATCACTTGAAAGCGATGAAATCTGGTAAAAATCAACAAACCTTGAGTCGCTTCAATTCAATCCTAAATGATAGTGAAAGTAGTTAAGTGGAAAATATGCTTGTTTCACATCGAGTTCACATGGTAAATTCATCAAGTATAATTACAGTATAATTTAAAATGAGTTGTTATACTGAAAAAATATCAGTAATGTCATCTACAAAGATCGGCTAAGTGTGAACGCTTCATTCTGCTTTATGAAATGTTTTCCAACTGAGCATTTCATTGGCAATCAGACTGGAATTGTTTCAACATTGTATAAACTGTTCTCTATCGACAGCTCTGTCACAAGGGTAAATCTAAAGCTCTCAGCACACAGATGATCACTTGCAACACTTTTATCAGTACTCTTTCAATTTAATTGACAATTTAGGATCCTACTGTCAGCAAAGTTATAAGATGAGCTATTTTATGAGCTTATCTAAGGCACAGTTACCCAATAAAATAATAATTCTTATGATCAATACTCTAATACTAGCAAAATTCACCTTCCACTCCTCCAGGTACCCAAACATTTAATACGAGACAATCTTCTTGTCCTACTCTTGAGTTTCCTCTTACATTTCTTTGCGGGCATATTTTTAACCACTGTTTTGCAGAACTTCTATCATCACAATTCAGAGTACCTTCCCAGCCCGGATGCGCCGTGGGTCGTGTAAATCTAAAATCAAAAAAGCAGGTAAAAATGACATGCCAGGTATAACTACGGTTGTTTCGTATATTTATATACATGCTATTGTGTAAATTTCGCATGTTTCTTTTGTTTCTGTGATGCGCTTATGATGAATGTGAATTTTCACATGTAATTTCATAGAGCAAAAAGTGAACTACAACTGGGATACAGAATAGGAATTGAAAAGTGAAATGTATAAAAAATCCTGCTCAGCCCCGTTAAAAGGGAAGCATTCACAGCACCCCAAAAACTTAAAATAACACAAATATTCTATTGGTAAAGTAAAATCCATTATCGAATCAAATGGTATTTTGTATAGTAAAAATTCAAAATGAGAAAGTGATAAGTGCTGAAACATGTCTGGATAGGATGACTTCGTGTTGCAGAATATAATCACATTAAGCCAAAACAATTTCTGCCAAAAGATGACATAGAAAGATAAAGAAGCTTATTATTTTAGTCAACCAAAATAAAGATCAATTTTCAAATGAAAAATTACACTGCACGAATTTTGGTATATGACCTAAAGGCGTTGAAGTCAGTCACCACCCACAGTTGGCCAATTTATAAAAACATGTTAGCTGTCATATTAGTTACAATTTTTTTTTTTATTTAGTTGCTCTGCGAAAGTTGAGTACTCAAACACAACTCATTATGAAAATGATAAGATGTGGCCTTGACCCTATTAAGATAATCAAAGCAAGAGAAGCAAAGTATATTTGACTACCGGTAGTTTAATTATTGTAAATCACATACCGGTACATATTATTGTAATCAATAGCCCGATTACGATAACTTGTAAATTACTTCAGGTTGTTGTTTTTATAAAATTATCAAGCAGTACAGTCACGCTACACATAAGCTGCTTCAGTTTTAAATCTTCTGAGAAATAAAATTTACGATAAGGTCAATATTTATTCATTGACATTCATGCTGATATAAATACGACAAAAGATTAGAACTATTTCAATTAGGGTTACTTGCCTCAAATCACCTAAAGGTGGAGTTCCATATGGAATTGCAAAGAATCTGTCCATTAGATATTTCTCGCGCTGTAAATGAAGACCTTTGACCAAACCACCAGTTGTTTCAACTACAGCATCTTCTAACAAAGTAACATTGCCTTGAGGAAATTCGTAACTATCCTGAAAGTGAAAGTGGATTCTTGAGTATTAATCAATATTAGAAAATTTGTTATTTGGTACAAATGCTATTGATGGTTAATAGATAAATTATGCATAAGAATATGTGCATGAGACACATGAAATGTTAAGTATTTTATAAGACTCGAACTCAATATTTAGATTTGCTCAATTACTAGCTGAGCCTAACATTGAATAGGGATAAGCCATTCTAAACTAAACTATGACATAGTGCAAAAATACTTACATCTAGACCTTCTCCTTCACCATATAAAGGAAGTTCATTTATCCAGAAAGTTGTTTTGTCAGACTCAAGGTAATTATTTATTCTAGTCACATTGTTTGAGGTTGGATCATCAGTACCAAACACCATATATTTTTCATCGACTTTGTTATACTTTGGCCAAAATGTTGCTGATTGATTTGAACCAAGATTTGGATTTCTAAGAGGATAAATTTTAGTAGGTGTTGCTATGTCAAAAGTATGCTATGTCAAGTATGCTATGTCAAACCAGGTATCTTCCATTTTTAGAATCCAATAGCACTCAACCACTAGTACAAAGCATCGTCCAAACGGTGGGTTAATCCAGGATATATTTATTGCTAAGTCAGGACAAATGCCTACATCAGAATATTGTTTCAGTTCTATTGAAACAATTTCTGATAAGAATACATCTTGTTGTATAATATATTCTTCAATTGATATAACCCATTGTACTTCACGATGGCATGTTTATAAAATTACATTTTCCAGTAAAATTTTGCTCTTGGAGAGTGATTTAGTTGTACTTTCGGTGGTGTTTCATAGGAAAATATCAGTCACTACATCTTTACAACTAAGCTTTACCATTTTCTCATTTTGAAATTTGAATTGCACAGTTCTTAGTTGCATGGAGCTGGATTTTCAAATATTAAATTACACTGCACTTATTTTGCTGTCAATTGTTACTAGCTGTCATGCTAGTTACAATTTTCTTCATTTGGTTGCTCTGCAAAAGTTGAGTTCTCAAACAACTCATTATAAAAATGATAAGATATGGCCTTGACCCTATTGAGATAATCAAAGCAAGAGAGGCAAAGTATATTTGACTAGTTTAATTATTGTAAATCACATACATATTATCGGAATCAATAGCACGAAAATAGTTTAAAAATGGTATCAGTCATTACATCTTCACAACTAAGCTTTACCATTTTCTCATTTTGAAATTTTGAATTGCACAGTTCTTAGTTACATGGAGCTTTTTTCCACATATGGCAATTGTGATATTTTACAAGGTAAATTATGCTAACAACAAGCTTCTTATTGCTGAAATAGTCAATTTATTGCATTTCTGATAACTCACCCAGTCCTTGCAAAGTTTCCCCAAAACGATGTCATCTGAAGACTAACTTCTACTTCTGCCAATGTCGAACCAGTTGTTGACATTGGGACACCAAACACATATGCCAGTTCTTCAGCATGTCTAGCACCAGTTACCCAATCAAATTGCTCATCAGGCGAATATGCTTCAAAATAGCAAGTAAGTATTGCTCGAATTTTAAAACGGTCAATAGTATACTATTCCCAAATGCAGCATCGAGTTATTTCATAGAATTCTTATTCTCTGGTTAGAGTACTAATCATGGTATTTAACATGCAATCATTTTTGAACAATTGCATGTGATTAAGGTTTGAAACTTGAATCAAATTTTTCGCAGTGGTTTTTTATGTTCTATCAAATGGTAGATATTTTGCAAAAAGGATATTTATGCCACATTTTCACTAGTACTGAAAATATATTATGGAAATATTCTTTAAATCAACATTTACAAAAATTAATCTTAAATTAAATCATAATTATGTAATTACCCCATTTTGTGTTGGCTATCGCTTCTGATGGCCTTGGAGTAAATATATAAAGATAAACATCAGAATTAAATCCATCTTCATCTGAAGCGAGATTTGAAAAATTTACAGTTGGTGATAGAATATCAAAATCTCTTGTGGCATTTATAGCGAGCCATTTCCAGTCATCAGCATTGGTGGGAAGGGGTTCTGTCCAATCAACATAGTTGAAAAATACAGCATCTGCAATCTGTACAAATTATAAATGTTATTGAAATAAAGGTTAATATTAAAAAAAATGGTAATTTTTTCCCACTATTTTCTGTTACTATTTCATCTTAAAAAATCAATCCGAACTCATACAGGACGCTGAAATCACTTTACTTATTCCATTTTATTTAACATTGATTCCTGAAAGTAATAGATACTCCAAAAAGTCAAATTTGGAAAAATTAGGAAATTAATAAGAAATTATTGGTTGATAATCGACATACAGAGAACAGAATTTAGAAACAAAGATCAATGGCATCAATTGTTAATTGAACCATGACATTGAAATTGCCTGCTAGTTTTGAAGTTTGGTTAGAAACTACAAGCCTTTGTATCGAAAACAACCTATAAAAAACTTTAAAAAGTATGGCCATGATAAATATGAGCATATTCGCAAAAATAAAACTTACTTTACTTGGATCTCTAAAATCCTTTGCGTGAAATTGTTCGATAAAATCGTTGAAATTATCTGCGTCCGTAACATTGTCAAGTAGTGAATAATATACCAGTGCATCAAATGAATTTAATCCTACAATGTAGTCGTATTTTCCGCGTAGTCTGGATATAATATCTTGGTCATTAGAAAGGTCCTGAGGTGTGGCAGGGAAAATTTCGCCATCAACGACTGGTCCGAATGAAAGTCCAATCGATGCTACCATTATTTCAGCGGCAGTTTTTTCTCGGATACATTCAACTGCGAGAGTGGTTGAGTATGTGGGACAAGCTAATCGTTCGAATAGAAATCGTGCATTCTGGCTGGGGTTGGTAACAAACCCAAAATCGGAAAAAGCACTTCCGCTTTCTGATATAATGCGGTGGAATAATTGTGGCTTGTCAAGATTGGTATGAGCAGATGCTGATAATGCATGGAGCTGTGTAGATGCCGCGCCCGAAGATTCACCAATTATTGTGATACGATTCTTGTCCCCGTCAAAGTTCTCTATGTTCTCATTTATCCATTGCAAGGCAGTAATCTGGTCGAGAAATCCAATGTTAGATGTTGATTTCCCATCACCTGTAATAATAATTTCGTGCTTTGTATTATTGTTGGCGCATTATTTTATGTTTTAGGTAGAAAACGTTTGTTATGATTACGTTTACTATTTTGATACGATTCTTATTCGATATCGACACATCTGAATATTGTTTATTCGAGTTTTCGCCTTGAAATTTTGCTACCCATGATCTCTGATACACAAATTCGCTACAGGAGTGGTGACTCCTCTACGGCCCATGGGCCGGGGCCACGGCCCATTTAATTGGGCCACATGGGCCGTGGCCCATAGCTTGATGGGCCGCGGCCCCATCAGAAAAAATTCAATTATCTTAATAAAATTTTCAATTTTTACCAAATTGTCAATATTCGAACCAAAAAAATATACTCCAGTAGTATGTGTACCAGGTTAGGGTTAAGACAAAAAAATTCAGATTTTTTACATTATAGTTCTATTATAAGTTCGGGTACTGTCTGAATAGTTTCTTTACACAACTTGATGGGCCGCGGCCCATAGCCTGATGGGCCGAGGCCCAATTCGATGGGCCGTGGCCCCGGCCCATGGGCCGCAGAGGAGTCACCACTCCCACTCCAAATTCGCGTTGAGTAGGTGCACATACTTTTCCTACAATCTAACAATATTCGTCTTATATCATGGTCGTTGTGATAAATTGTTAGCGTGGTAATTTCCTCTTGGAATTTCTTGTTAATTATAGATAAGGAAGACCCCTAGAACGCGGCTCAACAATTAATGTTAATACCAATCTTGGTAGCACTTGCCGCTTTTTCTATTTTCAATAAACTTCAATCCCAAAACAACTTGTCTACTCTACGTTATTTGAGACGACTATCAACTCCTTGTTCTTAGGGTTTTGTTTTTTATCAATTCTAAAAAAAACATCGTGTTTTAAAACAAGGGCTTGTTTTAAATCAATTTTTTTTTTGTACTTTTTGTATTTTTTATTGAAAAACCCCCTGCATCGCCGCGAAACTACGCAGAAACGTTGCATTCTGGCAGCTGCACACGCAGCCGGAATTATAATTTCAAAAATGCAAGTAAAGATTCTTATTTTGACTTTTACTTCTATTGCGTACATTTATTGCCATGTTTGTATCTTCAATAAAGATTTTAACCGGAATGTTTATCCGAGATATCAGAGAGACATTTCGATCAAAATCAAAACGAGAATATCGGTCTAAGACCGAAGACTTGTCGATCGAAAGTTAGGTATTTAACGTAATGGCTTATCGGTTGCGTCTTACTGCGCAAACCACTGAACTACAGCTTGAGAAGGTGTGTATGAGCCTCTATCGATATTTATGGCGTTTTGAAGGATTTATTGCAAATAAGGAAGCGCTTGGCAAGTTTTTACATTCATTTTTCTTCAACATATTTTATACAAAAAAATCAAATAGTACAGCCATTTAGAACGAAAAAGCAAAAAAAAAAACTCGATTTAAAACAACTGTTTTGAAACAATTCTTTTTGAACAAATCCCTACTTGTTCTGTTTACCTTCTTCGACGTATTTGAAGTATGATAGTGTGTCATATTAAAATCTACCATGCAGCAATCGATATCAAACTTTCAAACACTTTGCTAGTTATTAATTCTTTATAATTTTGTTCATATTGGAACAAATGCACGTGGTCAAATTTGTATGCCCTTCCCGAATAATATATACAATATTATGTTGATACCCTGTCTGAGCGTGCATTTCGAGAACGTGCTGATATTGAGCCACATTCTCCCTCGTAATAGATTAGAAAATCCTCCAGAATTTTGAGGGATACAATTGTTATTTTTATATCTGCTCTGTTTTGGTATCTGCATAAAGCTACTTCAAAATACAAGCGACCACTCGCGTGTATTGTTTCGCAATAACACTATCGAAATAATTAAGACACGTGAAACTCACCCGCACTTAGAAATCCCAAAGCCCCCAATCGGTAGTTCATTGTAACTACTATAACATCACCGAACCATGCTAACTCGCCGTCGTAGAAGTCCGCAGACCCTCGCCTGTTAAAACAATATGATAATGTTTAAAAATTCAGTAGTACGAACAAATGATCACTTCTTTGATATAAGGCGGTATAAATAATTATATGGTTCATTTAGGGCGCAGGATAGTTTTCAGAGGGAAAGGCAATTCAAATTAACCAGGCCCTAATAATGCCACCCTGGATCGTTCTACTGGTAATATACGCTGTTGACATACATGTATCCTCCTCCGTGAATCCAAACCATTACAGCAAGGGGCTTCTCAGAAGATGTGTAGTTCTTGCGAGGAACGTAAATATTCAAATACAAACAATCTTCTTCTCCTATTACTTCTCCGTTGATTGTGGATATTTGAGGGCACAATGATTTGAAAGAACTGGCATCCAATGGATCCGACCATGTTTCGTGCGGGCTAGGAGGTCTCAACCTTCCTTCGCCAACAGGAGGTGCAGCATACGGAATTCCAAAATACTTCTCGATGATTACTGAAGATGGAAATTCTCGAACAAATCCTTCTATTACGCCATAATTTGTATTGCGACGAATCACTTCATCAGCTGCCGAGGAAAAGCTTATGTGCTTTGCTAAAACACAAACTATGATAAAATAGGGTCGTAGCATGATATTGAATATGTCTGTTTAGATATGATATATTTGCATATTATAATAGAAAAACTTCTTATATAAGAATAAGAATAAAATATTTTGTCACACCTGTTGGAGTTCTAATAATGTAGCCAATTTATGTCGTACCTGATCGTGTCATAAGCTTACTAAATATATAGATAAACTAGAGACCAGTGATTCTCAACCGCGGCCTCAACTATCTTCCTGTGGCTCTCATTATCATTTAATTAATATTTAATCATTTCAAGTGAAAATAATTATTAAATGACTTGAATTTGAATGATTGAAGTGCAGCAATAGAGAATTGTTGTCATCGTTGCTGTTAGTCGTTTGAATGCAACGTTTCAATTATTCTTATAATGCTGTAGTGGGGTTTCCCACAATGTTCAGCCTACATTTCGATACACTGATTTCATTGTTTTCAGTAATTGCAAGCAGGTTCTATCCTCACACTGTGGAAGTTTAGGTATTTTCGAACAAAATATTCATTAGTTAGTTTATCAAAACAAAATGTCAAGCAAACCGTCAAAAAAGCTCGCACTCTTTATGAATATGATCAGGCGTATTTTCAAATTGAAGTAGATAGTCATTATCATTATGAAAATAAGAAGCTGCCTAGCGATTGTTATATATATTGCTGAAGAATGCATCCATCACGACTTCGCCTCGCATCTTCAGACTTCGGAATTAAAAATAAAAGCCAAAGTCAAGTTTTCAGATTTGTTTTGTTGCTATTTTAATTCGCGTTGTTTTTATTCGACATCTAACAACTTTAGTGTTTGAAATTGGGCTCTGACAATAAAAAAAGTTGAGAACCACCGAACTAGACCCTTATGTATGTTTTATCACATCTTGAAGAAATTGTAAAAACTGGCAGTTTATTTCAATTTGTGTATAACTATGTCGATACAAACTTGACTTTTTTTCATTATTTGTGGTACGATTCCCATTAATCTCGCCATGCCTACTACGGTTTGTATTGTCAAGTTTAATGCCTTAAAAAACTACAAGAATAAGCAAACCTATTTTAGAAGAATAGCCGACCGTTTCCTGTCCCCAACGAAACAAACGCGGCTGTAAAACTAGTACATCTTAATAGTGTTTATAATCTACAGTCTCGGAAAACGATAGGCAATCCATGCAAACATAGATTATACAACCCGCAAATTTGCCAAAACGTTTGTCATGCGATATCTGTTTACTTTTCTGCTAATCAAGGCCAGAGCATTCGCAAGACAAACTCTCGGATGCCGATACAACGTTACCGATTCGAATAACAAACCATGAATTTATATTGTTATATATTGGAAGCGGTAAAACGTATATCGCTACTGGAAACGTAAGTTGTAAAAGTGAATTTATTCTGCACAATCCTATATCGATATGACGATATATATATTATAAATCTTTAACAATATATATATATGTTGCGGTGTTGCGCATATGTTGTTTTACTCAGGTTTTGCACAAGGAGCGATACATTGTCTTGTTGAGCACTTCTAATAAAAAGCTACGAAGCTAGAAGGTAAATAGTTCTGAAAGATTACTTCGAAACTTCTCGCCAGAAATACCCATGAAACGCTCTTTATTAATAGGCAAAATACATCATGGATATTTCCAAAATTTCCACATGTTGCCACATTTTTCAAAACATAAACACAGATCCGGTGATGTCTTCAAATACACACCGGGACTTGACAAAGGGTACACGTGTGTGACACGGCTTTTCTGAGACACCGTGATAAAACAATGCTTGAAGATTTACAATTTATTGACTCCAAAAACGTCGCGAGCATTTAGAGAAAAATATGCTTCCTTGGCCAAATACTCCAAACGAATAGATCGTATAAATTTAGAACGTAAAATAAATATTTCCGAAATTCATTCATAGGGGGAGTTCCATTTTCGATTGATTAAATTATAGTCTATACCAGGGGAGCGCAACATTTTTGTCGCAGGACATATAACCAAATTCAACGTGTGAGACATCTAGCTGGACACCAAAACATGTATTTTTTACATGAGCATCTTTTTAAACCTAAACGTTCGGATTATAATTTTATGCTTGATGGAAAAAATCCGAGTGTTGCAAGGGCCAAACTAAATGTTTTGGCGGGCCGCGTTTTGGCCCGCGCGCCGCCTGTTTCACGCCACTGTCTGTTCGGTTTAATTTAGTGGAGATACATCAAAGAAGTCAGATTTTAGTCAACACATTCTCACGTAAACGAGACACCAAAATAACATGCATAGCGTTACCTTGTAAGCATTCTATTTATATTATACTCTATTGATGTTTTAATCTAATCCATGGTATGAAAGGTGACCTAATTTGGCTTTAGTATATCGGATCGTGTTTGAAATCTCGGACAATAAGCCAAACAGGAAGCGGGCACATAACACATTGAGCACGCAAATCATACCTTCCATTGAAATCAGACTACGAAACAAATGTCAAATCATAATCATAATATTTCGCAATTCTTACAAAATATATCCGTTTCCTGTAGATCCGATTTATATTTACATAATGTGGGTTTTAATCATTCCCATGCATTTGCTGGGTTATTCTTCTCGTGTTTGTCTTGGAGAGATCATCACAATAACGGGTTTAGTTCTTGAACAAGGACAATATGGGAGGAACGGATTTTCACGTCCTAAAACTCCTAATTCTTATATCCGTAATCAAAATAATATCTGTGGGGGGATACAGTTTAAATAATTTTTATCCACCCTGGGGAGGTAGTAATGGAGCTACACCCGTTCGTCTTCACGGAGGTAAGAATATCATTAATACGCAATGTATCGATTTTATCTTAGTTGCGTTTCATGCCATACGATATTCTGCCAACATTAATTTCCTGAAATTTCATATGTCATCTTTTAATCTTTAAAGAAATCACTTAGATAGTTAATGTTCGAAAAAATTTTAATCGCATTCAATAAATATGTACCACCGTCGACAGAGAATCCAAACTGACATTGTATAATTTTAATTATAGAATTCACTATCAATCCTTTCAATACGGGAGTTGGGCCCGAAATCCCAGAATTGAAAGTTTTTTTCATTGGAGAACACCAAGTTTTTGAAGCAGAGGTTGAAAAAGATTCAACGAAGGAGCATGTAATTGGATGCTACACAAGGTAAACTGTCCTGTTTCTACACTGAATCAGATGCCTTTGGCGTATAATATTTCTTTATAACTATGCACTATCGTTTGATAAAATGGTTGAGACATTTTCTACTAAAAAGGCCATATATTGCAACACAACTTGGGTCAAGGAATAATCTCCTTTCATTTTGATTGAATTCGCGTGATTTCCTAAATATTGTAGAGTTTTTGTGAAAGAAAAAATGATTGCCTTGACTACATAATAAAAAAAAAAGGAATTTACATAATATACATTGGCTCGAGTAAGGTCCAAGGACTCACCAAAATGTCAAACATATTTTCGTCAATTTTGGCACAATAGAAAACTTTACTATTCTTCGAGTCCTTGCTTCCGAAAACAAATAACTGGCTAAATAATCCCATACCCAACAGGAATTGGTAAACGAACGAGAGCCGTGGTTCGCCATATGATGAAGCCGTCTTATCGGCTTTCCTCTCCCCGGGATAAATGTAAATCATATCCTATCCTTTTATTGGTAGATGGTTTCACAGTAATTCATCAAAGTTTTTTTTTCAGACCAATGCCCGTCGGCAAATATAAAATCTGCGTGGAGATTGAAGGGGACCAATACTGCAAGTCTACTTTTCATGTGCGTCATTTAGTCTTATGTACTAATTTTTATTGAGTTTTGAATTCATTTTAGTGTGTTTTGTGGTTTAATCAACATAAAATGGTACCGAACGATTGAAAATAGATCATTGACTATTTGATTTGGAGCGTTGCATATCGTTAAATCGGTGATACATCAGAGGTTAAAATTGTTTGTTTTTTATTGAAGACTCCATGTGAATTTCAACATGCGTAAACAATGATTGAAATGTAAATAAGAAATATTTTCTGATTGCGGATATATTGCTCTTTTAAGGTTGTGTGGTGGCGTACACCCTACATTGCAGAATTCCATTTTTCTGCTGATCACGATTCATTTGCCGGAACACCTCGCAGTTTACTGACAGTCGATGGGAGAATTTTTACTGATGTTTATGGCACAAATGACATTCGCATGCTGGGATCGGCTGAAGAATTGACAATTCGACGGTGAGTCCTAAAAAAGGATTGCCCCTAGCCCCATACTTTATATATCTTAGAGACACCGCTTACCAAAAAAATTCTAAATCATCAGAACATTCATTGTTGTCAGGACACTTTTACCGTTCATAATGCAGCGACACATATGTTGCTTATCACAAAATTTTATTTTGGTTATTTTTAGTTCTGCAAATAGGAATTCCAGAAGGTCATATTTATCCAGCTGCGGTATCAAAATAAAGTTCATTTTATTATGGTTGCGGTTCTCGTTTGTGTATTAATATTTGTGTTCCAATTCCATTCACATTATCACGACGCGTAATATTTGTGATACCATCGTTTTTAGTAGTAACGACCATTTGAATTTTTAGAATGTAGCTTGATTTCCAGATTGCCTTACTATAAAACGATGCATTCTCATAAAGTGATACTTTAATTTTCGTCGAGATAGGGCCGTTGTTTGTTTTCGTTTACAAAAAAGAAAGCTAATTTCAACTAGAGGCACACTGTGAACAATAGCAATCAAAACAAGAGCATGTGTTTCCCGATCTATTTAACCATGTTGTACGAACTACTAACCTCTTCACAGTCCATGTTGTCTTTTAAAATACCATAAGTATAAAAATTCCGCTGATACCACTGAAATTAGCCTAATGCACACGTTCAATAGTCGATCGAATAGACACCGACAATGGCACTCCATGTCAACAACGCAGATTGGTACAAGAACTTATTTTGCATCCCATCATATACTTAGCGATAGAATAATTTTTTTGCAAACCCGCGCCTTCTGCGGCTCATTCTAACCAACGGTTTGCGTCCTTCTGATTGCTTCGAAAAAGCTAACAATTATACATCAGGTTTTCAATAAGTTAAATGATCTAGTCTAGTAAGTTAAATGATTGCTTGTAAATGAATCTGTGAACGGGTAACCGCAGATACATTTGCTTCTCTCAAAATTCGGCAAGATAATAACGTACCGTGCGAGTTTTTTACCATTTTGTTACTTAGTACTTAATCAAGCACAGCACTTGGCGTAACGGTCGCAAGACATTTCGATTTCAGGCATATTTTACCAATTCTTTTCGTACGATCGGCGCATTTGACTTGACATTATTTTATAGAGTTTATGCTGGTTCAGAAGATTGTTCACTAGTCGACGAAAATGATGATTTGTACGGCCTACAGTTGGATTCAGAAGGTTCGTGGGATGGCGAATTCACATGTAAAATGAACAGCGAATATGTCGGTAAGTTATGCTATGCTTTTGATCTTTTTTGTAGTTTTCCTGATACACTTCTCGACGATAAATAGAACACTGTTTATTTCCGAATAGTCCGACCAGCGGCGTATACGTTTATTTTTATCATATTCCGGATGTTTAATGAAATCGTGTTCAGCACAAAATTGTTCCTGTTTGGTAAATTTTGGTTCGAGTAGATTGAATGCGATTGTTTTGTCATGAATGATTACATAATAAACCGCCGCTGCACGGTATGAAAACAAACGACGATCTGTGCTTTAGTGGATTGGTCAGAAACTGTTTTAGGACCCAAGTATTCAGAAAGTGATGCTAAAAATATTAGATCACTTTATACTAGCGATATACCGCCGGAAAAGTCGACGCAAAAATATTCCGACTCTTTGGAAGTGATTACTATGAGTCGTGATGCATTTTTTCAATCCACGATATGGTCCATGGATAGTGAATGTAATATTAGCCCGTTCGACCTTTGTTTTATGCATACCAACAGTACTTTTGAATGCTACATAATATGGCATGATTTTCTGCAATAATTTATGAAAATTACAAAAACCAAAAAAGTAAAAAGAAAACGACATATCATCTATTAGAAAACAAGAAAAATACAATTAAAAAAAAGTCTAAATCCAAAGACGGAAATCTGACCTCACCGCATAATTTTAAATGCTACATAGTATGGCATGATCCCCTGCCAAAAATTATGAAATTACAAAAATTATAAAAGTAAACAGGAAACAATATATCATCTGTTAGGTAACAAGAATGATACACATTAAAAGATTGCCAAACCACAGGCCGGAAATAGGCATTGGTTGAATCTTTTTAAGATTTAGATTTCTCCGGTTTGCTCGTGTGAAAATCTAATGAATCATTTCCTGAGATGAGACTTCTTTATATTTTTGTTACTTATAGATACTTATATAAGCATTAATATAAATAAAATATTATATTTCATTATACATTGGAAATTTTATTCATCTAAAATAAGAGAAAATTTTTTACTGCTTGATCATGAACCTAGAAGAGAATACAAATACAATATTTTAAAATCTTTTCACATGCATTTGTGTAGGAATCAAATCTGATACACTGCTGAATTTATACATTCTATTATATTTAAAAATATCCATCTGTTTTATTAGATTTATATTTACATTTCAAATACAGGTAACAACAATTTCAGTTTCATTGTTACTGGTTATGGAAGATCAAAGGTTAACGAGAACTTAATGAGAATCACAGGGGAGGACAAGATCTACATGTTTCAAACTTATGCAGGTAACAATTTTGTAAGACATATTACAAACAATGATTTATGATTTGTTCTAATATTTTATTTGTTATAGGTGTAAAAAAGGATATGTGTTTTGATATTTTGTGTTTTATAGAGGTTACTGGAATCAGCCCACAATCGGGAAGTGAGGAAGGAGGAACAATTATAACAGTTTCAGGAAGATATTTTGATCCCAACCCCACAAAAGACACCCATGTATGGGTCGGCCGTGAGCTTTGTGAAATAATTGAAGGCTCGCAGACAGATACTGAGTTGAAATGCATCACTCCATCAAAACCATCCATTATGGAACTTTATCCAGGTATTATCATAGAAAACTATTATCAAGATCTAGGCCATTTCCAGATCAGCGATATCAAATATGATTTCGCAAGGCTCTGAAAAACGTTCCAGACAAACAGCCATATAGAAACCTAGACATGCGAGGATAAAAACTCATCCGGTTAAAATTACCTACTGATTTTATTACATCCTTGGTGAATCTTCATTCTGTAGTAGCTATCATAATGGTTCAATGATGAAAATTAGTGGAGTCTATAAAATGAAGAGGTTATTAGACAGTAAATCCAATATTTAATTATTTGAAAGTATTTAGATTTTAAAATTTATTCAAAATTAATCCATTATGAAACAAAGTTGTATTCAATATTGATCAGTTAGGACCTATAATTTTTGATTTCTATCTCAAAAATCACTAATGCAGATGAATTTGTGAATTTAGTGAAATTATGAGAATAAAAACATATATTTGTGAACATTAGTCTTGCCAAATATTAGTTTTGACTTTCATTTATCAAATTCTTCATTGGAATACCTGATATGATCAATCAGAGTCTATTATACTTTACTTCAGTAACCATTTTCGATTTTTATAATTTTTTAATGTTCTTTTTTTATTTTATATATCCAGGGTCCAGAGGAGTTAACGTTGAGGTATGGTACGATACACAGATGAATCTTGATGATGCTAGAGTATCGCTTAACTCCACTCATGATGGGTGAGGGATTTAATTTATATATTACCATCCTGGGATTGTTTCGTAAAATTGTGGCTTGGTTAAGCAGTAATTAATGAATTCATCTATCTGATAAATTTATTTGCATAAACACATATTTATCCCTGGTCATGCTTTTTAAGGTATAGGATATAACCTATAGGTTGCTGTAAATGAAACCAAAAATATGCAGAAAGTCTATATATCAGCAACATTGAATATTATATTTCTGCATCTTGTTTATAAATGTTTACTTATTTTTTAAATATTTTATTCCATTTAGATATGATACTTGGGAAGCTGATTCTGCTGGGTATTCATTTGAAAATGTGACAACTATAGTGAAAATTACTGGAACTTTTGAAGTTCCTGTGGATGACAAATATCAGTTTTATATCAGATCAGATGACGGAAGTGTTTTGTATTTGTCATGCGATGGAAATTCTGCCAATGTGGTAATAAAATTTTAAAATTTTTCCTCGATACGAATTCAATGAAATAAACCTGATTATATTTTTGTTATTATATTTTCTTAATGACATTGTAAAAACATAAATCCCTGCACCACATGATGATATGTTGTTTTTTTCCAGGAGAAAGTGGCTTATGCATCATCTTATGCTCCTCATTTTAGACACTTTTCATCACAAAAATCGGATTGGATGGACCTAGATAAAGGTCAAACTTTTTGATGCTTTCTAGAAGAACTATAGCAATTTGAACTTTTATGGTTACCTGATGATGTCCAACAGCCCCATAATTTTTTAAGTTCAAAAAATTGTTATTATTAATGAGACTAAATTCATTAAATCATTAACAGGCCAGTTTTGCTATTTTGAGGGACTTGTTCAGAATTATCAAGGGCCTGGTAATATTTATATCGGTGTCTTGCGTGCAACAACTACTTTGACTAGTGCTCAGTCTGCAAATGCATGGATGGAAAGGCAACAAATATTATGGCAAGCACAGGAAAAAAAAGAGAAGCAGGTTTGGATTATCACATTTTAAATTCAACATCAATATTTTTTTCGGAGTTCTTATGTGTCATTTACCATATATTGCTATCTGCATGGATCTGTTTTTCTCTATTTATTCTGTTGCTCCCGATTATCTTTAGCCAAGATATACCTAATTTGTGGATATTTATGATATTGTGATTTGTTTTATATCCATGTCTCACTTTGAAATTTCAAAAACAAATTTTTAATCTCTGAAAGCTGCAATGGCTTAAAAAGAAGCCATTGACTGATGGATTTCTGTAACTGTTCAGCAGACTCAAACAAATGATTGGCATTTGGTGCATCATGCTAAGCACCAGAAATAATTAGATTATCGTACATAGTTCATGGTTTCCAACATTATGAATGATAAATATGTGTGAGATGATTGTTTAGCTCCTTGTTACAGATGGCGTTATCACATATTTCCATGATCTATCCACAACTCCTTGTGTTGAATGTAATGTAATAATTCAAAATAAATGCAGTATTTATTCTTATAATATTCAGTGTGAAATCAATAAAATTTGAATAATATAGTGTGTCTCAAAAGTAAGTATACACTTTTGATTTTGATCTGCTTTCCAGGTACTCATCATAGAGCGTTCATTTCTTAAGAAAACATACTAATACTATGGATAAGTAATAAAATTTAGGTATTGTTTGCATCTTTCATCAACCCACAAAATGACAAGGAGATTAACCAAGAAATGAGGTGCAAAATTGTTGCTAGGTAAAAAGCATATACCGGTAAATCAGTAAGAAAACTGAGCGCCACTTAAACAGAGATTGATATTGATTCGGTAACTACAAGACAACCAGTTTGTGCAATTCATCTTAAATTTATGGAAACTAGATCTGTAGTTGATGCACAAAAAGCAATTTTGCAGCTCACAGCAATTTTGCACCTCATTTCTTGGGTTTATCTTCTTGTCATTCTGTGAGTTGATGAATAATGCAAACAATACCTAAATTTTACTATGCATCCATACTATGTATTCTGAAGAAATGAACTCTCTATGATGAGTACCTGAAAAGAAAATCAAAATTAAAAGTGTATACTCACTTTTGAGACACCCTGTATATTATATATGAATCGTAAGTTTGATGCTAATCAATTTTGGCATACTAAGGATCATTTATCGTCATTGGCACATTTTACTGTTACTTTCAGGTTATTTCATTAATAAACTGGAATCCTGAAACACCATTGTCTGAAGTTCAAACTGTTGAAGTTTCAAGTAATTGTTATCAGACAGATTTTCCAGATGTAATTTGTGCAAGTGAATTCTATGTGCTCTCATACCGCGGACGCCACACTAATGTGCTTTCTGTAAATGTAAGTCATTTACTACCAGTAAAGGTTTTTTTACCCTGTGGCAAGTTTCCTGTTATGTTGTTATATGAATTTTCTTCTAGCAATTCCTTATAGTAACTTAAAGCAAATTTTATGAAATGGCAATGCTGACCCTCTTAACTACAGACCTTTATAATGATTTTTCAGAATGTTCGATATTTTTCCACTGCTCTTGACTTTTGGTCATTTTTATTTCATAAATGCTGATGTGGACTGTGCAAAATCTAATTATTTCAAACAAATCATGAAATTTATTATATTAGGCTCTTGATTTTGATGTTCAAGAGGCTTTAAATAAAATTATGCCAACTGATGATGTTGAAGTATCAGTAACATCCACACCAATGTTAGATGTAAATGGGAATGAAATTGGAACATCATACGAAGTTACATTCAGTGGATACATGGGTATGTCGATATATAATTCAGTGTGAATTTTTCAAGATTTTGAAGGTTTTTCAGTTATTTTTATTGTACCTATTTATTTGCCTAAAACATCTTAATAGTAATAGTAAATGTATATTTGGTGCATTCATTGCAAATTGACTTTTATTGATGAAGTATTTTTCTTTTTCTCGTTATCATGTGCACTTAATGCCCCTCAGTTATTTATTAGAATTTTTGGTTTTCAACATAAATCATAGCATTGCGAATATATCCATAAAAAACATCATGTCAATCTCTTTATTCTGGCTCAATTTTTCCGTTATGTTCAGGAGATGAACCTGCACTAGTTGTAGAACATGCCAGCGCCAATGTTACAGTTGAGGTTTCCGAAGACACAAAGGGTTCTCCAAATTTTTTGAAGTTTTCACTTAATTTCCTGGGAAGGTGAACAATGAATTTAATAATAGCAATTCTTTGGTTTGTGATATAGCCTATTTTTTTTCTGTTTATGAAAGCGGTAATTGGCTATTTTAATGAATATCAAAATATGGCAGTGGGTGTATTGGTTGAAAAGTGGCAACTTAATGAGATAAAAATATCCAGAATAATTGCAAAATGAAATTTGTAACCTTATATATTTAGGCTAGGTGATCAAATATTCAGTTTATATTACAATCAAATTTTCAAAGCTTTCCTATGAGTCATTTACTGTCAACTATTATAATTTTTATTGTTTAATGATGCTACAATATAATTGAAAATTGAAAATCCTAATTTGTAGGATCACTGATGCGATTCGAGTTGATGCAACTGCTGAAGATGTTCAGGAGGCATTATGGAAAGCAAGAGAAGCAAAATGTGTTGATGAACTTATGAAACTTAGCTCGTTGTTTATCAGAGAGTTTTTACATTTTGAAGGAAATAAACCTTCTGATTACTCCGAATCTGGTAAAAGGACAAAGGTACATACAAATTCATTCTTTACAGCTTTGAAGCAGGCAAGATCATTAGCAGTCTTAAAAAGATATAGATTTTTTCATAGTCATAGATTTAGTACAGATTGACGTATAACTCAATATGACATGGTCACTGAGAGTATCACTAATCCATGATAAAAATGCTGGTCAAGACATTCGAAGCTGAAAAAAGGTTTCCAAATAATACCTAAAATGTAATAAACAGGAAAGAAATTAATTTAAAAATAATATATTTCGAGTACTGAATTGATTGATCAACATTTCTAAAAAACTTTAAAGTTATTGAAGATATATGATTCAATTTTTAGTGTTATACATGCATATTGCATGCATTGTTTGGCCGTTTCGGTGGTTTAGATCAGGTTACATGTTTTCGAATTCATTTGAATTTGTCGACCCATCAAATTTTTTATACAAATATTGTATTTCTATACCAATGCTCCATTATTTTTACAAGTTTTAATTAATATCAATAATTTATTTCATGAGAATGTTTAAGTTCAGAAACTTTTTGTTAAAATAAATTCAGAATATGGATGCTTTTTGTGGAAGCTCCTCTCTCCTCAACCCACATGATGTTTTTGACTCTGGTCGTGATCATTTTTCAAAGTACAGTGTGGAAGAGTTTCCTTATGTGAGTTTTTTAAATATAAAATGGTTTTATCATCTTATTGGAATATTGAAGATTAAGTAATAAAGTTTTATCTTGATCACAGTTATTCACTAGGAAAAGTGTAACAGAATTGTGTCCAAGGTGGCTCCCATTTTACATAATATTCCTATCATGTCATGATTGGAGTTGAAGTCACTAAGTATCTTCTTTTTACCACTTTGGAATTTGGTTGCATTGACAACTAAATGGATGGATTTCATATACATTGGTAAACTTAAGATGGATATGTTATGAACTTCTCCTATTGTTCAATTTCTGTCTCAAGTTAGATTGACATTCGAAACTCATGTTAAAATACTTCATTATTTTGACAAATATGTATAAAATTTTATTTGTTTTTTGGCTACTGGATTGGATTTGTTTTATTATTCTGTTGATAGAATCTATGTGAGTAGGGTTTACTCTTATCTTTTTTTTTTCAAAAACTCACATCTTTGTAAATAGTATAAAACATTGGGAACCTTTTATCAACTGCTACAATACCATAGGTTGAATCAAAATGACATTTCATTCATAAAACTATAAAACTGTATATGTTTTCTGATCAGTAAAATCTTTATTTATTCTACTGGAGTCTAATAGTGTCATGAAAAATTCAAAGGATATTCTTATTAAACGGTATACTAATAATGATTTTAATTAAATGAATACAGAGCTTTTAATACTGACAGAAATATTCACGGATAAAGTATTCAGATTGGGACAGTTGATCTCAAAAACATGTATTATACAAGATATGGTCACACATGCATCCGCGCTTTTAAAAAGTACAAAAAAGGATATTTGAAAAATTTGAGATTTATTCTAAGATTCTATATTTATTTTTTGTTTTCAACAGTTTTGCTTTGCACACAAAGGTTTGTTTCTGAACAAACTTTCAATAAAATTTGAATATGTTCGACCATCAGATGGAAGAGTTTTAACGCCGGAAGTGAAATTCTTTGAAAATGATATTGTAATGACAGAAAATGCTTGGAGTTATAGTTGTTTCAACATTGAAGAGGTACATTTTAGGGATTGTATAAGATATCTTTTTCATATGTAATTTGAATGAATTTTACGTGTTTCTTTACGATAGATGCCACACAAATGTTCTTTCTGTGAATGTAAGCATTTGATCTCATCATTATTTGTGGGTGGCAAAGAGTTATATTTTTTAATGGAGCATTGAATAATAAAAAAAAGTGTTTAATGCCTGCTCACAGTATTTTTAATACAAGATAAATAGCAGGTATATTTGTAGTGCATCATTTTCATAATATTCATTGCTAAATAATTGATATGGCTATATTTGAACATTCAAGGCTATCAAAGAACATGATGATTACATGGATGCTCAAAACATCAAGATACTTCGTTTGGCTGGTTTTCAAACTATCTCTAATCAACAAAATTTTTATATTGACGAAGTGTTGATAACAAGAACTATACCGGATGATCTAGAAGGTTGTGTGAGCTAGTAATTGATTAACTGATAAAAACTGAAATATAAAAAGGTTGATAAAAAATTTAATATATTTAATGTGAGGCTTGTTTGAACCAACTAATTTTTGTAGATTGTCATTTGTTTGGTTTTTCTATTGATATTGATATATAAAATTTGGTATCGATGCAAAATCAGACATTTCAAGATTTACAACTTTGTCATAAAAGATTCAGCATAATTTTTTTTCTAAAGAATATGATGTTCTGGATAAGTGACTAAAGATATCCTTTTTCGATAACTGAAAAAAAAGTACTAATTTATTTATATCAAATTTGACAACAGATATTGTCATCAGAAGGCAACCACCAGCAATGTATCAAGGTGAAGTGATTTCTTCAATCGAAGTTGAGAAGTTGGAATCAAACCATACAGAGTTTGAGATTACTTTCTCTCCATATAATTGTGCCCATGATCTTCCATTATTATCGGTTGGTGATTTTTTTTTTAACTTTAGTGAATGTACTTTTAAAAAAGGGAAAACATTATTCTTAATATCTTAGATTGTTTTTACTCATTTCAAAATATATTATAATGACATTATTCTCCTAGTCCAGTTGGAACTATACCCCAATTTGGATTTTATATGCTATCTCTGTTTGTTGTCAAATTAGGTAGATCTGCTATTGTGATGTTATGAAATGAGTTTAGTAACACCACTTCTTAACCACCACCTTTTTTTACACACAATAAATGGAATACCATATTCAAAAGCATGTAGCTATGAGTGATTCTGTTTTTCTATCAGAATGGCTAAGTAAGTGTGCCTGCCGTCAATATAACTTGGAATAAAATAATAGTGGAAATGAAATAACGACATATACATTGGTACAAATATTATATTCTACTCGGGTAACCTCCTATTATGAATCATAAAGTCTTTGCAAAATTTTAACAAAAAAGGATTTATTCAGGTCGTTAATGCACCGATGATGTTGGAACAATCTGTGGATGCTTCTCAGTACAACGGTATTGGCTGGCCTGTGGGAACTGTTGTCAATGTAACAAGAACTCAGAAGACTAATATTCCTGTTGGAGGAACATTTGATATATCATATGACGATGATGAACTTGGCCTTCTATCTTATTCTGGTAATAATTGTTGAATTCAGACAGAACTGTTAATAAAAGTTTCATGTAGTTCCTGGACTATGGTTATGGTTTTCTCATTTTATAACTTTTGGATTATTTTGTATTCGAAAAACAAACACTTCATTCTGTGTATCTGCATGTGTCTCTGTTAATAAGTAGTAGTTGCGGAAAAAGCCTGAATAAATAGCAATATATTACATTTTATGTAATTTAAATTAAGTCTTATACATAAACTAATATTTTAGGTATTCCTGGATCAATTGCTCTTAAGGAGTTGGAGGCAATATTAGAATCAATGGGATTGGGTGACATGAAAGTTTGGGGACATCAAGATTATTGCTATTCAAGAAGAATACTTGTTGAATGGGTGGCAAATGGTGGAGACAAGAAAATGTTTGATGTGAGATCTGAATTTTATTATGCAACAAAGTACTACTATTGGCTCAGTGGTGTGGCAAAACAGTCATGTTTATTTTGCTATAAAATTTTAGCAGCATATGCATACAGATACACCAGTGCAGAATAACATAAGAAAAATATGCACTGAGTTGATATGATGTTATAAAACAGAGAGAAAACAATGGAAAAATATGCTAAAATAAAATCACAAATAGGATTTTTATACATTGTTGCAAATACCCAGTTTGTTGCATGTAAAGATTAATCATTATGATGTTTTGCTACTTTAGTAATGTTTGCATGCAAAAACGATATACATTCAAAATAAGAACGATGTATATTATTTAGTTGAAAACTAGCATTTAATAATTTCTTTTTATTCAGATTGATGACACAAATATACAAGGGGAGGAAGACTTACAATTTCATCATTACTTCCGGAATGGTGGGGCTTTGCATGCACCATTTGGAGGGGATATGACCAGACGTATGTATAGTGAATCTCAGGTATGTTGTAAAATTTGAGTTTGGAGTTGGAAAGTGAACGTGTGCTAATTTGAATTTACTTAACTAATGTGTGACAAAGCTCCTATTTTGTTGGTTAGTACTGGAAAATTTATTTTTATATTTTGAATAATTTATTTGTGGATAAGTTACATACCAGACGAACGTTCTTCAATGCTTATAAAGTAGAAATGGTTATGGATATTGTAATCTCGGTAGTAATATTTTTTAAAAATATAGTAAATGATGAATAAAAGAGTTGTGATTTTCTATTAATGGTGATAGTGCCAAATCCAGAGCAGTGTTCATAAAAAGCACAGTAATCTGTTTTCATATAAATATTCAATGTCTTAATTAAGGTTGAAGTATTGATGAATGGGATTCACTCTCGTTGTGATGGAGATTGCTCTTTCTCATATTCAAATGCTTTAACTCCAGTGTTGACTTCAAGCTCACCTTCCTCCGGTGAGATGATTTAATTGTTTTTATTCATATTGTAAAAATTAAGCTACAAATATCTAAAATTTATATTCATGAAGCTTAGAAAATTAAGGAATACATCTGAGACTCATTGAATGTGGGTGTCCCTTGACCATCGTGAACCACCCTGCACTTTGTTTCTGTTGCAAATGTTAGGTTCAATATATGCTTACCATACTTCCAGGTTTAGCCGGGATAGCCCAGATTTTAACAAGATGTCCCGCCGTCCCGCTCGGTAGAATTAACTGTACTGGTCATGCAGTATTGCAGTCATGAATTTTTTTTAATTCAATATCAATGCCAAATTGTTTTTTTGGTAATGGACCCCGTCCATTACACTGATTTGTAAGTCCCTTCACTAGTTAAATGAGGGAGTGAACTACTATATTGTTATGTCATAATTATTACATGTTTAATGGGTTTATTTAACATCTATCGTTAGCTGTACTGCAGTTGAATTATTCAAAAAATAAAATTATTGAAAAGAAAGTGCATGTTTCACAATAGTTTTAATATTATTAATATTCATATAATTTGAATATTACATCGCCTTGGAATTGAACCAGAATTTGTCCATTCTGCACTGTCCGAGTTTTTTGTTTCATGTATATGGTAAGCCTACATTTAACGGAAACAGGTAATTTATCAACAATGGCAGCACAACTTACAAAAGTTTGTGGAATTTCTTGAGCAAATCGGCTGGATTAAATTTGTGTGTCGATGTTATATTTCCACAAAGTTCACACATGTTTGTATTGTTACATACCATAGTTGCTTACTCAATAAGCATAATGTGCCGAAGTATAGAGTTCCTTGTTGAACTTGGCATTTCAGCTTTCAAAATTTTTTATTCCAGGAAGTAATCCTACTCCAATTACAATTGTTGGAACCAACTTAGATGAGAGTAGTAGTGGATCAGAAGTTCTCATAAATGGAGTGGAATGCACAATTACTTCACATGTAAATTATTTATGTCAATGTTGTTATTGATAGAGTTTTGATGTCGAGGACATTTATTGTTAACTTTATAAATCATCATTACATCAGTGTTTTCAGTGATTTTTAATTTACAATTGACCTTTGAATTGTCTTTGTTTCGGAATTTTTCCATATAGTATTTTCTCATTAATCTGCTATAAAATATATTTCATTTTGAATTACAGACTTCCACAGAAATCATTTGTACTACAGGCAGCATGGAATATGGAGATCATGATATTATTGTTCGTGTTGGTGGTAAAGGGTATGGAACACAACCCGACCCTGCTCTTTCTTACACTCAATTATACTCTGTATCATCCATTTCACCTTCTAGTTCATTCACCCCAGGTATTATTGTTTTAATGTACTAAGAAGAAATGATGAGTTATCGAGCATTGATCCTGTGGCTGAATGACTCAAGCTCGCACCACAGTTATCTAATGCGTTGAAGATTATTCTGGATTTAATCACTGTTGTAGAATATGTTTACTGCAGTTGTTGCCCCTGCCAGTGATACAAGAATGCACTTTCTCATTGGTTACCAATCTTGAATGTACCAAAAATGTACTGCTCTGATTAAACGTAGAGTTATGATTCTCAAAACCAATGTGTAATACACCAGACAGAACTGAACATCTGTATCTGACAATTTGATTGTTTCAGGAGGGATATTTTTGACACTTACTGGTGTTGGTCTGAGTTCTTCACTTTCTGTTGAAATCAATTTTGTGGATTGCCCTGTTGTGTCAGCATCACCTACAACTATTCAGTGCGTTGTTCCACCCTCTTCTACTGAAGCATCATACTCTGTTGAGCTAATTACTAACTCTGGAACGAGAACAACAGTTGGTACTTTTGAGTATTCAAATGCTGGAATGCCAGTTGTCACATCTATTTCTGGAGAAAACATTATGGGGCCGGGTAAGTTGATTACATACTAGAAATATAACAAAATTGACTCAATGCAAGATTAACAAGATGTTTCAAGCTAGTGAAGATAGCTACAAATTATTTTGAAAAACCAATTATTTGCCTGAAACAATGTTGTAGGAATATGCAACAACACTTAAAAAATGTAGCAAGTTGTTTGATAAAATTTATAGATCATCATTGTGACTGAGACAACAATATTAAATATAAATAACTAAGATTGGGACAGTGCCAGAACAATAGGGAAGCTAAATTTGGATTAAAATCAATAATTAAAGGACTTTTCAACACTGTAAAAAAGTTTTTTAAACTTACAGGAGGAACATCTGTGATATTGAGTGGTTCTAACTTCGGAACTGTGATCGATGATATTTTAGTTACCATAGGAGGACAAACTTGTGAAATTCTTAACTTATCTGATACATCAATTGAATGCACTTCACCATATCTTTCCAGTGGAACGTATTCATTGGAAGTTCTGCTAACTGGTCTTGGAGCTGCTGATCTTGGGTATGATAATGGATATAATAAGCTCAAGAACTTACACTAACAAATAATAAATTGTTTCGTATAAACTGTATATTATTTAGTATAAACTGTATTTCTCAGATATAAATATGCATGTTATGTCTAATAATCGTGAACAATGTTAAATTGCCATGCTAAATTTTCACCCTCTCAGTAAATACTAACCAAAATAGTAGACATATTCAGATTTCCAAAGAAAGTCTGGATTGTATCCTCAGACATCGTATGTTTTAGTAATACTGAGTCATTTTTGCAGAACAAACAGTATTCCTGATATTGTATATACTTTTATTGTAACTGATATCCAACCAAGAATGACTTCATTATTTGGCGGGCAGACCTTGGAACTAACAGGAAATGGTATGTAATGTTTTGACTGGCCACTATGACCTAATTACTTTTTTTTATTCCAGCATATTTATGAATATTTCAATTGAATAGAAAAAAATTGCAAATTTTTTTTTTGTAAAAGAATTGGTTTTATCACATTGTACGCTGAGTTATTTTACATGAATTCTTCAATCAATTAATGGCCTTTTTTGGTAATTTTGAACATGTTAAGTAAGTTTTTATTCAGTAATAAAATAACTTATTTATATATAACATTTACAAAAAAGTTTAAATTTCAAGAGCAATTATGATAACAATATTACATCGAAAGTACTTGAGAGTAAATGTATCTGTTACATAATGAAGTTTTTCGTGGTATTGAGCTTTATATTATATACAATACGTTTTTGTATCATTATAAAAATATGCAGAATCTATTTAAAATTGACAATTCTTCCCTAGGATTTTTGGAAGACACAACTGTTTCATTGGGTTATGTTGATTGTGAAGTTACAAACATTATGTCAACCTCACTTTCGTGCACATTGGGTTCAACTGCACAAATTCATTACATTTATAATGAAGGAAGCCATGCTGGTAAATTTCAGAAGTTATATCTAATTTTTCATTTATACTTGAGTTTTAAACAAATAGGTTTGTGTGTGATTTGGTATATGCCAATCCCATGATTACTAAATTTAAGCTTGACGTATTCACCACATAAATATCAGAATTTGCCAAAGCAATACTAGATGAAAGTCTCAAAGTGATACTAAATTATGCTTATACACCATTTACAAAATTATTAGAATAGGTTCACTCTTAGAGCGTGACTTTCTTTTTTCTTCAGCAGAAAATGAGAAAGTCTACTTGAGTATGCAAGTGTTTATTTATATTAGATGGGCATGCCATGTAGAGACCTAATTTGAACTTTACCAATCCAAACAGTCATGATATATATTAGGTGTTACTCATTTTCCTTTTTGAAGTCACAATATTAACCTTTTCTTATATCATAAATTTTTATGGGTGATGACAAAGTTATACGTAGATGCAGATAAATAAGTTTATTTCAACTAAAAGGGTTGAACCTTTAAACTTGACTAGCGATTTATGCGAATTTGATTAGCATAAATAGGTTTTATGAATACAAACTTGATACTTATATGCTATTTACAAGTATATTACAATTTAAATTGCTCAAGGTAAATAAGTGTATTTAGTTGAAGAAGAGAAACGATGTGTATTTCAATTCTTTTACAGATTTTGGTTTTGGTTATGCTTGGCTTCCTGATGTGATGACAATTGTACAAGGAGATACAGTCGTCTGGGACTGGTACTTTCCAGAGTGGATTGATGACATTGATGGCATCGAAATATTCGAAACATCTGTACCAGATGGTCTAACACACAACGGTGGATTTTTATCAGGATATGATAGGACTTTAACAGGTATATTGGTATAGTGCTCATATAATTTTTCTTAGATTAACCTTTGGGGCGCTCCAAAATGCCGACTGCTCATTATTAATTTAAATAAATATGAACCATTTTGATATTACAATTTCAATAGAAAAAATATAATTCTGGAATCAATTGGACGTTTGGTATGGCGTTTGATATTGGCGTCATAGTCTGTTCATACATCTATTTAATATTGTAATTTTGACAACAGCTATGACTATCAAATTGGCAGTCAGTGTTCTGATCAACTGCAATGTATAATAAGACAAAATCTTAGTTTATACTAATAAAAACAATGGATTTAACTTTAGGCCGTACAGTTAGTTTTGGCTTTTACAGTCTATTTCTTCTAAAAATAATGCACATATATAAATATAGAACAAAATTCGGACTTCCAGAAGTATGCGCACCAAGATGGCGCACAACCTGAACATAGTATGTGTGTACTGGTTAGGATTCAGGCTGTGCGACATCTTGGTGCGCATACCTCTGGAGCCCCCAAAATTCTGATTTAATATGTGAATGTGATACATACAGTGGCATGCTATGATTATTCCTGGCTATATATGTGAGTTAGTCTATATTTATGTTTTTATCTGATACAAAGAAAAAAACTACAATCTTGTTGGTTAATAATAAGATTTCATTAAAGCATTTACAATCTTTTGAATACAAGAATTGTTATGAAACTTTCATAATTTGATAATTCATGAGTCAATAAATAATCTATATAGCTTAATTTCAATTTCCTTAAAGCATGTGTTACAGTAATTCATTTTTATTTCTGGATATGAAATGAACTCTATATTCAATACAGAGTAATAAACCTTTCAGACATAGTTTATTTTTGCATTCTAGTTCTATGCAGTATCAATTTTTTTCATAATTTTGCTTCTATATTATTTTAGGAACATTCTCCCATACCTTTACCTCGGTTGGAACCTTCTACTATTCAAGTGGATATGTTGATGATGAAGACTATGGTTCAATCCTTATGTCTGGAACTATAAATGTTGTGGCACTAAGTGATATTTCTCTAGGGTCTGTATATTATTCAGTTTTTATCATGCTTTATTTACAAATTTATTTCCCATGACTGATTGTATTGACATCCAATTGTGCCTCTTTAGAAAGGAGTTATAAAAATTTTATAAATATGAATATGATGAATTTACAACTTTGTGAAATTGTTTTTCTTCTCTTTTAAAGGATATTTTTAAGCATTTATTTCAATGAATCAAATATGTACTTTTCAAGAAGCTGGTATAAGAAAATGAACAAGATGTAGACTATTATCTACTAACCTTTTTAAATTCCGAATTATCATTTTTATTTTCAAAGTCATTCATATTTTTAGATTGGAAGTTCAAAATAATGGAATTTCTGCAGAAATCAATTTAGTCACCAATGGTAATATTAAACTTATTATAGCTTTGTTGTACATTCTTAACTTGTTCATAAGTAAAGTAATCATTTTATTAGTCTTGTAGGCCATCAATTGGTACATAACCTTATGACAGTGTTTCCCTTTCCCAACCTTTTTTAGTCGCGAACTATTTCCTCACCAGGAAAAATCTTTGCGGACTCAACATGCGTTAATTGTAAAACAGGACTCGAGGGTGCTCTATCATTGAGACATTGAGAACTGCTCGCTCTGACAAACTCGAAAAATATTACGTGATCGCTGGCGACGATTCACTGAGAAAAATTATAGGATGGAATTTGCAGCTAAAATTTCCAAATAAATTCATTCTAATTATTATCACTCAAATGGACTTTGATTGTCCTCATCGCCTTCATAAAATTAATAAATTAACAATATCTTTATGACTGGCTCCTGGATTCGCTGTCCTTTTTCTGTTAGTATTTTTCTATTGTCTCTATAATATTTTTTTCCTCAAAACAAAATCTCTGAAATGCTGTTACTGCGTATCCGTTGAAATCTGATAGAATTCACTTAATGGTATTTCATATTCAAATTCATATATCCTCTCGGAAAATTTTGAAATGTTACATTTTTATTATTTGTGATTCGAATTTTACCAAATGGCCCACTAAAAAGATGCGAAAGTCATGTGACATTGGCGCACAATAAGATCATTTAAAATTGGAGCAATGGAAAACAAACAGGAAACAAATAAATAGAAAAAATATACCCCTCAATTTTAACGAAAGCGAAGGTACGTGTATACTCATATTTTTGTCAGAAATCCGCAAGTGCGGTGTGCAATCCAATCGTTTAATTCAGCGAGGCGCGATTGACGTGCCGTGTCCAAGCCACATTTTATTAGGTATTCGAATAGTTTACTGTTCAAATATTTTGCCCAGCCTTACTCAGTAACAGGTAATTATTGACTCGGTTAATGTTTTCACTTTTTGACAAGATGGCAAATCTCCATCATAAAAGTTCACGTTCTGTTTTTTTCTTCAACGAATCAAGCTTGCGAATTGTATTACTCGTATTTTTGTCAGAAATCCGCAAGTGCGGTGTGCAATCCAATCGTTTAATTCAGCGAGGCGCGATTGACGTGCCGTATCCAAGCCACATGTTATTAGGTATTCGAATAGTTTACTGTTCAAATATTTTGCCCAGCCTTACTCAGTAACAGGTAATTATTGACTCGGTTAATTTTATTTGAATATACTTGCTTTTTATGTTTTAATTAAATACTTAAAACTTGACTTGACTGGTTTGGTAAAATCGCTTGCGCCTTGCAATGAATTTCGCGACACTAGAAAGGTTAGTGTCCTACGTGGAATATACTACTACATAACGTTCTAAAATGGTATTATTGCTCCTTGGACTATTGCTCCGCGGACTCATTTGAGAATGTGGACTTTGGTTGGGAAACACTGCCTTATGAATAACATAGTCCTATTTTAATACAGATGGAATAACTAAAAGAGGAGCTCCTTGTGTGCCACTCAATGCTGGAATAGATGGATGCGCTCCAAGTGAGTTTGGCCGATTTTATGAAATCTTAGTTACTTTTGTTTATATGTATCATTATAATGAAAGTGGTCTTGAATATTACCAGTCATTGAAACAGGGTTGTTTTTTCTTGTGTGAATAGGTCATGAAAGGGCATTTCTAATTTTAGAAAATTTATTTTTGTTTCTGTAATTGTATTATAACTAACATATGATATATATTATTTAAATACATTGATATTAGCCCAGTAAAAATTGTTGCATTTTTGTCTTATTTTCTTTGATTTTGACAGGTCGCAAAAAAAGGGATATTGGCATTCGTAGTCGAACAAAAAGAGGAACAGGTTCTATAGTAACAATAACAGAAGATTACAAAAATCAATTTTTACACTCTCATAATAATGCAAGATCGAATGCGTATCCACAAGGGTCAAACATTATACTAATGGAATGGAATGATGAAATTGCTGCCAATGCAGAAAGTTATGCAGAGTAAGTGTGTAAATATGAAGAACTTGAATTCATTCATATCATGACAAAATTAAAAAACAGCAATCTTTATTTATTTGTATGACAATTATATATGAAAAATCATTTTTGAAAATCATTCTTTCCCTTTGTATACGAGGCTCTTGTTCTATATTTATACATGTGCTAAATTTTCAGAAGTATCTAAAGGACTGGGTTAGTATTTATCTCGAAGTTTATTTCATCCTATTTGCCAGTTATATCTTCTGAATACATGGCTATGGTTTGTGGAGGAAGCCCCATCCTAATCTACCATGTTAGCTTGAAACTTCCCACCCTCTGAGAAATCCAGCAATCTGCCATATTTAATCATTCGAAAGGTGTTTTAATTAGATGATATTATAATTATCTCAATTTTGAGATTTCTATTTTTCCTATTCTGTATTTTGGGCATTGTAACATATATTTGGCTAACTTGTTTTGACATTATTGCAACGTATTTTTTATGAATGAATAAGAAATCAATTAGAGTGTGTTATTATTAGTAACTAAAGCTTCTAACCATAATTAATGTAAGGAATAGGATTTCATTTTACTCATTCCATCAGGATTTATCTTTTAACAATAAACTACCGTTGTGCAATTCCATATTCAGCCAGGTATAATACACACTTTCAAGGTCAAATTTTGTTTTTGGAATAAGGAGTTGAGTTTTTTGTATTAACATAGAAAATGTCACAAAAAATATTAATTGATTTTTTATGCCTAATTACTATCCAAAGACTTTTAATTTCATTTGGAAGAGCCTGTTAGAAGCAGATCATGCTTGTTTCATAAAACATACCCAGTCCAACAAAAATTTAGCCCTAATGAAGATAGCGAAAGACATTTAATTAATACAGTTCAATTAATTATCTCAAGTGTTAGCTGCAGTCATTGTCTCATCTAGGTCGTTTCTCTCGTTTTGCCAAATCGGCAAAACTTTAGGGACATAAATCACCAAGTGTCACCCAAATTAATGACAGGCAAAAACAGGCTCTCACGTCAACCTTATGAGCTTTTAAAAAGAAAGTTGACCAATAATAGCACATCATGACTGGGATGTGACACAACCCCCCCGCTTGGGATATTATGCATAGGATTGAGAAATTTTCCTGATTCATGTGCTAAAATGCAAATGTGTATTATCTATTGATACATATTATGCAAGGAGAAGCATGGTTTCAGAACTAGTAGACAACCAATGTAATTCAGAAAGTGTAAAAAATCATTTACCCTTTTGTTATTTGTAAATAGGCAATGCACTTGGGGTCATAGCACTTCCGCATCAAGAGTTACGAGTGACCATGGTCAACTAGGAGAAAATCTTGCAATATATACCAGAGGAAATTCCTTGAGCAATATTGCCAATGCTGCTGTTGTTGACTGGGCTGATGAAGTATGTGTGTTTTGCATGTTTTTTTATATATTGTTGTTGATGCAATATACTTTATACTCTGTTTTGGAAATACTGTATAGTATTGATGTCACCCTTAATGTTAAATTGATTATTCTTTAGTCCCTATTAGTTGGGGTTACGTAAGACTAACTATTTTTTATTGCTCTATGTCTTTGTGCTTGTGGAGTAATATGCATATAATGTGAGGATTGTGCAACAAGATTAATGATGACTATTTTATTTGATTCAAGAGTCTTACTGCACACTAACACAAATGTATTTCTATAATGTTTTATCTGTCCTCATCCAGGCAAAAAATATCATTCTTTAGTTAAGCATTTTGCTTTAGGAGTGAAGAAAATATCTACCTTTAGCTTTTTGATTCAGCGAAAAAAAGTAATGTTTTAATAATAGTACTTTAAGTATCCAAAATTTGGTATAATGAAATTTGAGAAGAAAAATATTGCTTTGTCATCAGATTGAATTAGCTGTATTTATTATCCGACAATTGTGATAATGTTCAAAAATGTTCTGATAATATCAAGACCCAAATGTGTATATACTGGAGTGAAAATTTCTTATTATACAAAACTGCTTTTGTTGTATGCAATGGGTAGAAAGATAACATTATAACACTTCATAATGTATTCGCAATTAAAGATTCTAGAACATTAACATTAATACAGAAACTGTTTTTCAAGTATTTGAGTGCTTATTGTATGATCTGTTTTATTGCATCGAAATCTTGGTTCATCTTTTTATCTTTTTATATTGCTTAATACTTGAAATAATAAATATTATCAGCTTGATTTTCAATCTTTCTCACATTATATTTTTACTAAAATATGTTTTTATAATCCTACATTTTTAGGTAGCTTTCTACAATTTCAGCACTTTATCGTGTCAAGATACAGAAGTTTGTGGACATTATACACAAGTTATCTGGGATGACAGTTATGCTTTGGGCTGCGCCATTGCTGACTGTGAGGAAGCAGACATTGAAAATGATCCATTTACTGACGCAGAGTATCAAGGAGCTTATTATATTGTTTGTCAATATGGACCAGGAGGAAATTTCAAGTTGGTATCTCTTGCTAAATTCAAATATAAGCAAATATAGGAAATTTTTATTCTGGTTTGCATTGGATTGAATAAGTATTTCAAGAAGCTATTCATCGAATTTCACTTATACTTTTGAATTGTTATACAACATTAATTGTTCAATTATTTTTAGCCCAAGCACTAATCCTCCATATGACGAAGGTGTTCCATGTTCAAACTGTCCTGCTGAGTTTCCAGCTTGTGATTCAACATATACTTTGTGTGCAAAGGAAACTGGTGGTGGTGGGGATGGTAATGGCGATGGAGGTAAAATTTTTATACTAAGATTGTTTTAAAGTTCTGTATATTAAAATAAATCCTAGTCTCTGAGGTGGATAAATGGAGAATATGTGTGAGGCAAATTAAACAATTAAATAAGTTTGTTACTAAATTAAATTTGAATTATTCTGAGTATGTCTTTGTTTATTTATGTTTGTTAGTTATAAGTAAAGTGAGAAGGTAATTTCCAATGTATGGTTTTCAAATCAGTGTTAACAATATTGTTTAGACTATGTTTAAGTATAAGAAGTAAGTGATTAGCAAAACTACTATAGTGTGCTATCTTTTATATATTATATTAATGATATATATATTATTAATTTATATGAGTATTTCTCATCTTTTTTTGATTGCTTTTAGATGTTACCGCATCAGTGTGCTTCACCCCAACTATAACAAGCATTTCACCTCAATTTGGGACTGTTGATGATGTTATTACTATTGAAGGTATGTTCCACAAATGCCGATATTTGGTTAAAGGTTTATATTCGATTACTTTTTAATTTTATTTGAAAACAGTTTGCAAAAAATGTGGATTGCTGTTCTTTCAAAACTGTTAATCCATTTAAAACCTTAAAAATGAACAACTACAAGCAATAGTCAAACAAGAATTTAGATAAAATCATTGAGAAGGATATATCTTTTTTTTTTATCTGAATTCCTCGTTCCAGGGCTAGGCTTTGTAAGTGATATGTTATCAGTTTTGTTTTGTTCGTAGTGCAACATCCATCCGCTCCATTGTATATGGACACAAATTTTGTCCATGTTCCAAAGTCGTCTTTTGCTATTGAGTTAAATTTATCTACCTGCAAATTGTTGTGGAGAATATTTTCTTTAATGCAAAAAATCTATTGTCACTTATCCCAAAAGTAACGCAAGTCAAATACTGTTCAAATTCCTGTTTAACTCCATATCATTCTTAAGATTGTTGTCCAGTTCTAGTAACTTTTTATTGAAAGCAGACTATAAATTGGGTAATTAACTCTGATACATTCTCAAACATCACACATTAAATCTGACTGCGGGTGGAAGAAACGATGGTATCATTGTCATTTATATAATTCCCAATCAGCTCAAATAAATCTTGTTCTTTCTGGGGTTGAGGGGAATTGTTTCATGTCATCTTCTATTCTATGCACACATTCTAAAATTGTATCATTCGATAATATACTGGCAATAGCCAACGCTTATTTATGAATCATGCACTGAAATCCAGCAATGCATGGATTTTTCTGTTTTATTCTGAGGTTAAATTTAATTAGGGAACTCAGTGCTACGAAATGTTTTCAGTATGCACACCTACTACTTTCCCCCAGTTTATTTTATTTTTTTCTTAGAATACGAGTTGTTCCGAGTTATAGAAATAGCATTTTTTCTTTGATTTAAGTAGGTCAGTAATCAGTAGTTTATTTTACACATGTCGAAAATACACATTGTACATACAGAATAAAGAAAGATAAAAAAAATGCATTTCAGTGTGAAGGGAGATGCGATAAACCAGTGGTCTTACAAAACAGGCATAGAATATCAACAGGGGATTTTCATGCCTCCTGGTTAGAAACAAGATATTAAATACAAATACTTTAGCTATATATGATCTTATTTATATTTGGCATTGAAAAACTGGAGACATTCTTTTCAGGAACCGGATTTGGTGATGATAGTTGCAGAATATCTGTTGTTATTGGTGATGATATTTCGTGTACAGTTAATTCATCAACAACAACCACCATAACTTGTACTCCCAATCCTAATGCTGGTGCAAATATTGGTATTTCTTATGAGGTAATTGTTTTATACGATTATAAGATTTATTCGCTATTGGTCATATTCAATACTTTGTATCTTTACGAAAGAAAAACTATGTGTATTGTTATAAATGCAATGTAACTTACCAAGCATAGCACATTTTACTCTTATGACATGCATTTTTAATAGGTTGTATGCTTACAACACTAGTATTTTGTTAATTTGTGATCTATATTTGATAACAACGTTTTTTTGTACTAAACCAGTGTTGAAAATATGTTTTATACATATTACATTATTAAAGTTAAACTCTTTTTGGTGTATGAATTTCTTTTTATATAGATACTTAGTATTGAAAACTTGTTGTTATAGGTAATTGTCAATGTGTTGGGATATGGTGATGCTTTTGTTGATATACCCACAGATGCTGACAAAAGATTTGCTTTATTGCCCTCCATATCATCAATTACACCTGCTACTGGATCTTTAGCAGGGGGAACATACATTGATATATTAGGTGAGAGTGACAGCATGCTATAAAACTCCTTTAAAACTATTTTTAGGCTAAATTGTTTACTCAGTTATAAATATTTACCACCAGAATATAAAGCAGGTGCCCTAGTTTATGGAAAAACTCTGACATCTAACTAAATTGGTCTAAAATTGAGATCATCGAATGAATGTAAAATGCACATGATTCAGAGAAAAACTCCCAGTTGAAGTTCATCAAAATAATACCAATTTTAGTAAAATCTCCTATCTATATTAGTGTCACAGTGGTTGATCACATTGGGTTTCACGTTGCATTTTTGACCTGGGTAGGTGATTGACACATCCACTGTTATTGTTGCTATCAAATATGCCCAATTTGTTTTCTTATGATAAATTCGAAATATTTGTATTTTTGTTATCATTTAGATTGCAATTACAAAAGTGCTCTAATATAATTTTCACTTATTTCAGGAACTGGTTTTATGGATGATGTTACAAGTGTTAACATTGGAGGGGACGATTGTGAAATAATCAGTCAAGATTATGTCAGCATCAATTGTAAAACTTCAAGTGGAAGTCAAGGATCTCAGACTGTTGGGTAAGTCAGTATCATTTGTTATATTTCCAATTTGATTGTAAAGTTAAAAACAAAATGGGATTTCTTATTCATGTTGCAAGATTAGAAATTCATCCTCAAGGTTTATCCCTGAGTCATTAGTTTGTTTTTAACACTTAACTAATTAGAGCATCTAATCTAATGAAAGCATCAAAACTATCATAAAAAAAACATTCTACTGTATATATCTGTCTCAAGATGCTAACAATTATTTACATAAAGTTTTCTTCAAGTTAGGGATGGGCAATATAGAATACCGAATCCCAAAGTATTCGAATCCAACAGAATCCGATAACAGGATTCGGTTTCCGCCTCTTTGGCACCATGCGTCGATTTTTGCATTTTGGGTTTCTAAATATCAATTAAAGACGAGCGTTTTTCTTGTGTGGGAATCTCTCTCGTTTAAATAGACTTGCGTCTGCTCGGAAAGAATCCGTAAAATCTGTAAATTTCAAACACTGTAATCTCGATCGGCGTATTCTGGACAGGAAGTCTGCGAAGTACATCTCATTGCGAAGACTCGTTATTGCATCATTTTTGCGTTTTCGCCGTGCGCCGTTTAAATTTCACTATCAAAAGATTACATATTTTCCGGTCCGTTTTTATCGTTCAAGATAGACGCACGTTTGATCGAGTGTCTGTAGTAATTTTTTTTCGCCGATGAATTTAAAATAAGATGCCACAAAATAGTTACGTATTGAGTTTGAGTAGGGCCTAGTCTGGGTAGATCATGATATGTAACGATAATAATAGAAAATGAATTCGTCTTTAGATGATATTAACTAATAACTAACTACGAAATCGCGTTTACGGGAACCTTGTTTTGCACGTCTTGGTCGCACAGAATAAAAAGTTGATTTCAATTGATAGTGGTTAAATTTAATATTTTACACCGGTCGAATAGGTTGCAGTGGCCACACGCTGGTCCTGCATCTAATTAATTCTCAGCGGGTTAGTTTTAGTACACTCGGCACTCCAACATTAATAATGATTTAATTTTTGTATTTAACCGCTTACTATTAAAGTGTTTGAAGCGTGTCTTAATTTAGCATTTCAGTATTTAGAGATTACATACATTTGGAACAATTGAAAACAAAAATATTGTAGTATTCTTAGATTTAATTGTCCTGGGAAATGCCTGTTTAGTATCAAATCAAATCCAATGTTAAGGACATTTCCAAATAAATAATACATTTATAGTAATACATTTACTATTTTTCTAAATCCAGCAATCAGGAAAATTCCCACTAGCCTATTTGAATAAGTATGAAAATAGAATAGAATTCGGTATTCTGGATTCGATTCAACTATTCTAGAATATTCTAGAATAGTAAATTATACTACATTGCCCATCCCTACTTCAAGTCTACAATTTTGTATTTTTACCTAGTTAATAAATTGTTACATACACTGAAATTATTAGTACATATTTTTTTAACAACAATGGGTTACAGAACAAAATTGACTACTGAAATTTTTTAATACAAAAGCTATGTATCAACACACATAACTGCTCACATCTGTGTTGTATAGAATTATATCTTTATCCAGAACATTCCTTTTTTAGGGTTGTTGTCAATTCATACCAAGCTGTTTGTTTGAGTTCTTGCGACTTTCTGTTTGATGTTTCTGTTACACCATCGGTTTCATCCATTGAACCTAATTCTGTGTCATCAGAAAACACAGCTATACACATCACTGGAACTGGTTTTGATGGAGATTCATCGGATGTCATGATTGGTGTGTTTAATCAGTACATTATAATAAAAGTGTTTCAAATTTAAATTTAGTTGCATTCATATTGTCATATTCAGTCACATGTCTATTGTCTAGTATTGTCATCTTAATTATGCTCCTGAATTTCGTATTTATAACATATGATACAAATCGTTTGGTAATTTCAAAGAAACTTTCCAAAAACATGACATTTCAGGTGATTCAACTTGCGTTATTGATTCCATAAATGCAACTCACATTGAATGCACGATAGCAGAGTTGATTGCAGGAAATTTTGAAACAAAAGTTCACATTTCTCCTAAAGGATATGCTGACTTTGAGGCATCTAACATTGTCACTGGGTTAGTCATTTTTCACCTTATGAATAAGCATATGATGAAATGGATTGGTGTATAATATACATGAAAATATAAATTAACATTTATGAGAGCATTGTTTATATACAAACAGCATCAATCCGAGTGTTCATAAGGAAGGTTTCAGTCACATTTTTATTCAAATAAGGCCCTAGTCAAGTCAAGTTTATTTTTCCCAACCAGTAAAATACAAAAAAACATCAAAAAATTATAAGAAAAAATGATATTTACATTACTGGGAAAAGGAAGTCGCGGGGAACCAAAACTTTGTTATTGAGCAGCGACACTCAAGGTTCTAACATCTTATGTTACAGATTGGGGAGGAAAGTTTCGAGTAATAAATACCATATGATTTTTGCAAATTAGCCAACTAATATCAATTGTTATAGGTTATTACTAGAAATTACCGCGCATGAAATGTGCCTAGTGAGCAAACATTTACAGTTGTTGAACTTCTATACCTGGAAACTTTTTTTACAAGACCCAAAAGTGTAACACTTGTTTACATCATTCACATTTCCTATATCATTTTCATATTTAGGATTTTATATTGTAGTTACCGGTAGTAAGTATTTGTACCTTACGACTTCAGCAAAATGCTGTTGTACCTATTTCAAACCATCATTGAGAATTTAATGAATTGTTTTTGATATTGAACAAAATGAGCAGACAGAGATTTTCAATAAGTTACCGCTTATATGTTGTATATGATTGTTCTTGGGAAAAAAATTTTGCTTTTTGTTACTTCACTTACAGTATGATTAGCATATAGCAGAACAATGATACTTCTTCTTGTATTGCATGCAGTGAATCTATTGCAACTTTGTCAGCAACATCAGGTAGTGTGTTTGGAGGATCTGTATTCACTATTGCCGGTCATGGATTCAACTCTGATGACCTGTCCGTAACATTTGATGGTTCTGATGCAGAGATTATGTTAAAAATGAATAAACTGGTGAGTTTCATGAATTATATAATCAAATTGTCAGGCTAAATATTGAATCATTATTTAGGCTTTGGTATTGCTCGTCTAAACAATATATATATACAAATCGAAGATCCCAGAAACAATTGTAAATAATAATATTCTGACCATCTCAAACACAGAGAGCCTGTTCCTTTTTGAGAATCCAAATTAATAGATTTTCAGCAAGTCTCAGACTGCCCTTCACAGAATTGTTTGTACAAAATTGTATTGGAAGCTGGGCAATCATTATTTTAGAGCTGAGAAACATCAGTGCTAGAAGCAGGCTGATTAAAATATACAAATCTATTTTTCCCATAATAAATACATATACGGTATATATTTTCTACCATTCGGCTGGGCTTTGAAATACTATTTAAACATACCCGCTTTGGTCAGCAAAGTATAGAATCATACTAAAATACCAAATATAGCACTTATTACATCTCTTGATTTATAATTGTCCTGAAGTGCTATTTTTATAACCCCAAATGATTTACACTATAATTCTGTATATTATTGGAATAATATTATGAAAAAATTATGAAATAATGAATATTATGAAAAAATGTTTTCATAACTGTACATGCCTGTACTGTACTATTTATTTTTAATTCAGCTTCTTGTCAAAACACCACCTGGTACTGCAGGAAATAAAGATGTTGTAATTGTATCAAATGGTGTGACTTATCCAACACTGCAATTTACTTATGATGCTGCTTTGACTCCGTTAGTCACAAGCATCTTGCCAACATCAGGTCAGTGAATAGTGTATTTGTGAAAATAAATGAAGTGCTCTTATATATAAGAGGCTTGTGCTATCCCAGTTGATGCTTGTTCTGCAAGTCATGAGGTATCATGAAGAAAAATGGTACTCAACAAACATTTAGGTCACACCATGTACCTTTTTGATTGTGGTAGAAAAATATTTTTATTTCAAAATCATTTGTAGACATTCAATGTATGAAGTTAGCTATTAAGAAATTGCTTTGCATTGCACAACTGGGGGGGTATGTAAGTTCAAATTTTAAGGGAACTATGTGTAATATGTGAGATAAACTGTTATCTATTCACATACCTGATATAAACTGGAAACCGAATGACAGACCATGATTTTCGATTTTTTCCCCCATGACGAATATGAAAAATTCTATACTTTTCATAATTTCAACTTGTATATTCTAATATTCTAAATTCAACAGGTGGTGTTGGAACTACTGTCACTATAACTGGCACAATGTTGAACGCGACAGCATCAACTAATGAGGTAAAAATTGGGGATGCAATTTGTACAATAACTTCAGAAACTGCAACGGAAATTCAGTGTTCAACAGGAGAACCTTCAATTGGTGGAGAGAAAGAAATAACTGTATTTGTTGGGGGTCATGGAAACGCTGACACTACTTCTGTCACATTTACTTATGATATGGAAATTTCTTCATTTTCACCAGTGGAAGGTGACTGCAAATGTGGTTTTGTATTTAACACAATCCAATGTATTCAAGTATCGTATATCTTCTGCGTATCAAAAAATATTATGCTCTAACTGTTAATAACTGCAAACATTAGAAATATGCTCTCAAAGCAACAACTATGTCTGTTTTTTTTTTTAAATTATACTAATTTATTCAATTTTAGGAAGTTACGGTGGAGAAAATACAATTACAATTACTGGATCTGGATTCTCTTCTGATGCAACCGTACATGTTGGATACAGTATATGTGAGGTTGATAGTGTTGTATATGGAAGTATATCTTGTACTTTAGAAGAGAGTAAGTTGACTTAAATATTGTTTTGTTTTGTGAATAGTTTATATGTAATTATTATACAATCAATGAAGGTTGTATTGTATTAAATTTATGTTTGTGACATGACAAAGTTGATATATGCAGTGTTATAATATCATTAAAGTGATGTTTTATCAGTTTTATCAAACTAAGTTACCGATAACTTGCCACAGCATATGACAAGACACTTTTATATTTATAGAGTATGGCAAAAATCTGTTACACTTATTCTTATTTATATGCAATTATATATCCCATAAAGCTTCTGCTAATATTGTATGAAAGTATAAAATTATTATTACTATTGTAGCCCCATCACTTGTTGCCAGAGATGATGCAATCGAAAGTTTTGAAGTACTTCTAAATAGCTTTGATATCACTGTATTTAATTCTCTTCCACGAGATGACTATCAAGTGATTGGACAATATGCCTCGGATTGTATTGTGAGTCAGCAAATATTTTTAATGTGAACAATTAAGAAACAGTGTTCTAGAAATTGTAATAGTAGAATTGTTAATTGAATTGTAATTGTTGTAAGAGATGATTGCGTGTTCTTAAAGATTGGTTTTTGCTCTTGTGATATATTACAGACTCATACATCTCCCAGATCCATGTATCTGGAGACTGGAATACATGAGTAATTGAGAATCTTTTGTTTACCAGTTCTAGTGAACTTTTTTAAAATCCAACTTTTTTATTAGTAAATATTGTATTGAATGACTAAACAAATTTAGGTTTATTGGAAGTTTATAATTATTTTTATATTAAATTAAATCGTCAGAAAGCCAATGAAGTTTTCTAATTTTTACTAGTCTCCATTGATATATTTTTAATTGATGAAGTAATTCAATATCAGAATCATTAACAATAATTTTTGAAATTTTGTTCTCAGAATTGTGATACATTGATTTCAAATTTGCCAACGTATAGAATAGGAAACGGAGATGCATTGATGAATCCTGTCAGTTACAATCAAATAATGACTAATGGTGCAGCTCAAATTTCTGTATGGGAGCCAGTACCCCCATCAGATAGTAAGAATATAAATTGTATTGTTTAAATGGTCTTGTTAAAGAGTCAAATGATATTAAAAGGTAAAATAAATAATAGGTAAATATGAAGTCAGAGAATATGTTAGTTATAAATGAAAAATAATTTTTGTTACCGGTTCATTAATTTAATTGCAATGTATATATTCCAGTTTACGGCACAATCCTATTGATATCTAAAAATATTTTTCCTATTTCAGTACTTGTCCAATATAAATTAATAATGAAGCCACTGTAACTTTGTAAAACTGTATCTAAACAAGATTTAACAGTTCATTCTACTTTTTTTCGAGTTTTTATTGTGGTATGTCATGTATCATTTCAGGTTATGTATGTTTGGGAAGTTTCATTGTGACTGGTACGTCCCCTCCCGAACTGGATGCAACCGCTTGCATTCATTATATGTTAGTTGAAGAAAGCACGCCGACACTTGAGCTTGATGCAACAACACTTTATATATGGAGTATTACAGATAGTCCTTTTGTTTTGTACACTGCTTCATCTACTCCTCCAACTGTCTATAAACTAAAAGGTACTGCTATCATACTTGCTTGCAAAGCTTATGGGTGCAGCAAATCGCTGCTTTTCATGTAATACTATACATCTGGTGGAAAAGATTATGCACTGTCTTACATTTGTTATTGTATTATTTCTATGGCGTGCCAATCATATTCCTAAACGCAAAGATTTTGTAAAGAGATAATATACATTCTGCATCAAGACAAACATTATTCTTTTTGTGCTTATATTTTAAAACATTTTTGATACTCTATATCAGGGGTCACCAAACTTTTTTGACCGCAGGCCGGGTTTGACTCAAACTGTGTTGAAACGGGCCGGACAAATATTTTTGTCAATGCAATACAATAAATTCACAAATGTTTGGAAATCCATTCAATTTATTCAACAATAAATATAATCTACATTTCTGGAGACTTGAATATTAAATTCTATCTCTATCGCAGATTATATAAGTATAATAAGTATATTTTGATTTTCCCGCAAAAAAATCATACACGAAACATAAACAATGAACACACAGAAAATTGGGAAAATCGGGGAAACTGGAAAAACCTTTATAAAGGTTTAATAGATCGAGAACATCCTAGTAAAACAAATATACAAGATTTCTATATCTATTCAACTATCCTGAGTTTAGCTGTTAGCAAAACATTGCTGTCATGAATTAGGAATGTTAAAAAACCCACTTTTTCGCGCCAAAAAATATGTACGCATCACGTCTGCTATGTACCGTTACGCCGCGTTGGAATACTGCTCATATAAACGACTACGGACTGCCTGCGGTACCTTGGAATTCATGAAATTTTGACATAATTTAGATAAAATAAACAACTATCATCTGGTATTTGATTTTTTTCATAAGCGCATGAATTTCAAGTTATACATAGTGCAAATTTTGATATTGTCTATGGACACCAATAAAATTTATGTGAACTGTGTATTTCCTTCCTAACTTGATACTTTTTATGAAGTTTGTTCTATCAGAACATCTTTAATTATTACCCACAATGGACCACTGTCAAACTAACATGCACAACTCCAGCATTTATTTGCGACGATAAAATCCTGAAATAGTCTCAATATTCCATAGATGTGACGCAGATCGAAAGATTAGAGATTGATATGTGTTCTTTTTTCATATTTATTACAGTTATTATCCAAAAAGTAATACGATCCTTATGAAAAAAAATGGCATGTCGGGCGGTACTAAAATTCCGATATCTTCGTTGTTTCTAGACCGTTTTTAATAAACTCGTCTTCTTATTTTCACTCAGATCTATCCACTGGCGCAGTTTTTATTCAAATCGGATGAACTTTAATTTGTTTGTAACATACCCACATGAATATCCGCAAAACAAATGTTAGTGTGACTTGTGAAATTGCAGCAGTATGCGAGGAATCACAGTACTGTTAGCGCAACATGCACATTCGACGTTCATTTCAGCACAAGAAACGTAAACAGTTTCGTCGAAAGCACACGCCACAAGTATACGAGTGCACCTTTCGCGGAAAACGTTTCGCACCGGTAGATAATTTTAGTCTATTTTGTCACAGCTATTTCTAGACTTATTTTTCATTACTACTATTAAAACTACAACTCTTAAGGAGGCAAATGATGATTTACTTATTTGATTCATACTTAAATTTTCCTAACGCAACCAAAAACTAACGAATAGCATTCAAAATCGCAAAAATGAAGTACTGTTTACAACCAAGACTAAAAATCTGTCAAGGTGACAAAAGTGTCTGAGCGGATGCGAAAAGGCATATTATTATGTCACTTTTTTGCATCTTGCTGATTGGCCCTTAATATCAAATGAATAAGGAAGACAATGCTCGGGAAAATTGACATTGGAAGAAACTTTTGCCTTTTTTGTGTGTTATTGCGGGCCGGATAAAATTACGCCGCGGGCCGTTGTTTGGTGACCCCTGCTCTATATCTTCCCCTCTTCTTTATATCGTCTATGGTATGATATGGAATTTTATCTATTATATGAAACAATTTTAAACCACAAAATCGATAAATTGACCACATAGTTACTTCATTAGTTTTTGATTTTAACTTTTATCAAATCTATATTATGTTCAATGAAATTGATTTATCAGTATCATTTACTGAAGCTCATTGATGAGGAATTAGTTTAAAATGAGTTCAATTTATTCAATCGAAACATTTTTTAAATACCTGCATATTTAAATACCCTTATTTTGGAGTTTTTTTTAAATAAATTAATATTTTTCTTGTTATTATAAATGTTTTCTGCCGTTTTCATCTGTTTAATACAATAGTTTACATTCTTTTATTTAAAATTTCAAGATATGTCACAAGCTATGTCAAATATGCAATACCCCATAACAATTGACAATGATGGGACTGAAGTTATGTCTGCAACAAATTTCACTTTCAAATCTGCATTAACTCCTGTTGTAACAAGTGTGACACCTACACGGGGTGGGACAGGAGGAGGAACTCCAATCACCATTACTGGAACTGGTTTCAGTGTAGATACTGCAGATGTAAGTTGGAGTAAAACTTTGAATTCTAAATATCCATGATGTATAATTGAGACATAGAATGGAATAAACTTATAAACTTAAAAACCCACTCAAATAGTGGTAAACCTTACTCAAATTGTTATTTTCAGCTAATTATAAATGATTCAGGATCTTCACCACGGAAAACTGTAAAAAATTGGCATATTACAATGCAATCTTCTTAAAATAGGTTTGTAAGATGTAAAGTTGCTGAAATAACATTAATATAAATTTTGGACTAATCTGTACACAAATAAACTATTTGTGGCATCAAAAATTAGGTATCCCTCTCAAAGTTCGAATTTTCCTATTTATCCTAAAATATTAAATCAGTTCTATTTATGAATGCAGAATTTGTGGAAATATTTATGTCACTTATGAAGTTCAAACTAATTCATTTCAACCAATACTTAAAATTCGTTTCAGGTTTCTGTCACTATTGGTGGAGTCGTATGTGATGTGACATCTACTTCACTGACAACAATTGAATGTACAACCAATTCTAGGAATGGCTCCATAGAAACTGCAGTTATTGTAAATATCGCTGGCAAGGGTCAGTCACTGGATATAGGAGCCAAGTTTTACTACATTGGTAAGATAGCAATAACAACATATCACTAGATTGTCTGGATATATCGCCACTATTGTAACAACTCAAGGTAGAAACTCGATCAAACTTGAAATATTTATGAGATCTGATAGATACAAAAAATCAATTTATCAATTTAATGCCCTAAAATCTTATTTGAATTTAAGCAATGACATTTTATCACAAAAAAGCAGCTAATGATTGTAGGATGCACTTATTAGAGGCATTGTTGATAGTATTATGTTAAAATGTCAAGGCAATCAGCTTTTTTTATGATTTTCATTGAATAAAACAGGGTGACCCAAAAATACATAACCCATACATTTTGTTAGATATTTCTACAAACCCTGGAACTTGTATAATAGTACCCTAAAGTTTTATAAATTGAGGACGCTTCGCACAGAAGTAATGTATTTTTTAGAATATTTTACAGATGTCCTGGCTCCTGGGTTTTTCTTTTAGGTCACCCTGTATATTTGATATCGTTTTTTTTTATCAATTTGTATTTTAAATATCTTATATAATATTTTGTTTCTTTAGATCTTTGGTCATCAATTTGGACATGGGGTGGAAGAGGAATACCTGGTGATGATACTTTTATTGTCATACCTGCTGGTATGGAAATCATGATTGACGAGAACACTGCCATTCTAAAGATGCTTTTAATTCAAGGAGGAAAAGTATTTTTTGATGAAGCAGATATCGAACTCAATGCAAAGAATATACTTATTACAGATGGAGGAGTTTTGCAGGTACTTTTGTCTGACTTTGTGCACAAATACTGTTTACAAACATGGCAAAATCTTAACCAGTCATTTGTCGCTGACATTTATTTGGGTAGGATTCATCTTCAGATAAATAGAAATAAAAATGGGGCCAGCCAGGTACTGGTTTAAATAATATATAGCAAGTATTTCCTTCATAGACTTCAAGCTTCAGTCAGTGCTTTTATCTGAATACTTAAAACCATGGAGAATTTTAAAATCATATAAACTTCGAATTCAGTACTTTATATATTAATGTATAATACTCCTGATCAAGATGATAAAGATTATTTTATGTAATATCAGTAGATTGATATTTCTGTTTATCTAGATCAGTAGTATAATGTGACTATAGTAATAAAACAAATTTCTAAAGTTTTGCCAATTTAAATTTAGCTAGTTGCATCGATAGGTATCCAACTACTCAGTTATTATCAAATAATTTTCATATACGAAATCAATCAAACAAATATAAAAGTTATTGGACAATGAAATTTTTTATTTACTTGCTGCCATAAGGAACTTGATATATAACGATGAAATGACTATTTTATCAGTAAATATTGTCTAGTACAAAAAATGTATTCAATTAGTGACAATCAATGACCCGACTTAAAACTAAACTAATATTTACTTTTGTAATATCAGGTTGGCACTGAAGATGAACCATTTCAACATAAAGCAATCATAACTCTTCATGGACATTTGAGATCAATTGAGCTTCCAATCTATGGTACAAAGACAATTGCAGTTCGAGATGGAATGTTAGATTTGCATGGAAAATATGTCCCTGTGACCTGGACTTATTTGAGTGCAACTGCCAATGCTGGAACAAATGTAATCACAGTCGATAATCCTGTTACATGGGAAGCAGGAGATGAAATTGTTATTGCAAGTACAGGTATAAAAATTTGTAATAATATTCCATCTCATTATTAAAAGTTAGTTGAAATAGTCTTGTGAATATTAAGATTGAATAAATTACAAAGAGACCAACCAGATGACAGAAATCAAATGGATAATAAAACTTAGAATATAGAAGATAAATGTATGAAAGGTTCATTTGTATCCTAACATCAACATGATTTGCAATTAGAATACTCATTATATCATGAAAGTCTTCCAGCATTATATTTTTTTCAGGAGAGAATTGCAGAGATATGGTAGTGTCCATACTAGCTTTGCCGAATATTTGCCCAAAATAAAAATAAAATTGACTTGGGTATTTTAGGAGAAAAGACTTTCATGAAATACATGCAATTTGGTCATCTTGTTGCTTCAATAATTCGAATGAGCTTAAGTTTTTCAAAATTTATGAAATCAGCTGTAAAATCTGGAGGACAGTTATTGAATTCATACGCACATGCCTATTTTATTCGGAATGTTCAAGATGGAGTTATAAGACTTGTTTCATTTTAATAACCATATTATCTATGTATGACTTTTGTTTAGGTCATCGCCACAGTCAAGAAGAAAATGAAAAACACACCATTTTGTCTGTAGCTGGTGATCAAGTTACTATTACTTTGGAAACTGCATTGGAATTTGACCATTTAGGTGTTGTAGAAACTATGCCAGGTAAGCTGCCAGTCTCAATACATTTTTATACATACCGTACACTTTTATTTCACAATCATTAACTAGTACTATGTGATGAATCATTTCACATTCCTAAACTCACCGAGTAAAGTGATAAACTTTGGTTTGCAGCAAAGCCTTGTTATCAAGTGTTATTCTGAATTGCTGTTATCAGTTCATTGGTAACATGGGTTTTTTGTATGAATTATTTCTAAATAAAAAAATACTTCTGAATAAAAGTGATATCTTCAAGATATATTTATATCCACACATTGCAGTAATTTATTTCTCTTTTTGGGTTGATAAAAACTTGATTAATCTTTAACATAAACCCATATGTCAACTTTGCATATTACCCAGTACTTTTTATGCAGATGGAACTGTTTTAAAATCAAGAGCTGAAGTTGGACTTCTCACCCATAATGTTCTTGTTCGTGGGTCTAGAAACATGGACTGGTCTGAAGACATTCCTGCTTGTCCAGAAGGATTTAACACTGGAGAATTTGCCCAACAAACATGCTTTCAGGTATTTTCCATCCATTAAGATTATCTTGTTTAGTTAAAATATTGTAAAGCGTATTTATGAACTGTATTTTAATATAGGAACAATACTTGAAAAATATATAAACCTGCAGCAATGTGTACTTGTGGTTCTATACTCCAGATAATTTTTATTCATACCAACTCTGCATTTTTACAGGGTCGTTTTGGGGAAGAAATGGGATCAGATCAATTTGGTGGACAAATTATGTTTCATCATCCTAGTCCTGATGAGCAGAAAGCCTTCGGCAGAATTTCCTATGTAGAACTTAATTATATGGGCCAAGCATTCAGACTAGGACGTTATGCGATTCATTATCATTTAATGGGAGACATGAACTATAAAAATTATGTCAGAGGATGTGGCATTCACGAAACTTTTAACAGGTGTATATTATGGTTATCAGAAAAAACTATTTCAGTATCTACAGCAGTATAACAAAAAAATAACTTTCATATTTGTTATATTGTAGTCTGTGCTGTGGGTGTGGCTAAAAAGAAACGAGACTGACGTCACAGATTGCGCAACACGATTAACCATTGGTAATCAACACTTTTACAGTGTGGTGTAATATGTGTTCTTTGTTCAACAGCTTTTTTGACACAATATCGCAATTATTTTTGCTCTTTAGGAGCCATAGGTGAATGTGATTAATTGCTTGTTGAAAAAAAAATTGCCGTGCGAGATCTGATTGAGTTTTTTGGCGATAGGGGGTTCAATTGCAGAATGACGATTGAGCAATGAATTAACATTAAATTTTGTGTCAAACTTGGAAAAACGGCGACTGCGACTTTGAAGAAATTGTGTGATGTTTATGGAGATTCTTCCATGTCCAGAACAAGAGTTTTTGAATGGCACAAGCGATTTGTGGGATGCAGGGAGGATGTGGAGGATGATTCGAAGTCAGGAAGGCCTTGCACTTCCACAACTGATACCAACATCGAAAAGGTATCAGTTGTGAGTTCAGTTGTGAAAGGCAGTTGATTCGCAGCGACCGTCGCTCAACAATTCGCGTCATTGCGAAGTTGGAAAAGACAAAAAAAAACGGTTCGCACCAGTTTGGTTGACACTTTTGGCTTGTGAAAGGTGAGTGCCAAAATGGTGCCAAGGCTGTTGACTGAGGAGCAGAAAGCTCAACGATTAAATGTTGCCCAGTTGACATGCATTTTTCCAAGTTTGACACAAAATTTAATGTTAATTCATTGCTCAATCGTCATTCTGCAATTGAACCCCCTATCGCCAAAAAACTCAATCAGATCTCGCACGGCAATTTTTTTTTCAACAAGCAATTAATCACATTCACCTATGGCTCCTAAAGAGCAAAAATAATTGCGATATTGTGTCAAAAAAGCTGTTGAACAAAGAACACATATTACACCACACTGTAAAAGTGTTGATTACCAATGGTTAATCGTGTTGCGCAATCTGTGACGTCAGTCTCGTTTCTTTTTAGCCACACCATCATACAGTGTCATTAACTGTTGTTATGCAAGTTTTTCTGAATCTCAATGATGGACGTAAGTCAAATAATTTTATTTTTGTAACTTTTAGCATATTGCTCCTTTTGTTAAAGACATGTCATATTTGTTTTTACTCATCAATAATATTTTGAAAAGATTATGTTTCATTGTAGTGAAGACAGTTTCATATTTAAAATTTATGTTCCAGGGCTGTTACAATCCACGATACTCACAAAGCATTGGTAGAGAAAAATGTTATATTCAATTCGATGGGAGGAACAATCTTTATCGAGGATGGTTTAGAAACAAAAAATAAAATTATAGGAAATCTGGTTGTATTCTGTAGACAAAGTACTTCATTACAAAATGATGACGTTACACCAGCAGCATTTTGGATCACAAATGCTGATAACATTGTTGAAGACAATGCAGCAGCTGGTATAAAATTAATCAACTACAATTATTCTGAATTCTTAATGGAAATTTGATTTCTTTTAAATTTAAATAATTTAGATTTATATTGTAATCTTCAACTCACTAAGTAACAAGATATAGACTATTGAACGAGATGTTGTAGTTTTCCCTATACTTGGACGGTCTCATCAGCTTCCCTCTCTATGTGATAAATATTTAAAAAAAATAATAATAATGAAAAGAATTATGTCTGTGTGGTCTGAAATAATCAAATTGGTTATGTGGTCATTCAGATACTCTACTTTTTCAGTGAAAATGTTTTTTGAAATCATTCAATATCTCTCCATTATTTCAAATAGGTCTTGAATCAACATTTTAATTGATCCTCACTCGTATTATTTACAGGCGGAACTCATTTTGGTTATTGGTTTAGAATGCACAAGCATCCAAGTGGTCCATCACATACAACATCTATTTGTCCAAGAAAAGTAGCACTGGGTTCTTTTTCTAATAACACTGCTCACTCCCAAGGATGGTTTGGAGTTTGGATATTTCAGGTATTACATAGCCTTGTGTCAGAGTTCAACACATCCATATCACCCTCATGTATAATCTTATCCAAATGTCATTTTATTTGTAGGAGTTCACTCCAAAATCTGGATCTTGTTGCTGGTGTGATCAAAATGAAATAGCAGTGCTGACGGGACTGGAAGTTTGGAATTGTGAGAAAGGAGCGGAGTTTGTACAAACTGGTTCCGTTAAAATCAGTGATTCAAAATTTTATAACAATGACAAGGTACCGAAGAAAAACTAAAACATATCAAAAAAAAAATGTAATATAAATTAGTATAAAAGTAATTTTAATGATGCATACCTGGAACATTTTTAAACAGAAAGACAACTTGGAGAAAAGGGAATATGTATGAAGACCACTGAATAAATAAAATTGTCCTAGTTTAGCAAAACACGATGAATATAATTGATGGAAATAATACTATTAATTTAGATATGTGGTCCAGTTATTGAAAATTGTTTTTTTAAATCTTACTGAGAAGTACTGTTTGAGAAGTACGAAGAATCTATTTTGAACAAAATTCAAACTTTAAAATGTCTGATGAATATGGATTTAGAATATTGATTATCCATTACATAAAGCCATTCAATTGACCCTATTTAATGTCTATTAAATTTTTCAATGTTATTTAATAATAAACTTTTTAAATGACTACATTGTTTTGAAAATTGTTTCAACTCTTCAACAATTAAAATATATTACTTGCATTGTTTCTATATAATATCCAATTCACTGCATATGACATTATTTCAAATAAATTTTATATTAAAAATTATGAATTATTTTTCTGCTACTAATACTACTATCAAATATATCAGATATATTAATTTAAACATGTTATTATTTCAGGCGGGAGTTGAAGTTAAAATGATGAAACCTTTGGTATGGGGAGAGACTGGACTGGAGAATTCAGTCATTG